TTCGGGCCAATTCCACGGCCACGGTTGTGAGATCTGACCGGATCATGGCCTTGATCTTGGGAGATGATGCTGCGGTGAGGGAGATGACTGTTCCTTGCAAAAGGCTAGAGATTCTGTGCAGCATGCCGTTATCACCACAAGAGAAGGCGACTTCCTGGGCATCGAGCAAGACTTCCTGTGCCTGCTTCAATGCCTCAGCAAATGCCGGTGTGCCTAGCTCCTTAGAAGCCCTACTACTGGTTAAAGCAGCCCGACCCTTTCGTGGAGGAGACTGGCATTTGTCGCCTAAAGCCTTGTCCATGGCCCCTTGCACAACGGCTGGGAATGAAATAGTCGAGTCCTGCATCACGGAAAAGACTGGATCCTGGATCATCTTCTCCATGCTCATCCCAATATGTTGGCTAGCAAGAATGAGTTGTTCCATAAAGGAGGATTCAGAGAGCTTAGGCAGTTCCCTCACTGATTCGAGAGCAGCTGACACGGAAGCCCAATCTTGCTGTTGGAGGGAGCCCACGGCTCGTGCCAGGATGATAGAAGCCAGTAGAGACGCTTGATATACGTCGGTAGGGACCCTGGGGGGCATGTCCTGGGCAGGGGCCGCCTTTGACTTGGTTGCGGGAGCTCGCTTTGTGGCACGAGTGGTTGTCGTTGCAGCTCTGGCTCTGGTCGTCTTTGCTGCCGCTGGCCGCCTTGTCGCGGCAACTCCGCCTCGTCCCTTAGTAGCCACAGCAGGCGATGTATTGGTATTATCTGCCGGTGTCTCACCAAGACGAGCTAAGCTGTGCACTGTCTCTTCCGCCATTTTCATATACTCCAAAGACTGCTCCTCCTCGCCCATCTGCTGAAAAGCGATACCAAGCTGTCTGGCAAGCCGTGCTCGGGTAGCAGAGGCATCGTTGGGAACACAATCAATCGTTCCCTGGAGGTATGGCAGAGCCTTCTCCAGGTTCCCTGCTCTGGCATATTGCGATGCGATCCAGGACTTGATCTCAGCCTCGTACATGGATGATCGGGTCGCGTCGGCAACACGGAGAGCAGTTTCCGCAAAATAGATGGTCTCCTGGAACATCCCAATGTGCGAATAAACCGAGGATATTTGCAGGAGGCTCTTCATGAGCGGTGCAGCAAGAACCCACAGCCGGGTACCGAAAACAGCAGGCGAAGGTGGTTTTGCACTGGCCTTCCCGAGAACGCTTTCCGCCAGACTCGGTTCGGGCTGCGCGCTGGCACTCATAGAGGGGCCATCAAGATAGTTCCATTCTGATGAGAGCGTCTTGACGGATTGCCGGCCCCATTTCAAGGCCTCCTGTAGATCACCCTTTTGGAGAGCCACCACCGACTGCGCAAGAGCAGCTTGTGAACGCAATAGAGTAGCCTGGGCTTTAAAGGTACTCCACGAAGAAGAGGGGGCACTGTGAATATCGTTGGCTTTGTTGAGGCACACCATGGCCTGCTGAGTCTGGTTGATCCCGGCCGAGTATTCTGCTTGGGAGAGGTAATAGTCGATCATGACCCTCGGCGCAGCATCTTGTCGTTCTTTGATGAGTTGTTTTGCTTCGTTGAGCGTCGCGGACGCTTTGTTAAAAAGGCCAGTAGAAACATACTGCGACGCAAGGAAGCAATGATACAGAATCAAGTCATCCTCATTCGAGCTCCGACAAGCCTTTGCAATGGTTATGCAAAGCTCCAGTATTGAGACCTGCAGAGCGGTTTCGCCCCTCAGCCCAGCCAGGTGGTTTGCTGCCAGGAGATGGTCGAGAAGGCCTTCAGGGTCATCGATTACAGCCTTGACTTGGTCTTGAGTTTCGCAACTCTGCATCATCCTAGACCAGACCTGGATGCAGTCCTTCAACACAGATGCAGGGAACTTATCCTCAGCGCTGCCAAGAGCGGTGAGAGAAGCATTGTAGTTTCGAAAATGGGGAATAAAGGAAGTAAGTCCAGCATCTTCAGCAAGATCCTTCTGCAGGTGTTTGAATCCTTGGTCGATAAGAGTAGCAACATCATCGGTACTGTCGTGCCTACCAAGTTGCTGAGCAAGGAGCAAGAAGAGGACACGCAAGCGCCGAATAGGGAATCTCTCAGCAGTCAGGATCCGGAGTAGAGCAGCCATTCCTGGATCGTGAAGCCGGAGCGGCTTATTTTGGTTCGCAACTTCGGTGCTGATATGGACAAGGTGTTCCAGGACTGTGGCGCGCTCGGCTTCGGGGAGAAAGAAGGTCCAGTCATTCCAAGAGTCGTCGAGGCTGGCAATGGATCGCAAAGCACGGGACAGGGTCGATGCCTTCTCTGCCATCCCCCAAGCGACGCGTGGAGAGTGAGCGGCCAGGGCAGCCGTCACCTCAGCCAAGACACCATCCTCGATCAGGTGTGTACAGATGGATCGGAGACTCTTGACTGCATCTTCATTCCTACCCGCCGCCTTGCAGAAGTCAGCAAGAAGTTCCAGCTTTGTAGTGAACTGGGCCTGCTCCTTATCCGCTGAAGAGCGGTCCTTGATGGTGTCGATAGATGCATTCAGCGCCTGATATGCTCGCTTCTTATCCGCTTTTGACTGCCCAGCCTTTCTGCGATGCTGAGAAAATATAGAGAAATAAAGAGTCGAAATCTTTGTGTAATAAGCTGTGAGCTGAGAGGAGGAGACCGTAGGGTCATGGGCATTGCTTAACAGAAGCTGGCAATCATGTAGGATCTCATTCACGGAATCCCAAACATCAGAGCCAGATTGGATTTGGCGTTTAACGACCATCAGCGTCGCGTCCAAGACCTGGTTGATTGATTGCATGACGGTTGTTCGTCGGGAGTCGAACTGAAGTAGCTGTTTCGCCGAGCTGCCTTTACCAGGGGGTGCGCCAAGCCAACGAGCAACGAACCGAGGGAACTTGACAATGAAGTCTTGGAGCAGCCTTACCATGGTACCTGTGACCAGATTGGAGTCGTTCCAGGCTTTCATCAGCAATCCTGCGACTGAGCGCCTCGCCTGGGAGAGACTATCCAGAAGCTCGTTAACCTCCTGAGAAGTGCCGCTCAATGGCGAATTCAGTCCAGCTATCACCTCTTGAATCAAGCGCTCGTCGTCAACCGTTAATCGAGATCGTTTTAAGGCCACCGAGAGAAGCCGAGCAGAGGCTGAAGAAACACAAACTGACGACTCATGATCGGGTCGGACGAGATCCCGCAGAATACTGAACCATTGGAAAGCGACTTCGTACTGTCGGGCGCCCTGGGCGGCGGCGCCGAGAGATTGATAGACGGATGCCATGGGAGAACCAATTTTCGTTTCGGGCTCGTACTTTTGGGATCGGATGAGAGACATGATATCGTCGTAGGATGTCGAAAGCATCTGATAGGCAGAGGCATCAATAGCCGGCTGGCGTCGAACAAAACACTTGAGGCATCGCGAGTATGGAGACAGTAGCTCTTCCTCCACTTTGCCCTTGTGGCCGGCAATCTTCCACCACCTAAGTTGAGTCTTGAAGGCTAGTATCTGAAGCTCGAGAGCAAATATGGGAGCGGCGCTCAATCGAGGTTCTAGTGCAACCTCGTCCTCGCTGGTTGAGACACTGGGCGCCATGGAGAGCAGAGTCTGGCAGAGAGTTGCCATTTGGCGAGCGGCCTTGGACGCGTGACTTTCTCCTCCATGGGCTATCTTGGGCAGAATATTTAATGGCGAGAATGGGTTCGACTCGCGAAGGAAAGGGACGACACCTTCAATATGCGCTGGCTTCTTCGCAGAGGAAATCAGCTTAAGAGCTTGGATCTGGCATGCGGCAACAATCGAGAGGCTGTTGGGGGAGGCAATCTTTTGGTAATCGAGCAAGTCGCATACGGTCTGAGACTCGGTCTTGGAGGAAGCGCTGTCCGAGGTGGCGCGCCCTTCCAACCTGCGCTTAAGGATCCTCAGCTCCTTGATAGCGAAGTCGCTAAAACCCAGGGTAACAAGCTTGGTGATCAACAACGACATGCCACTCTCAATCTGGAAATCCGTCTGGTCGGCTTTGATCGGGCCCTTGACGGACCGCAGGCAAGCGAACGCGAGGCGCGAACACTCGACCGTCGCGCCCATCATGGCTACTTGGCTGGCCATGGCCGATTTGGCTGCCTTGGCGGCAATGTTGGGCGAGGTCGCGACTCGGTTCAGGGTCCTGGGCTGTAGCGGTGAGAGAGGCGCAGACACCGACCGCCGCAGCGTCCTTGGCCGGCTGGCAGACTGCTGATCTGCGGGGGCCTCGACGGACCGGCGAGAGGGCGTGGCCGGCGGTGCGGGCTTCGTAGCTTCGGTGAGAGACTTGATGGTGGCATTTATTACATGTGTGGCCAGCGCAGTCCTGTCCTTGGGACTCAACCCCTCCTTGGAAGCGGCGGTCGCATCGAGCTTTGTTTTCGTCGTCTTCGCGGTCGCTTTGGTCGCTCGGGCGGTAGATTGTTTGGTAGTCGTCGTGGAGCTTGGTTCGCCAGCTTCGGGAAGGATCAGCTTCTTGAGCGTCACGACGGTGGTTGGTGTGCAGGTCGAGGGTGATGCGACGGCCGCTTTCACGCCATCGACCTGTGCTTGTAATGAAGCCATGCTGGATATGTGTAGGAGCTTCTCCGTCTAAAGCATACTGTCATGTCTTTTCTGCTGTCGGGAGAGACAAGTAAGAAACGCTGAAGAAAAAATAGAAAGCAAAACGACGGTCCAGAGCTCGGCCCTTGAAAAATGCTATCTACCAGCTGCAATGGCTGAAATGTTCAATATGCACGATACAGCTCCGAGGTAAAGAAGCGGTGTTTCGCTCTTGTGTTAGTAATTACTTTGCCCCAAAATAGGCCGGGCTAAACATCGGATCTGTGTTGTCTGGGGCAACCGCCAGGAACCTGCCGGTGATGGTCCGTGCACGATACGCCAAAACTACCCTGGACCTGAATCAAACCAACGTTAATTGGACATTGGTAATAAATTTTCTGAATGGCACCGGCGCAAGCGTTGTAATCGAGAGACGAAGAGAACAACAAAAACAATGTTGAAACGATCACTACTGCGGGCCTCGTCTAGAGGAGCTCTGCGTTACATTCCTGCGACCGCACCGGCAGTACTACGAGGCCAAGCCCGAACCCATCGATTCGCGAGCTCGGCACCAGCAACCATTATCGACCGTGACTTCTGGAGAAACCTCGTCCCGAAGCCGCTTCGCAAGGAGTACCGCGAGGCTGCCGCCAAGAAAGGCCCCAAGAAGCAATGGAATCCGGCCACTTTCTTTATCGTCATGTTCCTTCTGATAGGCTCCATGGCGATCCAAATGATTGCCGTGCGCAATTCCTTCCAGCGGTACATGCGCTCGGCCGAGATCAAGATAGCACAACTCAGAGAGGTGGTAGAGAGGATACAGAACGGGGAGACCGTGGACGTTGAGGCGGCTCTGGGCACGGGGAACGCCCAGAAGGAGGCTGACTGGGAAGAAGGTACGTCACTGCCCACACAGGTGGGAGCATCAAGGTCAGAGAGTCACTCAAGGCTAACCTGTTTATGTTTCAAGTTCTACGGTCGATCGAGCGAGGGGACGCCCCGAAGAAGGCTTCCAAACCCGAGAAATCCAAGCAGTCAGCTACGCCCAAGGAAGAACCCGCTCCCGCACAAAAGACGAAGCCGGCGGAACAACAGGAGCAGCAGGCTCCTTCGAGCACGTCGAACACCACTGGTAAACCCAGTGCCGGCTTTGGCAATTTCTTCTAAATGAATTCTAAGAAATCTATGTCTAAGCTGATAAACCAAGAAATTACATACAAAAGAACCCATTCCACTAAGACAACATCTCTTTGAAGACCCCTGAATTCTCCAGAGGTCCTGCCGTTGATGAAATTGGTGAATTATCCGCGATGGTCTGCCTCAGCTCTGATACCAGCAGAGGGAGAAGCTCGTCGGTAGACAGGCCGGTCCTCACGGCTCGGTCGCCTTGCTGACTGGGGTCGAGGTCTGTGAAAAACTGCTCCTCGCCTCTCACTCCGCCCATGTTTATTATGGCAATTGGCATCCCTCTATCCTTGGCTCTCTTGGCGATCCTCCACGCGGAATACGTGGCAAGGGAGGTTCCGAGGACCAGTAACTTTCCGGCTTGGTCGACAGCCTTCTCTGCATTATCCTTGATATGGCTGGCGATGTTCTCTCCGAACATGACCACCGCGGGTTTAAGGATGCCCGCCGTACTGGGCAGTTTCCAGGCACCCTCTCCATCCACGCGAACAGCTTGTTTGAGACCATCTGGCCCTACGGGTGGGCGCTCCAAGCACTTGGGACACGGGGGATACCTGAATGTGGTGTAAGGAGCGTCCGGCAAGTCGACATCACCATCAGGGTTACTCCTCAGCCCCTTGAACCTTGCTTCATCGGTCTCACCCCTGTCCAAAGCGCCGGACTCAATCGCCTCCTGGAGCAATGCAGCCCATCGTGGGTTTAGCCTGGCAAGCTCTGCCTGGAATTCATCACGGGAGAACTCGGACCTGCAGGTGGTGCATACCGTCGACCTCAGGTAACCGTGTAGCTCCAGGGTGGGCACACGAGGATGAGCCATGGAATGGAAGGAATCCACATTTTGTGTTATAACGCTGCGTACGAGACCCAGACTTGCAAGGTCCCTCACTGCAAAGTGCCCGAGATTGGGGGCAGCTTTGTGTAGACTAGACCAGCCCAGGAAACTTCTTGCCCAGTACCTCTTGCGTGCCTCGTGACTGCTGAGAAACTCGTGATAGTAGATGGGCCGATACGTCTTGTTGACGCGGTAGGTGCCCTTGACCCCCCGGTAGTCTGCCAACCCAGAGGCGACGGAGAGTCCGGCGCCGGTCAGGACGACAGTCTTGGGCGACGGCAGATGCTCCGGTGTGGGGGCGGCGAAAAAGGTCCGCAGAGCGGCCACTGCGCCGGCGAGTGTGCTGGCCGAGGCAGGGATGATCAAGGGAGGGGGGAGAATATCAGTGTATGGTATCCGCAGGAGAGGTTTACGCATGGAGGGCTATGGGCGGTCCTGGGTGAGGCCCAGGTCGATCCCCGTGGGATTGTCTGTTGCGTTGAAGCTAAAAGCGGCTGCTGGTGTTACCCGAGCAGTTTTTTCTTGTATCAATATCAACGAGCAGGTTCTCAGCCGAACGAAATAAACGAACTAGATACCCAGGGTCCCAATTGACACGCTTACCAGCACAGGTGGCGAATGAGCTTCTTGAAATGCACTCATCATCTACGAGAATTGGTGACAAATGGAGAGCCTTCTAGCTGCTCCAAGAGCACGTGATGGATTTGAAGCACTTGCTTACCCTATATCCCACTCCCGATCGATCAACAATACAGAAATCCTCGCCCTACAGCCAAGAACACATGTGGGTTGTTAGCAAGCGGCGAATATCTAGAACCGTTACTAGTACTCTATCATAATATCGAAATGAGAGAACCTAGGTGGTAGCTGCAGATGAGCGTTTGTTACGACTCAAACATCATACTGAGCGTAGTGCTAGGTTGTTGACAAGAATGTGTGCCATGTAACATACGCGCAGCCTTTGATAAGCCAGGTACCTACCGTAGGTACTTGGGTACAGGAATACTTGGGTAAGATCAACCTCTCTCTCTCTCTGTCTCCCTCTCCCCCTCTCTCTGTTAGCTTGAACCTGCTTGCCCACCCGCCAAAGACTGCCTAAGCCCACAAACGCCGACGTGTACTACCAAGTAATCAATCTAGCCATGTTTCGTCTGGCGAAGCAAACCCTGACGGATCCGTGATACCTCTGGATTGACCGACAGTCCTCGCCAGCCATGTACACACCCGGTGTATCAGCCCAAGCCACCAACTCATGCATTGTGAATCACTCACCCCCTCCCCAGCACCGGTGGCGGCGACCTGCAGCACCCGCGGACCGGTGAGAGCCATCACAATGCCGCGCTGGTCGCCTTGCAGCTGCTAGTGTTTGGTCACCGCAGAAACTTGGCGCCCGGGCTATGATAGCCTGTGCAGGCTCCTTTGTCAAACCACTCGGATGGCAGCCTGAGTTGCACAAGGGGGCAGCGTAGCGCGCGCTGGCCCAATGTGGCGTCTTGGCCGGTCGGGGACTCTGTGCACGGTTTCAGCTGTTGTGCTTCGAGGATGAGATGGTGGGAGGAGCTGAGCGGAGAAAGGTGATTGTCATGCAAGCCACACGAAAACCAAGCTGCATCACGGTAACAGTCGAACCAAACACGCATCATGGACGGACAGTGGCCATCGGCGTCGGCCTTGGAATCACCCGATGCATAATGTGGCCGTGTGTGACAAACCCCTCGTATTCTCGTGTGCACGCCACGCCTGGAAGTGTGTGTACAACCGTGGTTTCATGGCGTGCCGCTGGTGCTCAAGGGATGCTGGACACACTCGTGCACATCCCCAATGTTGGCTCCGGCAATGAGGTGGGCAACAAAGCGAGCATCAATATGAGCATCTAAGGAGGTGTGGCCTTGACAACACGCTCAGCTTTCCCCCTTGGAGACCAGAACAAACTCACCACTGGAACCTTTATAACTACCTACAATTAGAAACGTTATACCTTTGAATTTTCCAATCCTACGTGCGATATCACGATGTCGCAGTCAACCAAACGTCCCTCGCTCTCTGAGGCTTCTGAGGCTTCTGAGGCTTCAGAGGCTTCTCAACCGATCTTGAATTCTACCGACTCTGAATCTGACAAGAGTGACGATGAACCCCCACCGGCATACGCCGAAACAATCCCCAGTCAGAGCAACGATGGCGTCACCACGACGGGGTCAAATCCCGTCCCAGAGCTACCCAAGACACTCAAGGCTGGGGATACTCTTACCCAGCATCACGATCCTGAGCTGAGTGATAGAAAGGACGATCCGCCACGAAGCCAGTGCACTGAACAGCCTGCTTGCGGCGAGGAGAGCGCTCCGGAAATACAGATAGCTCCTTCGGCCAACCGCGCAATGTCACGGTCGCCCAAGCGTTCATCGTTTCCTGATGCTTCCGATGCTCTCCCCAAGCCTAAGCGTCATGAGCGTGAACCCCCCAGCGATGAGTTGGAGTCTCTCCGGAAACCTCATATAACGCTTCCTCCCCCCGGTAGAGATATTCTTGCCACGGAAGAGCTGGGCCTCCTCCCTGACCTCTGCGGCGGAGATGATGAACATGCTCCAAAGCAGACCGTCGACCCGCCCGCTGGCAGCGACAGCAGCGGCGCCGGAAGCCGTCCGAGCCTGGCTTCGAAGCTGCCCTCTGCACCTCATTTGCCACCTCTTATTGATGAGGGTGCTGCCCCGGGAGAACCCACAAGTCCAAGTCATCCGAGTCTAGCCCCGACGCTGTCCTCTGCACCTCATTTACCACCTTTTGTTGATGAGGGTACTGCTTCAGAAGCACCCATAAGTCCAAGCCTTCCCGCTCAGACTCACACCAACGACCTTGCTTCTGAAGAATATCAAGCACCACAGAGATGCTTCAAATTTATACCCTACGACACTCTGTTTAATGATGAGGCGAATGCAATACGTGTATATTGGGGGTCTTTCCAGGGCGCTGTTCAATCGTTTGCGCGAAATTGTCTCCCAAAGAAATGCTCCTGGGATGAACTACCCACCGGATACCAAGACGAAGTTCGCGAATGGGCATCAGACCCCAAGGATTACCTGAACTCGAAGCTTTCAACCGATGTGAATAATTTCTATATCGCCTGGCTATTTCGCCTTCTCGATCGCCATTTGTTCTCTGGCCGAGACTCAGACAAATGGCACGGGTCAGATTGGAAGAGATTTGGCGCTATCTTGGAGTCTGGCAAAGGTATGCACCGCGCTATGTTGTTGTTTATCTCACTGAGCTAACCAGATGCCTGTAGCCCATTTGCGCGAACCAAAAGGCTTCTTCGCTGCCAAGTACCACCACTGGCGTAATCTTTCTGTCCAGACACTGGCTGACATGCATCATCCCGATCAGCGTCATGTTGATCCTCTCTGGCTATGGAAGAAGATTAAAGACTGGATGAAGGATCTTCCCTTTGTGTCGGAAAAGGACCAATCTGAATTCGAATACCAATGGAGAAACTTGATAGAATCCGCCATCAACATGGATAGCCTGATCATTACAGCTCGGCGGGACATCAAAATGCGGCTGTCCGACTCTGCCACCGGCAAAGATTACGGTTTTCCCGCGGTAAAAGGCAAAATGACGCGCCGCCGGGGGCCACCAAGAAGTGCCGGGGGGGAACTTGTGGTAGACTTCGTCATATTCCCAACACTTCTCGCCTACGGCAGGGCGGATGGTGCATCGATCTGGGATGAGAGTAGCCCAGCGAAGAGTGTTATTTGCCCCTTCGGTGATAGTTGGGATACAGTTTCCATGGAATTTGGCATGACAGTGTGCTGTCACTAGTTTTTCTGTTCATGATTCGAATCGATTTGACCCGATGCAACAAATCCAAAATTTCCTGTGGGTATTGGCAATGTTATCGCAGATGCTCCAGCTGGATCACCTTTAGTTTCAATGTTGACCTGTCTTGCTTGGCCTCTTGAGCTGGTAAATCGCTTTGTAAGGGACGTTTCTACGTAAAAATCTGCAGCTACTGTGTTCCTTGACGTAGCTGTGTGGCATTTCAAAAAGTAGAGCATCCATCCGTGCGCCGTACCAACCATTCACCCTGTCCCGTAGATACTGCAACTGTCTTGCACTCCTTTTCTGCCCTTTTGCCTGTCTACCCGTCTACCCGTCTGTCCTTCTATCTACATAGATTCATCTACAAAGCAGCCACTGGCCCTTGACACTATCTTGCCAGGTCCTTGCATTGTGGGTTTGAGCTGTGGCTAGATGTCCTTTAGCCTGTTAGAAATCCCCCGGCGTAAAACAATATCAATACAACCCCCTACTACTTGCACCCTCGTCTCTGGAAGTGTGGATGGGATCCGGCTGGGCACCTTCACCGAAAAGTTGCCGAGTGTCACATGGTGGAGATGGAGCTAGTACAACATATGTAGTCCATGCCGGCCGTGTGCAGCTGCATCCACGGAGTTCTAACCTCCGGGGGCCATGGCATTCTCGGCCATGGCTGGCTGCATTAACAAAGTTCCGACATTGAATAGGGAGCACAGCATTTCAAGCTAGGATGCGCTCAGCCCTTCGGGTTACCTCGCAGTAACGGCTGTCCCCTCAATCCTTCGGGCTGCTTTGCAGCAATGGCTTTCTGGCTGCCTTGCAGATAATGGTCAGCTGTATTGACAAAGCTCCGACACTATAAAGGGAACGCAGCATTTCGACCCATGGTGCCCTCAGCCCTTCGGGTTACCTCACAGCAATGGCCGGCTGTATTCAGATAGTTCCGGCCCCGGGAGGTACAACATTTTTACGTTGGAGTTTCTAAAACACTTCGGGCTGCTTTGCAGCAATGGCTAGCTACATCAACAAAGTTCCAGCACCGGGGGACACAGAACTTCAAGCCAGGGTGCCCTCAGCCCTTCGGGTTACCTCGCAGTAATGGCTGGCTGTATTGAGATAGTTCCGGCACTCAGAGATACAACGCTTTAGACTAGAGTTCCCCAAACCCTGCAGGTTGCCTTGCAGCAATATTGGCTCCTATCATAAAATTTCAGAGCTAGGAGACACAGCATTTCAGGCCAGAATCCCCTCCATCCGTCGGGTTGCTATGCAGCTGTGGTCTAAGTTGTGTACCAGGAGTTTTAATAATCACCGAGACATGTTGCTTGAAGTGCTTCGGTTGATTGTGCAGTGCATTGTTCTCAGGCTGGGAGGCTGCAGGTCGTAGTCGTACCTTACCCCCCAGGAACGGTCTGAGTTAATTGCTGGGTGCTCTTGGGGGATTATTTTGAGAACACCTTTTTTTCTCGAGGGTTCAGAGCAGACGTCGGCAAAGGTTGTGGTTACAAAAAGGAGCATTGTTCCTCACTTCCCCTCGAGTTTTTTCTTCTTCTCTTCAGTAAACACTACACTCAAAGCTTAGATATTCCACACTTACTCAGTTAACAAACCATGGCGTGCCCCTGCAAAAGAGATCATGTCTTTATTGGCTTAGATTTCGGAACAACGTTAGTCAAAGCCTTCATACAATGGCATGCTTCCAGATATGCTAACACAATTATGTGGCACAAGCCGTTCCGGGGCCGTTGTCACCCGTGCAGACGTTTGCACAGAACACAGCTACTTCCAAGTTCAGCATGAAATTCGGGTCCCGAAGTTTCTGGCAACTTTTGTCTCTCGAGGCCACAAGATCGAGATGATGAGAACAGACCAGAATGATCCGAATGTATCTGGTGTCAAGAATGCGAAACTAGAGATTCTGTTCAACGGCGGCCCAGAATGGTTCGTGAAACAGGGAGACTACCATAAAATCAAGTCATGGGTCGAGCTGGATTGGCAACGATCAAGCGGTGCTGGCCTCCCGGCTGAGTACTTTGGAAGTGCAATTAAGACGCTCTACGACCTAGCCTGGGAGGGCCTTGAGATGCCACAGATTAGCAAAGAATCCATCACCACGGTGGTGACCTTTCCGCTACTCACAGGCGCGATCAAGGACACGCTCAAGAGAGGCCTAGAGTACTCAAATATATCATCTCGGTGCCAGGACGTGCAGGTCAGCGAGGAGTCCCATGCTGCACTCGCGGGCCTGCTGCGCGAATACCCCGAGATTGGTCGGGAGGCTCTCGCGGTAAGTTCACGATCCGTTCCTTACCTCGTGTGATGAAATACCGGACCATGCGGTGTTTGCTCATCCAGCCCATATATGTCTCGGAAGTCCGATCCTACTGTTGATCTGACTAGGTCTGCCCCGAGTCAAGGCTGTTGACATTGCTAATATGTGTCCAGGCAAATGAGTCAATAATTGTCGCCGACTGCGGCGGTATCACATTAGTCGGTATTTGCTTGACCTTTTGAAGTGTCGGATATGCTAACAGGGCCTATAGGATATCGCAGCATTCAGACCCTTCGACCCAAACTGCGGAGGTGCCCCGACAGCTGCCTCCATTTCGAGACTTGGGGGTGGCTTTTGGATAGACCGCAACTTCGAGGAGTTGGTTGATAAAAAGTTGGATGAGCTCAAGGCTCAGATATCACAGCTCGACGAAGTGGACGATGAGGAGGCGGATGAGGTTAAATCCGATCTGATTCGCGAGTGGCACACCACCATAAAAGAAGGACCTCCTTTCGGGGCGGGAAAGAGCCTTCCAATCACACTCCAAGGAATGGAAGCCAGTATCGACCGGTGAGTGTTCTTGTCATAATTCCATTCCAGTCCTCTCCTTCCTCTACACGCAAAGGCACCGTTCCGACCCACCATGTGCTGTTCCTTAAGATATATCCCACCGACTACCACGTTCTAAGACCCTGGTTGCGCGTTGCGCTTGTTCTAATATAATTCTCTCAGGGCGGACGTGGAAAGTGTCTTGATGCCAGAGTGTTCCAAGATAGCAGACACTATCCTCGAGGTCGCTGATCAAGAGCGGAAAGGGAACGGTGGCCGTCCAGTCAACGCAAGTGCAGCCCCTCCCTGAGTGGTTTCTACCGTGCTAACAACAGCCTCAGCATGTCTTCCTAACCGGCGGTTTGGGTTGCTCTCAGGCTGTCCGGGAACTAGTCCCAAGAATATTGAACGCCAAGACTGCGGATGGCAAGCCGCCAATGCGGGTTGAGAACACTGGGGATCCCCCCTTGTTGTAAGAGCGCTGATGGTCATTCTTGGACGACTGCATTTTCGCTAACATGAACGATAGGTGGAACGCCGTCGCAATGGGAGCGGCACATTGCTTCGACCGGACCATCCCGGTGCATCGCCCCACGTGGCGGCCATTCGCCGAAACTCCAGAGTCGAATGAGATGATGGGTTAGCAGAGATCTAGGCCTAAAGGAAGTTGTCAGTGTAATTAGCCAGGACTTGCGCCTCATTCCGTACCCGGCAACCGACAATTAATGAGCAATTTGACACCGGCAGTATTTCCTTCACACGTCCAATGAGATGCTCCAGTGTACGTGACAAGACGGAACCAGCCACGGCGGTCGTGGCCGGACGTCTCTCCTGAGGCGCTGAGCCACCATACGCCCATAGCAATGATGTCGTCCCATCTACGTAGGTGCCGGATGGACAGATCTCGGGCTGGATGCAGTGCCACCCAATCGCAGATGCGTGAATCCCTAGTCAAACGCTGTAGCCGACATCTCCGCGATCCGGGATGGAATTAAATCAAGGTGCCTTATCAGATCATCAGATAATGTCCGGGGCCACTGCGCTAACGGAGCTTGTAAGGCCCCCTCGATTCATAGGGGCCGACGCCTGCCAGCTGCTTTGGGAGCTTGATTGCACATTCAATTGGTTGCAGTCTCCGGAATAGCTGCTGGATGAGGTATCTACTGGCAAGCGAGTGGGATCGTGCCCCGGCAGAAACCGCTGGACAGGCACCAAATCTCTGTGCTTTGTCCGACGAGACGAGGCGAGACGATCCAGGGGCATCGCTCACCCAAAGTGCCAGTAGGGATTCAGCTGCAGCATCGTTCCTGAATCACCCCTGCAAGCGCTACACACCGCGAGGCTCCTTCTGTAAACCATGTCGTCATCATGGGTTGGCTGCTCGGGGCTGTTGGAGTTGGGGTTGGCAGGAAACCCCACACACTGCCAGCATGTTTGATGTACCAGGTGTGTAGGCACCGTGAGCCGCCTACCTCCGAGCCTGGCTCCGAGTCGAGCGATAGCAAATCGGGAAATGCAAATGAGAGGCCGAAGAAGCTCGTGGGAGAGAGGCGGTAGGCGGGTGGAGGGAGGGAGAAAGCGAGAATAAAAGGGAAAATTGGCCAATTGAGAAAACCAGCACATCGATCGAGGGACAAGGAATTGAGTTTGACGGCGGCGGATTGCTGAGCCAGCGTCGGGTCAGCAAATGGGCGGCCGTGACGCTTATCAATCTGGGATGTTGAAAATGCCGAGCGTTTTGGCTCGCGATGGACACGGACTAGCTGAAAGCGCCAGCCAAAGTCCGAACTCGGGCCGTGTACGTACGTAAATGCGAACGAGAATCGAACGACGCGGCAAGTCGAGCAGCAGAGAAGAAAAAAAGCCCTTCCTCACCGCAGCTATTTACCTGGACGCATCGATGCGCTAGACAGAAACCCCTCGTCCGCTGGCAGGGCCGCCGACCTCGCCAACACTGGTTTGATGCCTACTGACCCGGATTTTGGCATTATGTCCCCGTAGACTCGCCGTGCTCTAGCTTCGGAGAGGCATCGCTCTCCATCAGTTTTTCTCCCCTGGTCGCGCCAGCTCGCCCGAGATCCATCAATTCTCGCCATCACCTGCCTCTGCCTCTACCGCCCACTACAACCCTCCGCCACAGTCCGCTGCAGCTGGTGCTGGTGCGCTACGCCGCCCGCTCGTCCTCTCTCTCCCTCTCTCTTACAAACAGCTCGAGGTGATTAGCCAATCCGTGCCCGCAGCCTCTGCCGGATCTTAGAAGCCAATCGGGGAAAAGACCAATCCAGAAAGAAGCAAAAAAAAAAAGAGGTCAGCCTCGGCCGTGTGTGCCTGTGGTGTCGTGCTTGCGCTTGAGCTTGGCACTGGCCTTTCCGCGCTGGACCATCCCATCCTCAGCCAGACCATCCCGTCCTCGTCCCAACTCTACCACCCTCTTCCACCTCGTCTCTGTTCCCCCCCTCGCAGCCGTCTTCCTCTGCCGTCCTCCCTCCGCGCGTCCATTGCTGCATGTCTCCCCTGGCTGGGCGGCGCTCAGCCTTGCGGTGCGTCGTTGCCAGCGGCGGGAAACGCAGGGTAGCAGCAACAGCGGCCGCCGCAGTGAGAGCGATAGCGGTGGTAGGTGGTGGCCCGGCACCTGTTTCAGCGTGTGTGCTGGGCCATCAAGGTGACCACCGCCCGAACCATCCGCTGCGCGTCCAGAGCAGGACACCACCACACCAGAGCCAGATACCACAGCAGCATCTCCAACTACGTGGCCTCCAGACTTCCTCGTCGTCCTCATCGCCCTCCCCTCCCTCGTCGCCGCCGTCCTCGTCCTCGTCCTATTCGCCCCCCGTCGACCCCGGCTCGCTTCGTCGTTCTTTTCCTCGTCTGCTGCTCGGTGGCCGCCAGCGTCGGCTGCGATACACATATCTTCCCGCCATTGTCATGGGCACCGCACACCAGATCCGCGACAATGGGGGCGATCACCACCCGCCGCGCCCTCCCTCCTCCAAATCAAATAAAGATCCCGACCATGACCACGACCATGACCACGACGAACACGATCACGACGACGGCCATTCTCACAGCCACTCCCACGGCCTGGGCCACCACCACCACCACGACAACCCGTACCTCCTCTCCAAAGACCGCAGCGACCCCGGCGTCCGGATAACAAACATCGGGCTCGTCTCCAACCTCCTCATGGCCGTTGCCAAGTTCATCGGTGGCTGGGCCTTCAACTCGAAATCAATGGTTGCCGACGGCTGGCATAGCATGACCGACCTCGCCTCAGATGTCCTCACCCTGGCCACCGTTTCCTGGAGCATCAAGCCCCCGAGCGAACAGTTCCCCATGGGCTTCGGCAAGGTGGAGAGTCTGGGCGCGCTGGGCGTGTCCGGGCTGCTGCTGGTCGGGGGCTGCTACATGGGATGGGAGAGCGCCATCAGTCTCTACGGCCACTTCGACCCTGCGGCGGCGCACACTCTCATGGAGCACATTGGGCATGGGCATGGGCACTCGCACTCGCACAGCCCTGCCGCCCTAGGGATACCCAGTATTCACGCTGCGTGGCTGGCTGCTGGTACGGTGGTCGTGAAGGAATGGCTCTATCATGCTAGTGAGTGCTTCGACTCTCTCTCTCTCTCTCTCTCTCTCTATTACTACTCGCAGTTGGGGCCAGTGATCCAATTGGCTTCCGCTGCTTTCCCCCCAACCTAACGCTTTCCCTATTGCTCGTCATTGGCTTCCTCACCTACCTACGTCACAGTCCTTCCAAGCTTTCTCATCGAAACATGAGCTAACCTGCACATCTCCACAGCTATGAAAGTGGCACGTGAGAAGCACTCCTCCGTCCTCGCCTCCAACGCCATCCACCACCGCGTCGACAGCCTCACGGGCATCGTTACCCTCGCCGCCATCGTCGGCGCCAACGTCATCGAGACGGCCGGCTGGCTCGATCCCGTCGGCGGCCTCCTCATCTCCTTCATGGTCATCCACGCCGGCGCCGGCAACATGGCCGACGCCCTGCGCGAGCTGGCCGACCAGGGCGTCGACCCGGAGGTCAAGGGCAAGGTCCGCAAGCAGGCGCAGCGCGCCATCGCCAGCCTCGAGGACAGCCGTGACGTAGAGCTCCGCGACGTGAGCGGTATCAAGTCCGGGCAGAACTACCTGATGGATCTCGAGATGGCCGTCCCAGGATCGTGGTCCGTCGAGCACGTGCGCAGGATGGAGGACGAGATCCGGCAGACCGTCGGCGCCAAGGTCAAGGGTGTCAAGCGGGTCCGCGTGCGGTTCGTCTCGGTGCAGGAGCCCATTAACGGCCGGTTCGACGAATTCATCCACGAGCACGCCCACCAAGGCGGGGAGGATAAGAAGCCGAAGAAGCTAAACGGGCATCAGAAGGAGTAAGAGCATACATACCATTATCAAGTTCTTATCTTCCTCTCCCTTTCCGCTCACCATTCTTCCTGCTTGTTTCCATCTTCATCATTCGGTTTTCTTCTTTCTTCTTTTCTTTTGTCTTCATGAGGGAAAAATCAAAGCATGGCAGCAAAAAGCATAAACCAACTAGAATCGGCTCAGCCCTCCTCCGCCCCAGTCCACCATAGGGGAGCAGGAAACTAGGGAGAAGAAAATAGGAAGACCAAGCATTGCGGGAGGGGAGGGAAGCCGAGACTGTATACCCCCCATCTATACTATATTAGGTAGGTAGCGTACGTACGTGACGGTAGAAGGCGTACCGAAAATCTACAAAGGCAATTTTACTTTCCAACTCGGGTAGGACCGTCCCATGCGGCGGATATGTGAATCGTGAGTGGGAAGGAGGAGGTGGTTCCTGGATCAGCGACGTTGGTTTGGGGATGCAGGGCTGTGGAGCCTCTTCTCGGCGTGGTGGCCCGTTTCATCGAGGGACACATCATACAGGTGACGGTTAGAAGCGGGTGTTTGAATTCGATGATGATTTTGCGAGGGCATGTGTATGCATTGGGTTGGTGAAAAGAATGGCGAAAAAAGTCACGGGGAAGAGGGAGTGTCAGGTGGACGCTGATGAACTTGGTACGTGGGAATTGATGCTATGGCGTTGATGGGCTGCTATTCGAGCGGGTAAGCTGGCTGGCTCATGTCGTTATTAATAGATGCTTTTGCTTCCCGGCATGCACACGATGTAGGCGAGATGGTGGCGGCGGAGGGTGTGTTCATGCATAGAGCATGTGGAAGCATGAGAGGGAGCATGATGAGGGAGGGTAGGTTTAGGGTAAGCGGGCGGGCTTTGCTCCGATGCCGTGTTCGGGCAGTGTGAATCAGTCAATTGTTTCCTCTGGTCTCTGTGCTCATCACTGCGTGTTTCGACAGCATGCAGTGTACCTACCTAGACAACGCAATCAAGATCTACAACATGCCGTCACACTGATGATTACATCGTGCAAGCCAAGAACATAACGACAGCGCCTCATCGTGGTTCCATAAATCTGGGTCAAGGCAGCCCCGGTTTTCCCATCTCAAAGATGCCTGCAGCAGAATGCGCGTTGCAGGTGCATGGCATAGAAATTCCTGATGATCACTTGACCTTTCCACCGCCCCCGTTTGCACCGTGGGTTGCCAGATTATTCTCTGTGTTCTGTCAACTCCAAGGACCAGCGGCGACAACCCCCACGAAGAGCCCCTCTTTCCGGTAGGTATCCAATTGATAATGCATAATTGGCTGAGTTTTCATCGTCTTTTTAAGCGCCGCCTGCTCATTGGGCAATCTGTATCTCCTTCCTGTGGTATTATGTTTGTCTTAGTGCAGCAACTCGGTGCTCCATTTGTAGAGCTGGAGACACCACTCGCACAAGAGACTTTGACAGCTCGGCCACGGTCCACCGGTGGGATTTAGCCTAAAAGCCATCGCGGTGCCTCGCACAGCTTCGCAGTCCGCAGCCTGTGTGTGCACAGCAGCGTTTGTTCGGTGAGGCTGGTCTCATCGTCAATCCAATCTGAATCTCCCACATCCACATCTGCATTCATATCCACACCCAAGCCCACACACCCCTTCCCAGAGCCCCGGGGAACTCGGAGTCGGTGGCAGGCCATGTAATAAAAGTAGAGATAAAAAAATGGATCTACATTCTTAAAACCGAGATAGCAGGGCAGAGAGAAAAACTGAACAAGATGGTAGGTTCTGCTGGTCATCTGACTATGTACCTGGGATAATCATCCATGCTTCTAAGGGTTTAATTCGTTCTGCTGGTCTTCAACATGAGCGGCCCGGCCTGATTCGCAGTAATGTACTGTAGGGGTATTGGATGCACACACACGTCCGGAGGGATGGTTGGATTGCCACCACCTCGAGCCAACGTCTACCAAGCGAGCCAGACGGAGTGAAGAGGCGCGCAACTCATTTGGGAAGTCTCGGTTTTTGTCTCAACTCTGATCGCGGGACTTTGTCCAGATGCGTTTGTTTCAACGCTGTGCCATGCACTACCTAATAGACGACTGGTCCTTGTGTGTGAGGGTGAGAGTCAGCTGGTGGGGAGGGAAGCAGATCTGCCACTTGCTAAAGTACAGCATCTACGCAAACGATGTGCTACGGTAGTGGTATAGCCTGGTAGGGGCGAGTAGAACGGCACTGCAGTTGGCTTTCACGGACAGCATTGAAGGCAAGGAAAATCACGAATGGCTAATGATCAGAAATCAACGTGAAAGACGGGAGGAGCTCCTTGTATTGGGCCGGCTGTGACGTCGGAACGGCCTGCAATGGCTTATTTAGGCATTTTCCCACTCGACACTAGACTGTTCGGTACTAAACCGCCAGCCGGGGACCCTGATTCATGGCCCATCTCTTCTCTCGATCTCTCGATCACGACCCTCCGGAGATGGCAAAAAGAGCCTTGGGTCGAGTTCATCGGCTCCCTTCGTTCATTGTGTGGCTGCAGGCCATCAAGGCATGGGTTTATGTACAGAGTACCCCCGCAGGGTGTGCCGTCAGCCAGATCACCGTCCGCGCACATCCCGCCTTCAACCAGCCTCGTGCCGTCCCCGATTAAACTACCAACCAGCCAAGCCGAACTAACTGTCGTCCGGCTCCTCTTCTTTTAGACCGACACCATCTCTGTCCCCGTCTTCCCCATCCGCCATGGATTCCGCTGTCCTGGGACCGGGGCTAAGGCCAGGCTGCCGTATTTATTCCAAAGCCCGCCCACTGATCGCCATCTCACCCTCTTCTCTGTGTAGCCTCCATCATTGCTTGAATTTTGTGACCGCTCTGCTCAGGTGCCTAGATACGCTATATCCTCCCAATTGACTGCGTGCCATCTCCTCCGCCATCGTACCTGAAGCTCCCCCTCCGACGACTTGGTGCGTCGCGACACCGACACACACACCAAGAGCCAACCAACCCCTCTACCCCTCCCAAGTAATCTCAACATGCCTTCCTTCTCCGATTCCGGCCCTCTGTACTTGGGCTTCGATCTCTCGACGCAGCAGCTCAAGGGTACGAACGACACCATCCCTGCCACCGCTCGTCAGCACCCGTGCTAACGTTCCCTGTCCCCGCAGCCGTTGTCGTCGACTCCAACCTCCAGACCGTCGGCCAGGCCAAGGTCGACTTCGACGGCGACTTCGCCCCCAAATATGGCGTCAAGAAGGGCGTCCACGTCCGCGAGTCCACCGGCGAGGTCTACGCCCCCGTCGCCATGTGGATGGACTCGCTCGACCTCGTCCTCTCCCGCCTCGCCTCCGCCATGCCCGTGCCCATGGAGCGCATCCGCGCCGTCAGCGGCTCCGGCCAGCAGCACGGCAGCGTCTTCTGGAACAGCGACGCCGAATCCCTCCTCGAAAGCCTCGATTCCTCCAGATCCCTCTCTGAGCAGCTGGCCGCCTCGCTCGCCAATGAGTGGTCCCCCAACTGGCAGGACCAGAGCACCGAGGAGGAGGCGCAGGCTTTTGATGCCGAGCTGGGGGATCGCGAGCAGCTGGCTCAGGTGACAGGTAGTGGTGCGCACCACGTATGTTTTCCCTTCTTGTCTTTGTCCTTTGGTGGTAATTGGTATCAATGGGCTCGGATGAAGACCTCATCCTCCTATGGTGCCATTGAGACTCGAGTCAACATGATATAAAGCTAACACGAAAACAGCGCTTCACAGGTCTTCAGATTATGCGATTACGCCGCACCAAGCCAGACGTGTATGCCAAGTCCACCCGCATCTCTCTCGTCTCGTCATGGCTTGCGTCGGTCCTCATTGGCAAGATTGCTCCTCTCGACGTCGCCGACGTCTGCGGTATGAACCTCTGGGACATCCCCAACCAGCGTTACAGCGATGAGCTGCTCCGACTCGCCGGCGGCGGCAAGGCGGGCGCCATTGACCTGCGCAAGAAGCTGGGCGAGGTCGAGATGGACGGTGGTGCCTCCCTCGGCCGCGTCTCCAGCTACTTCGTCCAGAAGTACGGCTTCAGCCCGGACTGCGAGGTCTCCCCCTTCACCGGCGACAACCCGGCCACCATCCTCGCCCTGCCCCTCCGGCCCCTCGACGCCATCGTCTCCCTCGGCACCTCGACCACCTTCCTCATGAACACGCCGGCCTACAAGCCTGACGGCGCCTACCACTTCTTCAACCACCCCACCACGGCCGGCCACTACATGTTCATGCTCTGCTACAAGAACGGCGGCCTCGCCCGCGAGAAGATCCGCGACGCCCTCCCCAAGCCCGAGGTCGGCCCCACCGGCTGGGAGAACTTCAACGACGCCGTCACCGACCGCTCCCCCCTCGACATCCACGCCGACCGCGCCAAGATAGGCCTCTACTTCCCCCTCCGCGAGACCGTCCCCAACATCCGCCCTGGCACCTGGCGCTTCACCTGTTCCGCCGCTAACGGCACCGACCTCCGCGAGGAGGCCGAGCCCTGGTCCCCCGAGACCGACGCCCGCGCCATCGTCGAGTCTCAGGCCCTCTCCATGCGCCTCCGCTCCCAGAACCTCGTCCTCCCTCCCCAGGACGGCCGCAACCTCCCCGCGCAGCCCCGCCGCATCTACCTCGTCGGCGGCGGTTCGCTCAACCCGGCCATCGCCCGCGTCATCGGTGAGGTCCTTGGCGGCGTCGACGGCGTGTACAAGCTCGACGTGGGCGGCAACGCCTGCGCCATCGGCGGCGCGTACAAGGCGCTGTGGGCGACCGAGCGGGCCGACGGCGAGACGTTTGACGAGCTCATCGGCAAGCGGTGGAAGGAGGAGGGCGCCATCGAGAGGGTAGACAAGGGGTACCGCGAGGGTGTGTACGAGGGGTACGGCAACGTCCTCGGTGCGTTTGAGGAGATGGAGCGCAGGCTGCTCGCTGAGGAGAAGAAGCCCGAGGAGCAGAAGAAGTCCGAGGAGGAAGCGAAGAGTCGGGTTGGCCATCATGCCAGGCGGTACTCGAACCGCAGGAACGGGGAGGACATGTGAGAGGGGCGGATCTGTTGTTCCTTGCACGTCTACGTTGCAGCGCACTTATGGAGATCATGCATGATAAACGAATTACTTCATCGTCGGAGCATATAATATTTGACGGGTATCTATCATAAGAAAAAGAGGACGAGAAAAAAGAAGAACACTAATAGAATGGGCTGGGAAAGTCTATCTAACGTATTTACTCATGAATCTTCGGTGGAAATCAGAGCGAATCATGTCCTGCAGGGCGTTTGTTAGCATTTCAACCGTCTCATAAGGGTTACAAAATATAGTTATAAAAGAATGAAAGAAGGTAAAGACGAGCAAATAGTAGACGCGCGGTCCAGGGAAAGCGAAATTGAATAGGAAGAAGTGTATGTGAAAAGGAATGGGGAAAACTCACGTTGACAAACTCCTTCTTGCCCTTATCCTCCGTCCCGCGAGCCTGGTTCTTAAAGACGACATCGTCGTCCCACCGCCGCTTCATCGTGAAGTCCTGCTTGTTCAGCAGCGGGTTCCCCAGCGCAATGTCCCGCTCCCTCGCCTCCTCCTCCTCCTTGGCCCGGGCCTCCTCCTCCTTGCGCTTCTTCTCCTCGCGCTCCCGCCTCACCCGCTCCAGCTCCCTCTGCAGCTCCGCATCCTCATCGTCGTCGTCGCTGTCATCACTATCGTCATCCTCGTCCTCTGCGCTGTCGTCGTCGTCGTCCGCGTCCATCTCCCGCGTCTCCGCTAGGATCCGCCGCCGCTTCGCTTCCAGGTCTTCCTCGCCGTCCTCGCCCTCTTTACCCTCGATCTGGTGCGGCCGCTTCAGGCCGGCGAGAGTAGTGTGCTCCGCATCCTCGTCGTCCTCGTCGGCGGTGGGAGCTCCCCCGTTCTTCTTGTTAAAGTGGACGGCCTCGGCGGCCAGCAGCTCGGCGGCGAGGTCGGTCTGCGAGAGCTCGTCTTCGCCGTCGCCGGCGCCTCCCTGGCCTGCTTTACGGAACTTGAGCTGTGTGTGGGCGGGGAGCATGCGCGTGTGGAAGGCTGGGCCGCGCTGGGCCTCCTTGCCACGTGCCTAAGGGATCTGGGTTAAAAACCGGGTTAATTGGGGGAAAGGGGCGGAGTTTGATACGTACGGGATCAAAGGTAGGTCTGTGGGCGGTAGTCATGGTGGCGGATGGGTAATTGATGAGATGTGTTTGAAGTGTCGAAGGTTTGAATGGGAGAGATTGCTTTTGTTTGAGGCAGCGAGGCAGCGGCGATGGCCTGCTTGAGTAGAAAGGTGACAAAATAAGTCTGTACACGACCCCACTATTGAGCCAACGCCACTACTCCCTTATTTTGACCTCTGATTTCCGGCCGCTCTCACCGCCCGGCATAATAATCTTCCCTGCAAAATAAACTTATCGACATCACCAAGATCTTGAAGCTGCCCCACCACCCGCAAAGCGACGTTGGAGCTGTGTAGGAGTCGCCGAATACAGACATAGCACAGCTTTTACAATGCCTCGAGAAGCCGAGCCCTCGCTCAACGAGAGGAATTTCGTATCGAGAGCTCTAGAGGAGGGCCTGCGTGTCGACGGCCGCAAGTTCGACCAATGCCGTCCCATCTCACTGGCGTTTGGCGATGAGTTTGGTGTCGCAGAGGTCCAATTCGGGAAGACGAAGTAAGTAAACTCGATCAACAATTGCTGAAATGGCTTTATAGGCTCTCTTCATCATTTCAATCCATTGAACCGAAACGTGCATTCCTTGTCTCAAGCGCATGGCCCATTGCTAACACGAGCTTCCCCCAGAGTCCTCGTCAAAGTCTCCGCCGAAGTGACCGTCCCATACGTTGACCGACCCTTTGAGGGCGTCTTCTCCATCGCCTCCGAGCTGAGCCCCATGGCAGCCCCCTCCTTCGAAGTCAACCGCCCAACCGAGACCGAGGTTCTCCTCTCCCGCCTGCTGGAGAAGACGATCCGCCGCTCTGGCGCCCTTGACACCGAATCCCTCTGCCTCGTCGCCGGCAAGAAGTGCTGGTCCATCCGCGCTGACGTCCACGTCCTCTCCCTTGACGGTAACCTCACCGACGCCGCCTGCCTCGCCGTCGTCGCCGCCCTCCGCCACTTTCGCAAGCCCGACTCCTCCATAGAGGGCGAGACCCTCACCGTCTACACACCCGCAGAGCGCGAGCCCGTGCCGCTGAGCTGGCTGCACTCGCCCTTTTGCATCACATTCAGCTACTTTGGCGAGGAGGGCGACACCGCCGTGCTATTAGATACCTCGTGGCTGGAGGAGCAGCTCCGGACGAGCAGCTGCACGTTCAGTCTCAACCGCCACGGCGAGATTTGCCAGGTTTCAAAGCTGGGCGGCGTGTCCATCGATGCGCCCGTCTTTGTGCAGTGCGCGCAGGTTGCGTTGGCAAAGTCCAAGGAATATACCGAGCTGGTGGACCGGAAACTAGCTGAGGATGCCAAGAGCAGAGATAAAGGTGGACTTATGGCAGAATTAACAGCAGAGAATGATCGGTAACGGAAGCCAAAATTTAGACTTCGTTGGTTTTAAAAGGATAGAAGAAAAAAAAGCCAGAAAATACATAAAACTAGGCATGATACCCCCTCAAAGAAAGAAGCAACCAAGGCTCATTGAGCAACTCCTGTCACGCTATCAAAATCTACGTCAAGGTATGATAACAGAAACCTAATTGTGAATCGACATACCCACGTCTATTCCACCCGTATGCGCCATATTGAATATCAGATAAGACCGCTGAACAAAGAGACAGAGAGGGCTCGGAGGAAAGTCTCATCTCCCCAGAGCCTCCATATCATCATGATCCTGTGAGAGAGGAACCGAAACCCAAGTAATCCCCTTCCCCAACTTCCTAGACACTGGTGGCAAGATACCCAGCCCATCCTGCCGTAACATTTTCCCCCATCAGCTACCGCATCACCGGCGGCCTAGACTCCTTATTCCACTGCACCCTCGTCCGTATCCAGTCCACGGCCTCCCTCACGCCGTCGCCCGTCAGCGCGCTCATGGACAGCACCCTCGAGTCGCGGATGCTCGCGCCCTTCTCGCCCTCCATGACCTTCTTGACCAGCCCCTCCTTGATCCTGATGGTCTCGACGCAGTCCTCGCGGTCCTGCTTGTTGGCCAGGATGAGCAGGGGCACCCCTTCCGTGTCCGAGTGCTGCAGGACGTCCTCAAGGACGAGGCGGCACTCGTCCAGCCGGCCGTCGCAGCCGTTCTCCACGTCGCCGTCGCCGATGTCGGTGCTGTCGATGATGAAGACGATGGCGTGGCAGCTCGCGTAGTAGCTCTGCCAGAGGCTGCGGAGGGTCATCTGGCCGCCGACGTCCCAGAGCTTGAGGTACATGTCCTGGAGGGGGATGGTCGAGACGTTCTGGCCGACGGTGGGGACGGTGCGGAGCTTGGGCTCGGGCTTGCTGGGGAGGAAGAGGGACTTGACCTGCTCGTGGAAGGTCGTCTTGCCGGCATTGTCGAGGCCGAGGAGGATGACGGAGTATTCTGTCGCGGCGCCTTCATGTCAGCTGGGGTCTTGGGAGCAGATACGAGAGGCAACGTATGCTAGGAAGGATGACAGGGAGGAAGCGCTGACCTGGCTTGCTGGTTGCGTAGAGGTAGATTCCTTTGGCAAGGTGATACATGGTTCAGTGGGTGTATCTACGCCGATACCTGGCACGTGGGCAGCTTTGCATGCATCTGAGGTCGAAGGAGATGGGCAGGGTGATGGCGCCAAAGCGAGGGCCTCGAGATGCGTCGAGTTGTAGGAGGACTGGCTGGGCGTTGGGTTGGCTTCGCTGGTTCTGCTGGGTAGGGAGGACTGGTGTTGATGGCGAGCGACGTGTGCTTGATCTGGCCCAGCGATCCGCTACGGCCGTGACTAACAAAGTTCGTCCGGTGTTCTGCTGCTGGATTATTACAGGCGGCTCTTCGATAACTGGAGGGGTGAAGATTGCCCATCGATGCCCCACAATTGCTGTCTATAACAAGGGCCGCAATTAGTTAGCGGACGGTTAACGATAAAGAAATAATTGCAACTATTGCTTGCATATCTTCCCGCTTGAACTAGAATACAAGATAATGAATCGAATGCGAGATGCCAAAATCCTACAGATAAAAACATCACAGACATAACATCCATATCTGGTTGTGCTTAGTCGAGGCCTACCCTATAGCAGACACCAAGTCTTGGGTAGAATCGGGCCTTGTATAAATATCTAAATACGGCGTCGCTGTTAATCATATTGGATTGCTATAATATGTAGTATCTCAAGAATATATTAATATGCAAATATAAAAGAGGATGTGCCAGGTTGTGCTGAAGATCCAAATATGTTGCGACTTTTGTAAATGATCAAATTCTTAAGCAGCTGTACTACTAACAGTAAATCTACATCGCCTTGGAAGTATGGGTCTGTCACTAGTCAGCCGCAGTCAACTACAGTCGCGGCAAACAAAAGGAACTTTACGTGTCCGGTCCCAAGTTGCAAGATACTATACAGAACATTCTCCAGACACCGAGATCTTGTGCGACATCATACTCTACGTAAGGCCCCAAATTCATTGCTAGTTGATACAGCCTACTGACTTACCTAAAGGCCTACATACATATACGATAAATTCTATCGATATTACTCATAGGCTATATACAACCCAAAGCTTTACAACTAATATAAACTATATTAAGTAGCTTTATAAGGCCTCTTAGAATACTAGGGATTCCTTGTCCCCGTGCAATCTGCGGGCATGCGGCTGAGTCATCTGTGCTCCGCATCTGTAACCACTGTGAGCCTCCATCATTCATGCGGATCGTGACGGTATCTCCCTCATCCTACTAGAACACGACTTCCCTTACACTATCAATCTTTGAGTGATCTCTTTCAGACCTTGCGATGCGGCTTTTACAACGTGACGATGCAGGCAACTATAGTCTTACCCAAAACCTCGCACGCAAAGATGCTCCCCCGTATGCGATACTTTCTCACACGTGGGGACTGGACGAGGTGGTCTTCGCCGATATTGAAAAGCCCCTGAGGGATTGGCAGCATAAATCAGGCTACGAAAAGATCAATTTCTGTGCTAATCAAGCGAGGCACGATGGTTTGGCGTACTTTTGGGTTGATACCTGCTGCATCGATAAGTCTGATAGCATCGAGCTTCAGACCGCGGTCAACAGCATGTTTCGATGGTATCGCGATGCGCAACGATGCTACGTCTACCTGCCCGATGTTTCCAGTGATACAGTCTCTAGTGAACAGCAAAATGTAATACCATGGAAAGATGCCTTCCGGCAAAGCCGATGGTTCACACGCGGGTGGACGCTGCAAGAGCTTATTGCACCGACGATAGTTGAGTTCTATTCAAAGGAAGGTGCTCGGCTAGGCGACAAGCGGTCCTTGGAGCCTTTGATTTGCGGCATCACAGGCATTCCTGCGAGCGCGCTTCGCTGCACACCTTTGTCTGAGTTTCCTGTCGCGGAACGAGAAGCATGGGTACGCGGCCGTCAGACAACACACGAGGAGGACATAGTGTATTCTCTGTTGGGCATATTTGACATTCACATGCCGCTCCTCTACGGCGAAGGACGGGAGAAAGCGCAGAAACGACTGCTTGAGGAAGTCCAGAAAGCTGTAACAGGTAAATATATCTTGATGATTGTTAAGAACAGGCTCATTGATTGGCACAACTAGGAACCCGTGCGAGCGACTTCTCTATTACCTTCAGTCTATTAGAAGTCCCCGAAACTCAATGCTTTGTTGCGCGAGAGAGCGAAATTGCGGAGATGCGCAGAGCACTAATAAGTCCAGATGGTGGCCGTCGCATCGTTATCCTACACGGTTTGGGTGGAATTGGTAAGACACAGCTTGCTGTAATATATACGAAGCGGTACCGGGATGAATACTCTGCGATATTTTGGCTCAACATTAAAGACGAATTGTCTATTCGACGGAGCTTCACTAAAGTCGCAAAGCAAATCCTGCGGCAGCATCCCGATGCTAGCGGCCTGAATGCGTTGGACCCGCAGCTCAACCCTGAGGAGGTCATTGAAGCTGTTAAGGCATGGCTCAGCTTGCCTGGAAACACGAGATGGCTTATTGTATACGATAACTACGATAACCCGAGACTAAGCAACGACAAAACTGACACGGGAGTCGACATTTTTCAATTTCTTCCCCCGTCGTACCAAGGCTCGATCATAGTCACTACACGGCTATCACGGGTTGATATAGGTCATCGTATACGTATTAAAAAGCTGGAATCGATCGATGATAGTCTCAAAATCCTATCCACGACCTCAGGCCGAGATAGATTGCATGATGGTAAGGCTCTCGTAAATCGCTAAGTTCTCCTAATTAATCATTGCCACAGACATGGATGCTAGAGATCTTGTAGAGAAGCTTGACGGCCTTCCGCTTGCCCTTGCGACGGCTGGAGCATACCTCAGGCACGTTGCGGCCAGCTTCAGTGATTATCTTCGCCTATACACAAAATCGTGGGCGAGGCTTCATGCAAGCACCCCAGACTTGGGATCCTATCAAGACCGCACACTCTCGTCTACATGGCAAGTCTCATACGAGAAAGTACAGGAAAAAAACGCACTCAGTGCTCATTTGCTCCAATGGTGGGCCTATTTTAACAATGAAGATATATGGTTTGAACTCATCCAGCCTTGCGATGATGAGGGTATGCCGTGGATGTTTGAGCTGAATGATGAGCTCAATTTCAATAGCGCGATTGGCATTCTGCATGACTATGGGTTTGTCGAGCCACATAGACCAAGTCCTGACTTGATCGAGTCAAGGGGGTACAGCATTCATGCATGCTTACACTCTTGGGCAATTCACAAATTGAATCATGGTTGCGATGGTGATCTGAAAAGGCTTGCGTTAAATCGCATAGCATCAAGGGTGCCAACACGTAATGATGATAAGTTCTGGCTGCTTCAAAGGCGGCTTTTATCACATGCGATGATGGCTTGCACCACAATCCAGGATGGTGATGGTCCGGATTGGGCTTTCCTCAACCTAGGTCTCCTTTATTATGACCAAGGCAAGATGCAAGAGGCTGAGGAGATGTACTTACGGGCGCTTCGAGGGTATGAGAGGGGACCAGATCATGAATCGATATTCGATGTAGCCAATAACCTTGGGAACCTTTATGCCGACCAAGGCAAGCAGCAAGAGGCTGAGGAGATATACTTACGGGCGCTTCAAGGGTATGAGAAGATACATGGACCAGATCATATATCGCTACTCGATACAGTTCATAACCTTGGGATCCATTACTCTGACCAAGGCAAGCAGCAAGAGGCCGAGGAGATGTACTTACGGGCGCTCCGAGGGTATGAGAAGGCATGGGGACCAGATCATATATCGACACTCGATACAGTTAATAGCCTAGGTCTCCTTTACTCTGAGCAAGGTAAGCAGCAAGAGGCTGAGGAGATGTACTTGCGGGCACTTCAAGGGAAGGAGAAGGCATGGGGACCAGATCATATATCAACACTCGATACAGTTTTTAACCTTGGGAACTTTTACTCCGATCAAGATAAGAGACAAGAGGCTGAGGAGATGTATTTACGGGCGCTTCAAGGATATGAGAAGGCATGGGGACCAGATCATATATCAACACTCGATACGGCCAATAACCTAGGTCTCCTTTACTTCGATCAAGATAGGGGACAAGAGGCTGAGGAGATGTTTTTACGGGCGCTTCAAGGATATGAGAAGGTGTGGGGACCAGGTCATATATCATCACTCGATACGGTCAATAACCTAGGTCTCCTTTACTCCGATCAAGATAAGATACAAGAGGCTGAGGAGATGTTTTTACGGGCGCTTCAAGGATACGAGAAGGCTATACGGCCCCAAGATATTGCGAGATACCAACCAGCAATTATCACAATGTGGAATTTGGGGGCCTTCCTATGGGATCAGGGCAAGCCAGTCGAGGCGGGGGAATATTATCACCAGGCTCACAGCAATCTTGAGGCATTGTTGGGACCCCAGCATCATGACGTTCAGAAACTGCGCAATGAACTACTGGAATTAAAATCAGAATATCCAGAGTGAGTCTGCGAAGAAGCTAGGGCAATCTATGCTTTTCTAATCGCTGAGTATAGAACCAACAGTACTATGGCAAGCCCAAAGGAATAGACGTCGAGATACCTTGAAAAGAGCCCTACGCACAATATTACCTGCAAAAAGACACTTGAAGAAATAGAAGACATGGGTATGGGTTTGTTGGAGCTAAGCGGGCGATAGGAAGGTATTCTCAACTACCAAGATAAGCCACGAGCGTTGAAGCCCGCAGCCCAGCCTGTTCGAACGCACACACACTTCGCTAGTAACTAACATTAGGAATTCCGTGGAAGGCAACCCGGCTTCGAAGGCAAAAGTAAGGTTTAATCACACGATAGCCGCGGCTGCGATTCAATAGACCTAGAAGGATCAGTTTCGCCGAGAGGGGTCAGTTGGCTAGGTTGGAAGACAACCTAACTGGAACCGATCGCCAGAGCCCTGACCTATCGGCTCGAGCAACCCTAGCCGGTAGGATTGATCGCGAACCTACTGACCTGACAATCAACCTAATACCGAAAGATCGGCGTGGGCCCGATGCCTCGAAGAGCGTTCTGATCCTATTGAACACACAGCTTGAAGGAAGATCATGACCTCGGTCATCCGGATATGAACATCCCTGGCACTTAATAGCCAGAGGGATATCGAAAGGACCTTACGAGCCCGAGACCAGGCTGCTCACATGAGAATACGATCGAGGGATTCCCAGAGATATAAGGGGCCACGGATCCCTTCTGTAATTACTAGTTAGAAGCAACAGTCTCAATGTTTTCCTTTTACCTGTGAAGCTGGAAGCTGTTAGGTGGCGACACTAACAGGGGTTATCGACATTGTGTGCCACACTGTGACTACCTATGCGACAACGATAAGCGCACGACCGCTCAGGTTCCAGATATCCTGGGTCTGAAGAGCAAGAATCTAGAGACAACCAGCATATATAAATAGCCACAAGAAATGTCAAATGTCTCATTATGCATGAATTTAACCACGACTTAAAAATAAGTCTATTAAAAAAAAGAAAGGACCAAGGAATGTAGGAAAGGAGGTTTACAGAATCATGCTAACTTGGCAGGCATCGCACTTTGCAATAAATCTGATACTCCGTTGACGCTGCTGCGACTCTCTCCGTCCCATGTTTTGTGGAGATGAACCGCCTCAAATCCGACCTGTAGAATTATTGGCAGGCATTACTCTTTTGGCGTAACTGTGCCGTTCCGCCGCGACCCGCAGGGAACCCTCCAAGTTTATTAACCAAGAACTAGATGCAAAGATGACAGGCCGGGGCAATATGACGTGATACGGCATGAGACTGATGTCTGCCATAGGGCTCGATGAACCAGGAAGGTGCGGTATTGTGTTTTAAGCTGTGCCATAATTAAGCATGGTCACGAAAATGCGCAGTTGATGAAGAAGTCGCCGTGATATAGCGATCTGCGACGGAATCGTCGGCTCATATCGCAATACGAAACCTCATAATGGGACTTATGAAGCCTCGTGGGCGAATTTACGGGCTGGGAGTGAGGGAATTGGTGTGTCTCTTGCCCGTTCGCCGCTGAATACGCTGACGAGCTGACATGAAGAAGACATGGAGATTGCAGCCCATCTCTATCTGATACCTGACAGCACCGTGGCGACTCGCCGCGCGATTTGGGACTTGAAAAGAAGGAGAATATTTGTGGCAAGACATGAGATCTAACACGAACGGTCACCGAAGGCGTAGCATCTAGCTATCTCGCAGAAGGGCATGCATGCCATTGTTTCGCCACTGTCCATTCCAGGAAACAAGAAGCATTCTGCATGGTATTCATGTTCTTCGGTGGCGGGGTAGCTCACCCACGAGACGGTTCATCAGATAACACCAATCACACCAATGGCTTCTGGATGCTCTGTCTTTTCGCCGATTGGCACCCAGGACGATCTATTGTCGCACTCTGTTATATTTAGACTGCCCTCTGGTGACATTTTACATTTCGGCCCAGATTAAGTTGTCACAACATGCGGCCCGGTAAAAATAGCAACCCATAGGGCCAACGTGGAAACGTGTCGCTCAAAGAAGACATATTCGTAGCTGCATATCGACGCAGGGGATCTTGGACCGGAAAACCCACCAGGAGGATCCATTAGGCTGGAGTGGATGCTGGCGGGCGGCATAGCTTATTGTGATCCTTGACTGGCACACATGGAAGTGGCAGCTTGAACGAGCTTGTGAGGGGTGAGAAGTGAGACTGCGGCACAGGCAATCTGTACGCAACACGCAATTTAACTAGCTGAACAGGTCTCACTGGAGTCCGTTTTGGGGCCAGTCCGTCAGCCCTGTCAGAGTCTAAGCAGGGGCAGGGGTTGCTTACTCCAATATATTATTCAGTCTGCATACGGTTGGTTGTTGGTCATCTGCTGCTTATTGTGCCCAGTGCGGAATAAGCTGTAAGCGGGAGGCTGGCCGCGAGCTGGTGGAGGATGGAGGGACTTCTGCTCGCTCAATGCCCGTCTGATTGGCCTGGTCGCATCTTGGCTGCCAAACTGATAGGTCTTTTGCTGATGGTGGTGTCGCATCATCTTCCCACTTGAGCGTGGCTTGTGCCAATCCAGCACCCCTGTGCTTCCCTTTTGCTCGCAGAACTACTCCAGTCTTTGCCTATTTTTGTATCAATGCGATTTAGCTGCAGGAATGCTCACAGCCACAGACATCGATGGCAGGTACGCGCAGCGAACTTGTTGTTCGGCGGCCGCATTGGGACATACTCTGACTGGCAGAGTCTCGTCTCATGGTTGCTAAACCACTTGCTTCCAGTAATAGAACTCCGTTGTTGAGATTGGGAGTATATATTAAGTCTTACTCTGCCCGGTAGTTATCATGGTTTCTCCCATCTCCAGCCCAATTTCATCTACACGCAAGCTTTCCTGTCTTCAGCCTTCCTCTCTACTTTTCACTTTTTCCTATCTTCTGTACTTCTGTACTTGCCTACTCTTTCGACTTCCGTCACTCTTTGTTGAATCCAATCATCCTAGATTTGCTGGCCAACATCTGCCCATCATGGTTGCCATTACTCGTACCGCTGCTGCCGGCATTGCCGTCCTGAGCGCCCTCAAGGGTGCCGCTGCCTCTACCGAGACCCGAGACGTCTTTGACGATGTTGCCGTTCTTGACGCCAGAGACGTTCTCAACGAGGGTGCCGAGCCCCTCGCCCTCGACGCTCGCGACTTTGATGATGAGCTCTCCTATGAGACTCGCGACTTTGATGACGAGCTCTACTACGAGACTCGTGACTACGACGACCACCTCGAGAAGCGCTTATTCGGTTTGCTGAAGGTTGGCAGGAAGGTCCTCGGCGGGGTCGCCAAGGCCGCCTTCGGCCGCAAGGGCAGGCGATCTCTCGACGACAGCGAGGACTTCCTCGAGGGCAGGGGCATCGAGGAGGATGTCGTGGCCTTCGACACCCGTGACCTCGGCGACGACGTCCCCCTTGAGGCCCGTGCTATCCTCGACGGCTCCCACCCCGACCTGGTGGTCGTGAATAAGCGCATATTCAGGGGCATTGTTAAAGGCTTCGGGCGCCTGATCGGTGGCCGTTCCATTGACGACGAGGACCTCGACGTCCGTGACTTCGACGACTACGAGGTCTCCTTCGAGGCTCGCGACGAGGAGGAGTCCACCTCCGAGGGCCCATCCGGCGACGCACCATCGCCATCCCGCAAGGGCAAGAAGCTCAAGGGCAAGAAGCTCAAGGGCAAGAAGCTCAAGGGCACGTTCGGCAAGGGCAAGTCCGGCAAGGGCAAGTCCGGCAAGGGCAAGTCCGGCAAGAACAAGAAGACCGGCCCCAAGAAGCACGGCAAGAACAGTGCCAAGTCCAGCTAGAAGCACGGCAATAAGGCCCGCAAGTCCAAGAAGGACACCCGATCCGTCGACGGCGGTGAGTTCTACGAGGCGTAAATGAACATTCGCAACGAGGTGGTTGTGTGATGAGTTCCCGTCAGGGAGACTAAATGCTTACGAATTGTTGGCTCCAAAGTTCCCAAGGGGGCACAACACGGTAATTGGCGCCCGGGGGAAGACTCTATTCAAGCCTTCTTAGGCACACTTGATATATACCCTTAGCGGATGGTGGTTATGATCAGAGCTTGAACAGACAGACATGAAGTGAACTGCACGCCGAGTCGAGGGAATGAGGGAATACTGCTTCGTTCTGGAGGGCAGTTGTTGTACTAGCTATTGTGATATTTTCCCGTCCGCACGACGGGCTTGAGTTTTTTGCCTGCTTCGAGATATCTAGTTTACAGAAAGTTATATACAATTTGGGTTAGAAAATACTTCTCTCCATTCCCGTGTGCTTAGAATGGAACAGCAACTGAGAAACATGCACAATTGGAGTGCTGGCTTATATCATATGGACACGACTCTGAGACCCCATGGGAAATGTTACGCCTTTCATACCTGGTCTTACCTCTGGCGCAAAGAGAATACACCATCATTGCTTCAGTCTCGCATGTATACCAGCCGGTAGTGTTCCGCAGCTCCCAGATTGAGTTTTGTCGAAAGTAATAGTTCTAGAGCCTGATCATTTCATCTTCCGAAACCTGGGGAAGATGATTCTGGGGACCTTGCTAGTCTATGATGTTGATCTACGAACGAACGGACTTTTAAATGAAGTCCGTGACGGGGCCTGGGAGGATCCGGGATGATGACGGCTTTAACCCTGGTCGGAAGGTGTCGCCACCCGGGCAGCTTCTCACCGACAATTGGCTTGTATTCTTGAGTTCTTGCATCTCATATTCTCAATCGGTTTAGAGAGCGGAGAAGATTCGAAACGTCTTATGGGGCTTGTCGTTGTGGTCCTCCTGGATGAGTTTGCTGACGGTGATCATAAGTGCGCCGGTTGACTCCGCGGCCAATTGCGGGCTCTTTGAATTTGGATTAAGTGATTACGCTGCTTTAGCTCTTTTCCTGAGATTGAATTTCATGGGGAAGTTCAGTTCCTTGTGGTTTAGGCATCGACTGACAGAAGGGCTGTGATGCTGGCGCGGACACTCGCCCTTGCGATCGGTCTTCAAGTATAGAAGAAGCCGCGGAAATTCCGTTCCAGGAGATTCGTCTTTTAGAAAGATAATTGTCACGCCAGACAATTCCCCACGGGCCTCTTTGGCCCACAGTGGATGGACTCTCGGCGACGAAAGCGAGGAATTCTTCAGGGTTATACACAATAGCGTGAGGAACAGCCGTCGCGCGCCCCCATTCTCTCTAGGCCAATCGCTGGCAGCACGGGCTCAGACTTATCCCCGCATTGAATGTCACTCTAGTCGTTTTGAATCTTCTCCAACTTCTCGAAAGGGGCTGATGGGCATCGTCAAGTACTGGGATGTCATCGGTCCAACTGCCGAGGAGTAACCTGATTGGCGAAAATACGAGAATCAACACCACGGAGGCCCTAAGGATGCGGCTTGGTAAGAGCTCAGTTGCCGGTCGCCCGTGGCTAAGGGCGGAACTTCACGATACATTGTCGCACTGCTGTTGCCTTGAACGATAACTGCCGGGATTGCGTCCTCAGAGGATTCGAGTAGTGTTATCCTATAGGCTAGTTCGTCGCGATCCTGGAAGCCGTGCCCGGGATAGTGCAAGATTGACCCTTGCCTTGCCTCTTAAGAACCTGGATTTTCGGCGAGTGTTCTATCTTCTGCATATACTAGCTTACCATGAGATAGTCGGTGCCGACTACTGTACATTCCCGATGTTTCGTCCCCTGCAATGTCCATGTGGGAATGTGTATAAGACTGGGCATTGACCCCCAACTAGCCTCTGAGCCTAGAAGTTCTTTTCAGAAACACCAGTTCTCCTCCGGGCCCCCCAAAGTCCATCATGCTCTTCAAGAAACTTGCCGTCGCTTCCGTCATCTCCATGGCAGCTGCCATTGAGACGCACGGAGGCATCGACTTCGAGGTCCGCTGGGAGGCTGGCGGTGAACCAGAGACGAAGCCAATCCGGGACTTCTACGTCAATACCGGTGCTGAGCAGGCCGCCACCCGTCTGTACAAGCGCATATCCGAGAAGAACTTCCAGACCAACTGCGAGGTGACTGGCAAGACCGACGCAGAGTCGTTATTTACTCTCAAGGAATGTATAGCCGCCGAGGACGAGAACGCCTTCTTTAGCCTGTTGTCCCAGGATCTCGACGAGGGTGACGCTTTCTGGGAGAAAGTCGTGAAAGAGTCTACTGCCTCCCGGAAGGACTGGATTGCTGCCCGCGGTTGGGTCCGCGCCTACTTCGACGGTTCTCTGACGGCGCCGCAGTTTGCGGCCTGGATGACCTCTGAGGATGCTGATAAATGCTACCTCCGTGGCAACGCAGAGCATTACTACAAGGCAACCGAGAACCTGTCCCTTCTGCAACAAAAGTCACGCATCTTCGAAGGCTGGGGTGGTGTCCTGTCGTCATTTGGCTCCAAGCTCATCGACTTCACCGTCCCCGACTTCCAGATCCGCAAGTTCGGCACAGACGAGTACCCAGCTGAGTGGGCTATCGACCCGTCCTTTGGGTTCCTCCAGCGCGCGGGACCAAAGACCCTCCGCTCTGGCACCGTCTGGGGCATCCTGCACATCGGCGTCCGGGACATCACAGCCGCGGAGTCGGGCAACGGCAAGTCGGGCATGGAGATCTACGGTGCCGTTTGGTACCCCCCCTGGGACCAGAGCTCGGAGGAGAACCAGGCAGAGTTCAAGAAGATGCTGCTGGACGAGGGCTATCAGGTTTTGGCGGAGGTTGTCAACTTCAGTCTGCAGGCTAACAAGGACTGTGCGCAGGAAGGCAAATGCAGGCTTCCTATGGCCGCGATGCCGGGGCAGGGTGCTCCTGGATCTGGAAAAGATGAACTGTGATTCCAGAGTTGTTTGTATAAACGTTGATATGAGAAGTACGTCCGGCCCGTGTTCAATTTGGATGAGAGTTACATTGTAATGTGCCATTGAGATGGGGGCCACATCTGAGGTCATGTTTCATCCTACAGCGTGCGACCTAACTCAGCCTCATGCAAGGCGACCTCGGGGCAGACTGTTGGGCTTTTAAGCAATAGTGCTGTTTCTGTTGGTAGCTCAATGTAAACTTTTCAACAGCCACGACATACTAGCCATTAATTGATTGCGATTGAGATACCTCGACAAACCTCTCAATATGGCAGCTGCTGTTGGCCTGAGCCCCAGCTCGGCAGACATTTTCTCCCTGGTAGTTCGGATGGGGAAAACAGCAAAGATGCTACATAATGTTCGAAAGGTGATACCGGAAGAACTGGCTAGAGTGGGAGCTCAAGTTGAAGGTCTGCATCAATTGATAAGTCAGCTTAGTGAGATACCAGGCTGCCACGAGATCGCCTTTCGGCTGTGCAGGGATGATTGTGACAAGCTATTGGAAAAGCTTAGCAGGTTGGAAAAGACCTTCCGCTCGGAGGCGAAGCGAGATATGCTGGATAAGCTCGCCAAGGCTGCATCATTGAGGAACTGGGAACGGGATCTGATGTATGTGGAAAATGCGGTCAGGGATGTCAAACTAAGCTTGACATTGTAAGTGAAGATATGTTTATTATATGAATTCTTGCTAAGTTTTTTGTAGAGCTCTATCAACCTGTGGCCTTCTTCCCCAGATAAATTCTCTGGCGGATCGACCTAGTAGTATACCTGGGGCCGCAGAAGAAGTACCAAAATCACGAAAAAGACTTGAAATAGAAGCAAAGTTGGATTCCGGAGACGACAAAGGAGCGGCTGAGATTGTACAAGCAACGAACACACCATCTACAGGTCGTTTGACCATTTATCGGAGGGACTCTCTTGATTTGCAACCTCCCGACTGCACGTCACGGAGATGTTCATGTGCTTGTCATAGAACTCAAGAGGTGTCTTCGCGGTTTTGGAGCTTGAAATACACGCCGGCCCGACCTTTTTCTCGGCAGTGTGACAGGCCTGGATGTACTGCTACAGAGTATAACACAACTCTGAGATCGGCATTGTCCCAATTCGGTCTTGGCTGGGCTCTCAACCTTGGAATGAATGTGACAAAGTCTGCATTAAAGCTAACAATCTCTCCGATCCTCGAATTGGAACAAACAGTCCCATATACTGCCCCTGGATTCGAGGTCATTGCCCGACTTCGGTACGACGGCATGAGTTTACAGGAAGCTCAGCAAGCATTTATCCATTTATTTACAACAGTACCGAACTTCAAGAACGATGTCGATCCGAGCGGGAAGTCATATATTCAAGTAAAGCCAGCTAAGACTCGGTTCCAATCAGATGGGAAGTACTGACTGGAATAGGTGCTGTTGGGGTCTGTTTGGTCAGCCAATGACCAGCTGGACCTTCTTGAGCTGCTTATGGGGGAACTCCGAATTACTCGCGGGAGGGACGATGTTAGGTGAGATGAGTTACTCCTTACGCTCTTATCTAGCCTCCTAACTTAATCCCAACTGAAGGTTTTTGACTCAATGTGCGACATGGATCGGAGAAGGGCTACATCTGCCGCTGCTCAACGAACTCTTAGACTACGGCTTCGATGTGAACAGACTCAACTGCCCAAATGTCCTAGACTGGCCTCAACCATGTTCCCCGAATTGGATGATTGAGGAACAAACTCGTGATCCTTTCTTTCTTTATCATATACATCTCTATTCTATGCGAACAGAGCCAAGGTAGGTCTATACTGAACCTTCGGGCTAGTTTGATATATCTGGGATTCTGATATTCTTCTTCAAGGCTTTGGTGGAATGACACCGCTCCACGAGGCTGTAGTTTTTGGGACCGACGAGGCTGTGCACAAATGGCTTCTAAAATCAGAACACGATCAAAGAATTTCCTTGGACAGACACCACTTCATTTTGCTGCTGCTCAAGGCCGACACCTCGACTCGTTGATTGCGTATGGCCACAACTTAGATACAGTCGACTATCATGGGAACACTCCGCTTATGTACGTGACAGCAATGAATCAAACGGAATCGGTGATGTTGTTAATTGACTCTGGTGCAAATCCTGGCATCCGCGAGAATAACTATCGCCGTCTGTTCATGGACTATGCTGCTTCTCGCGGCCACTGGCGTTTACTTCTTGATATTCTTGACCATATTAAAGAAATCATAGGGGAAACACTCACAACTCCATGGGCAGAGAAGGCAACTGTAATATTTCATCTCTCCTACTCGAGAAGTCGCAGAAAAGAGAACGTCTCACTTGGAGACTTTTTATCTAGATGCTCAGGTGCTGACTTCACCTTTCTCATGAGACCCGATCAAGGAGGCACCCAAACTCTACTGCATAAGTGCAAGTCCGTTGAGGACATTGAGGAGTTGATATTTGCTGAATTCAAAAACATCGACCAAAGGAACAGCCTTGGCCAAACTGCGCTCATGTGTGCCATTTCAGAACAGGTATCTGCAGCAGTTGTATCTAAACTCATCCAAGCTGGTGCCGATGTGAATCTTAAAGATGAGCAAGGCTGCACTGTTCTACAATATGCGCTTCGAAATATAGGCTTTTCTTTTCACTACGAGCCGAGTGAAGGGACAGAAATCCTAAGTATTCTCCTGCGCCAGGGTGTTCAACTGTATCCAAAGGAGAAATGCAGATGTCCATGCTCGCCCGATGGGTTCGCGCCGGACATTGAGCTTAATACCAATAGCGATTTCAGTCATTGGTGGGGGCCACCTGAAGCTCCCATCTGGTGGTTGGGGTGGTTCACGCAAATATATGAAACTCGAGGTGAAGGTGATGCCCGGACGACACTCCTTGCACTCCTCCGAAGGTTCAAACACAAGCATCAAGACGTGAGCCATGTTCATTGTCCCATGAGTTTGGACAGGGACTTCTTCTGGGACAATCTTAGGAGTATGGCGGATGTGCCCCGGATCAGTGAGGAGGATATCGATGATATCTTAGGAGAAGAATCGGAGTTTATCGAGTCGTTGGAGAAGGAAATGACATTGGTCTCCAATTTCGACTACCACACTCTGATAAACGAACTCATCTTGTGTTTCAAAATAGCACTAGATGATGTCAAAGGGAGGCGCGAGTCCCAAGCCAAGGCGATGCGGCGAACGCAACCAACTAAGCCCGAGAGAGAGGTGAGTACTCATGTATGGTCTATCTCATGTACAGTTGCTAACGTATTTGAAGGGGTTCAAAATCGACCGGAAGAATGACCGTTTTATTCTAGCCACAATTGACAGCGGCTGGACTCCGTCTGAGGGCCATTCCTATGGAACGAGGGAGCTTTCGGTATATGTCTCATGGATGGCATATCAAGGGTTCTACGGTGGACTAGCTGTGCTCGAAGAGCCGGCGCAAGAGCGATGGCTCTTTAGACGAGTTCCATGGATTCGTTTGCTTTTGAATGCTTTCGAAATACCGCTTGAGGATATCTTTCAAAAGAAAACTGAAGAAGACGAGCCCGGGACAGGATTGCAAGAAAAGCGAGCAAGGGAACATCTCAGATCTTTATGGGCAAAGTATGAAACGAAGTCGTGACATTTATAGTCTTCTTCCACAGCATATTGATATACATTGAAGCTCTCCTGTCAGCCACGTTTTGGTTCTTCCCCACTTTCAAAGCTCTATCTATCTCTGAGCACTCATTAGGCGACCTCAATCCAGAATGATGGAAGTAACAAGAGTAAAATGGAGAGACAGCCCCGGAAAAAAGACCGGTTGTTTCTTGTTGACCAAGACCGACGTTAGAGCCGGAGACTCTAACTATTCCATCTAAGCGTGAAATAAGCATAAGCTGCCATTGATAAAAAGGCCATCGTGCTAGCGATTCGCGGAAATACGTGGCATCGATCGTATTTGTCGTGTTGTTAAACCCCTGCCTCAGGGAGCCGGGAGGGGACACCAATCCAGCCGCAATGTAACGCGGGCCTTACAAGGAGCTACTGTGGGTCGGAGGAATGTATTGGAAGTTGCAAGTTGTGTCTGTCGTTGTAAACTTCTTCATTTGGGCCTCCAGTATTGAGCTCTTAGAGAGTAACTGCCCGTGAACTCGCGAGGCTGCTAGGGTGATCACTGGATGATATGGGCCCGATGTCATACCTGCTATTGTGTGTTAGGAACAGAGCCACATAGCTTCCTGGTTTCATCGTGGGTTGCAGCAGCCACACCAAGTGAGATAGGGCAGCGGTAGGGCTGCAGCAGGTTCCTTGGCGTGGCTGCCAACCGTTGGGGTTCACGTATCTGCCTGCCTTACTGCGACTATTCTTTCCTAGTTTATCCGTATAATGGAGCGGTTTTAATATGCTGCTTGCTTCGCGATGGCTTCTTGAATCCACCATGTAGCCCCATTCATAAGCGCATTGGTGATGGAAACCAACAAGCAGGTTCCTCAGCCCAAACCCACCGGCTCTTACTTGATAGGCTCTAGCGAGTTTCATCTCGCGCCAAAAAGCAACTTGGCTTGGAAATGAAATTCATCTATGCCTCAAATCGGTAGACGGAGAATAAGAACTTGCCAAGCTTGCCTTCTGCTGCCCCTGCCGATGCAACCCACCCCCTTCGCCCTGTCGACCAGGAATAGTACCAGCCGCATTAATACCAGGGTTGTGACCCTGAAACCAGAAGAAAACCCCAATAGGCTGGGTGATACCTTTCCAGATTGGGTATGCGGTGCGGTGCCGTATCAAGGAAAACATGGAGTTGTTTTGGCTAATGAATGTTGCTAGCTAGTATTTTGTGGAGAGATCTTCTCTATTAAAGAAGTGGCAGTTCGAGAGCTTGTGAGCTCCAAGTTGTCTCCTCCTCTGGTTCCTCCGTAACCTCATCTTGCCTCTCTCCGGCCCACAGGATCTGACAAGCACTCGACGCCTGGCTGCCTGATCCAAACATCTTCCACCATGCAGTCCTTAACGGTCCTAGCTTTTCTCTTAGGCATGGCCCTTGCAGACGATGCTTGCGATTACAACTCAAAAGCAGGATCAAACAAGCCAGCCCCTTGCATCAGGCCTACCTACAAAGCTGAAACCGAGTTCACCTTCGACCCATTGCTGCCCGAGACCTCCAAGTTCGTCTACGCATTCGACAATGTCACGTACGACGACTGGAATGAATTGACGAGTAGAGACAAATATGCGACTGCGCGCGCATGGTGGATTGAGTACAGCTCCATCAAGCCTAACAACACCTTCACTCGTCCACACTACACCACGGTTCTCACCACATACATTAACGGCACGGGGCCAACTGGGGGCAGCAATAACGGATGCGAGAACATCTTGGGGAAAACGTGCATTGATAAGATCAATGAAGCTATTGAAACTCTTTTCACGTCCGATACCGGTACTCTAGAGACTATTTCCGACCTCGCTTTGGCTTACAAGAATAAGCTTCTCCGAGACGCCTGCCCAACGGATTTGTTTAGTGAATACAACAAAATCCAAAGAAGAGATGGAACCATAAACCAACTTCAGGGCTCTTCATCATGTAAGATGCCCCTTCACTGGGAATCGCTATGCTTGCTGACATGCCACCCTTTCCCATACAGACCTCGCTATTGAATACAATGACACGGATAAGTTTTCGACTGTTAAAAGCGGAGTGAATCCATCGGGTAATTCTTCTTGGACCTACTACGACCAGAAAATTGTGCTTGGTTCAATGGCATCCTATATCAATAAGACGGCCGTTACTTTTATCAACCGACAGCCCTCCAAGGAATACAACAAGAACTACACAAAGGACCAGATACAATTCACTATGCTTTGCACTAGAATTTCGCAGGATGAAATTGACAAGGTTACGGGCGGCTCGAGCAATAGCGGCGGTAATTCTGATAACAGTGGCTCGAACAATAACTCGAACAGCGACAAAGGTGGAGCAGGAAGTGTAACCGGTGTACCCATGGTCGCTACGTTGGTCGTGTCTCTGGCAGCTTTCTTTTGGTTGGGAGGTTTGTAGTAGGTCAGACCAATGTCCTGAGATGGCTTTGACGACCTACGGTCGAGCGTTCTAAAGTAATATATACGAGCACGAATATGGACCAGTTACTCGTCGAGGCGGTTGGACTTTTCATATTTGTTATTTGATTGTAACGCATAAGCCAGGAGAAATCTTTGCTACTTCTATTCCACTCGCAACCTATATTATGTCTTATTTAGTGGCGAACATATATGGGAGAATAAAGAATAAGAACACTATCTCTAATACTTGCTTGTATATTGAACGTTTCTCTGAAGTCATTGAGTATATTCGTCAAGGTTACGGTATATTATCCTAGTGTCGACTGAAGTAAGAGAAGAATTAGATAGAACTATATCGAGGTCTTGAAAATAACATTTTAATGCACCCGTTCTATTATGCAACGACTGGTTGAAGCTGGGTCTTTGATGGCATTATAGTCCACGCAAGGTTATATATGGCTCGAAGTAGTAGAACTCGGTTTATAAGTTAGTCAAATATTTCAATAGACCATAGCATATAACTGCCATCGCGTTTTGACATTCTTGATATTCTATATTGCACGGGATTGAACTAACCCTCGTGTTTTCGTCGATTTGGATGCCCTCACGGATCCCTGCTGCCACTCAACTCCGTTACGCCCATCTTTGAAGCTGCTTCATATGAGTCAAACGCCTGATCGCCTTGGAAGTGCCATCCATTCTGAGGACCACTAGACAAATGGCTAGTATCGCTATTCAACTCGCAATCCCATCCTCCAGCCACGCCTCCGCTGTTACGCCAGTCGTCGTTGAAGTATGCTTCACCCGCAGCGGGGACCTTCTTGCGCACGAATTTGCTGATACCAGAAGTGAAACATCCAAAATCTATCTCATCGTAGTCGGCAGGGACATTTCCCGTCAAAGCTCTGCCGCTGGCAATTATGGCTGCTGCATGGCTGCAAAATAGTAGAGTGACTTCTTGGTCACCCTTGCCAGTTGCAACAAACTCGTTGTCAACATCCTCAATCACCAATGCCAATGCCTTTGCAACCCGGTCATGCAGTTCGTGGATCTTCTCCCCTTTGTCCGCTGGTGTCAACTTGGGCTTATAGTTTTCGTCTACCCAGGGGAAGAACTTGCCCAGCTGGGCTGCATCTCCCGGTCTCGGTTGGACAAACCATGCACGGCCGAACCACTCCCCAATCCCCGTCTCTCCCCTGACTTGAAGTTTATCCAAAGCAACTGATGAATCGCCCACGGTGTCTCTGAGCGCAACCACGGAAGGCCGCAGTGTCTCCAGGCAGCGGTAGAAGAGACTGGAGTAGATGCGCAGCCGGCCTTGGTCAGCGTGCTCTTTCAGGTAGCTACTGAGGTGCTTTGCCGTTTCTTTTGACTGGGAAACACCTCCGGGGGCAAGTGGAGGGTCAGCCGGCAAGCCCGTGGGAAAAGGCTCGCGGGAAGAGTATTCGCCCGTTGCGGGGTTTAATGACCACGGCTGCCGGTCTCCATGCCGAAGCAAGAGAATCTGCGTGACGGGCATCTTGCTGGCTAATCTTAGCAAACTAGGCCCAGAAAGTAGATATGGTGGTAAGTTGCTAATGGGAGTTGAATTGGTGAAGTGTTGACGTCGAGTGTTACGCATCACAGTCTTGGTGCCGCCGGGTGAATGCCCCTCCCCCCTCTTTTCACTACTTGTAGGCGGGCAGCCCAAAAAAAAATATTGGAAAAAAAAAAGGGGGGGGGGATAAGTAAAAGGTTCACATGCAGTAAAGATCCAGATATTTGCCTGCTATAATTCATAGACTATCTTTGAGTTCGCATTCAACAAAGAAGATACCTATATTCAAATGCAATTTGAAACACCCAAATGGGTAGACAGGCAGGCCAAATCTAACGAGCCAAGGATTCATGAAACAAATGCAAGTCTCCTGCTATCAATTGACGAGTCCATCTGATATCGTTGTAGAAGACACTCCCAGCACACCTGATCAGCATGCTTAAGAATAACCGTCCTTGCTCCTTGCTGTACGCTCAGCGCAGTTGTTGATAAGCGCCCGATCCAATTCCGGGCAGATCGAATTACACAAGGATTTTCCGGTTGATCTAGAAACTCATGCCATGAGTCTATAGATGTTAAACAGGATGTAGGTTGCTTCAATCGACATGTGTGAGTACATGTGATATCATGAGCGCCCACTCGCTCTAGAATGGAATGATTGAGAGCAGAGAGCACGTCCAAATCCGCCACCCATTCCTTACGGTCAAAAATAGATACGATTGTCTCAATAAAGCTGGCTTCAGCCCCTTGATAGCCATGTTCAGATATTACGGGCAACTCGTAACGTGTGAATGAAAGATGCAGCGATGTATGCTGGAAGGAATCACTGAGGTACCCATCGAAGTCGGTATGATTGATCATAACCCACCGCGATTCGTCCACCTTCCGAACCATTGGGACAACGGGGGGGATCATAAGGCTGATGCCTGGTCTTCCAATGTTGCCGACCACATGCTTCACCTCACTTGGGTCGGGACAGTCAAACGGATCGCTTATTAGTGGCATCGCCACGTATAATGAGTTCCCAGTGGAAATCGCCATCACTGGCTCCAAACTGCGGGGGTCCAAGTTGATATTGCGAGTTTCAAACATGGCAATGCAAGCGAAGACTTGGGCTCTACTAAGCTCCACCGTTCTAATTTTGCGATCGCGCGGCTCTGGGGGGCCTTCTGGTGACTTGACCTCGCCTTGTTGGGAGCCCCAGCTTGTGTTGGAAAATGGAGTTCCGGGGTCTTGAGTGAATATATCCTTGGGGTTCACAGAACTCCTATGAAAGAGAGAGCCCTTTTCTTTGAGTTCAATCTCTGAGTTCATCCCTGAGTCCACCTCTCCAGGCTCAGATGGCAACCAGAGTGCCTCTTCTAGGGGCGAAGAAAAGACACCGGTACTAATGGTAGCTCCTGGCATCAGCTCGTATACACTGATAGCGGCTGCTAGTGCTCTCAAGGACTGTACATTCTGAGGAACTCTAGATCGCTGACATTCACCCGAAAAATCCAGAAACTCTACCATCTTGTTTATATCAAGCCAACCACAACGGAGTATGTTGAGAACTAGCTCAATTTCAAGCATTGAGGAACCAGAAATGTTCCTGTCAACTCGCTTGAAAAGTGCGGCGTCCGTAGGATCCCCAATGATACATTCGTATCTGATTTCTTCAGAATCAAAGCTTTCAACCTCTGAGTCAAAGCTTTCAAACTCTGGAACAAAGCTTTCAACCTCTGGATCAAAGCCTTTAATCTCTGAATTAAAGCTTCCAACCTCTGAATCAAAGCTTTCAAAGTTAACGGGAAGAATATCAAGGGGACGAGTGTCAAAAGGACGAATGCCAAGGGGAAGTGTCACTGGATTTGATTGCCACCTGAACACTGAATCACCTATAGACATCGCGATAACATCATTGACGTCTTTATATTCTTCCCCGTGTGAATCCTTAGACCAAGAAGATGCATCCACGCTGCTCCACCTGATATGCCCAGATAAATCCATCAACGGGTCAAGCTTCCTCTTTTTGCTGTTTTCACTGCTTTTTATTGCCGAAGCATATTCCCATATGCGTGTCCCTGGGGTAGTATCCTGCTTGGAGTAATCTTTCTTGGTGAAATGGTCTTCTTCCTTTTGGCAAGCATAACGAATGAGAAGAGACTTAGGGTCAGTACAGCCTATATTTTCTGCTAACAGCCTCAATATGGCAACCGCAGTGTCTCTATCCTTTGCAAGGCTAATCATAGTGTCGGCATGAGCCAATCCCCATAGTGGGAGCCATTGATCACTCATGCTGGAGAGGAAATTCTTATATCGTCGGTGGCCACGCATGACGAGGCATTCGATGAACTTTTTCTCATTTTCAGAAGCTGACAAGTACCTCTGAGCAGTCTTCGAAAGCATTCTTGTCCAGCTCTCGTGTCCCTTGAGATCATAGCAACTGTTCCGTAATAGAAACTCATCGAGAACAACAAAGAATTCTGCCGCCATGGAAATGTTTTTGCCGTAGACTCCCCAATTGGAGAGAATAGAGCCGAAAACAACATAGTTGAACTCTGAGATGGAGAGTCGTGACGCATGATCTCCAAAAATCCTGGATGTCGTAACAGGATCTCCGTAATATTTGAGGTAGGCGAGGGGGAGTGACCAGAATGGTCTATCGTCTGAGCGAGCAGAGTAACTCGTCTGTCCAAGGGTAACCATCCCACCAACAGGCACCAATGGATCATTCTGAATAACGGGATCGGGTCCGGCGCCCAGTACAAACATGTCGGGGTATAGATGCCAAGAGCTCAGAGCAAGCAGAGCAGATCCATCCTTGATGCTTTGAGGTATACCGCTTGCAATGTTTTCCATCGCGGTGAGTGCAGTTGTCCATGCTTTGAGAACACTAGTGTAGGTGTCGGACTCATCATTGATTGGTATTCCGGCGTTCTCAATGAGTAGGAGAAGCTGCTTCTGTTGACGAAGCTTTGACTTATCAGCAACTTCAAGCCAAGCTCGTGCGCTGCTATCCCAGCCAGAAATTTGAGACTCTGTGAGGTCTATCTGGGCCGCGAAGTGCGCCGCAGGTTTCATCGGGTCCGACACGTCAATCTTAGATAGTATATCTTTCCTGGCCTGGATTATCTCCTTCCAAATAGCCACGGCCTCCGATGGGCTCCAGATCCTTGCCAACATACACGCAAGGAGGTGAGCCGAGATGGCACCAGAACCAGAAGTCGCAGCAGCCCATATGCTCGTTGCGTCAGGTCCAAGCCAGTTACTGAACAAGCCCCTGTTATTGGACCCTTTTGCCGTGTCATTCGATACCTCTTGTACGATCTCCGATGCCCTGTTTCCATATATCCGTACCAAGTTAGGGGTGGGTGGAAGGGCTTGTGAGAATAGGGCAGCAAGCTTGCGCGCGAATATATGCTCGTTGCCGCTTTCGGCCGCGTTTAGACGATTTTTTGTGAGGCATTTACCCAAGGCTTGATATTCAGCAGGGGCTTCGACTTTGTATAGGGCAAAGTCAAAGTTAAGGTTGGCGAGTGCCAATGTCGTTTCTTGCGTTGCCCCGAAAATAGAGCCATTGATTTTGCCAATTGAAGACATTGAATGTGACGGTAAATAAAACACTGCCAAGAGGCATCTGGAGGAAAGTACGAGAAATATATATATCTCGAGTGCCAGAAACCACGAAATGATTGTAGATTACACTTGTGATGGATTATGCCTGCTAGAGCCAGGTTGGAAAATGAAGATAGGGGGATCAGACCGGCCCTCATGAAGAAATAGTGGGGGAATGGCCAGACTATGTGAAGGGGCTGTGCATTATGCTTGTATTTCATATTGCTACCCAAGGTGCAGTTTGGTGGCATGGTGGCTGCCTGACATGCAGCAAAATGCCTTGAGTCAGCCAGCCCATGCACTCCGACCGGTGAGCTGTTGTTGAGCTGTGGCTAAACAAAACGGCGGGGTAACGAATCCAGACAACACAGACTCGAGTTGAGTCGGATGATTTTGTATACAAATCATGGTTTCTTTTGGTGGAAAGGCCAAATCAACAGTAAGCCCGCTTAGAAGTATAGTTATAGCTTAGTTCACCCAAGGAACCTTAATATAGCCTTTTTGTAACTTAATATTGGCTTAGACCTTATATATTTATTAGTAAGTTTTAAGGATAGAAGTAAACATGAACCACATCTTTGCCGCTCTCTTCGATTTTGTTTCGCTGAACGTGATTCCATCTTTCAGTTATCTAAAAACCAATACGAGCTTCCAACTTATGCGCAAAGCAGCGGTTCCAAGAGTCACGGCTAAGTGTGGTTCAATATGGCGCGCCATAATTATTCTGCACCAGCCAGTTTTGGTGATATGCCTAGGAAGGGCAGAGCTGATGGTGTCGATGCGTCAACAACCACGCCTGTTGTAGGTCGTCTGCCGTTACGACCGTATATTTTGGTCTATCCCATCAAGCGTCTGGTGTTACACTGATCGCAATTGATCTAGGACATATTGAAAACATCGGTTCAGAACTATCACCTAATTTTGAAGTGGGACTGGCGATTCTCGATGTTAGGAATATCAATTCTACTACAGTAAACTAAGCAATATCGACATATAATTTCATTACTGGAGATCCTGTGTACCAGAAACGCGGTTCTCGAAGATTTCTCTTCGGGCATTCCGTCATTCTTAAGCCTACTGAGATAAAAGCACACATTCAATTGCTAGTTCCCTTGGGGAGACAAGTCATTGTTATTGGTCATGAATCATCAACGACTTACGGGCTCTCGACTCACTTCAGTTAAACTATGCTGGTATTGGCACCCTTGATACTTTGCATATTTCAAGGAATCTATACCCGCATCCGCTCACTCTTCACCGCCTTCTGCTTAAACTAGACTGCCCATACTCGCGCCTTCATTGCGGAGGGAATGACGCCAACTTTACTTTCAGGGCTCTCCTTCTTCTAGCAGTCAATATATACACAAACCAGCCGGGAATTTACCAAGAGAAGCTGGCTATCATGAAAGAAGTCGCGCTTTCTCCACTTCCTCAAACTCCAGGCGGCGAATTAGCTCCTCCTACTCATTAAGCTCCGCCTGTTAATCCGAGCCTCAGACCGAAGAACACGGTGGCGAATGAAAAGTCGAAAGTATCAACCAAAAAGCTGGGATCTAGAGACACAAGAGAGAATCCGAGCCGAGCGTGCAGCAAAAAGTCGGCTGCTACAACGATTCACTTCGGAGCTCCTAGCTAGCGAGCTCCGTTCCTTCTCCTTCGTTTTTTATCGGAAACCCCCTCTGGCTCATGGGTTGCGCCTGTTCTACACCTCGTCTTTTAGTGGGCTCAAGATAGTTACCATTATGCCCTCTTCATGCTCCAACGCAGGGGAGACCCCCAAACCATCACCAACCACCACCTCTTCACGTATGGCAGCTACTCTACCCTTCAACATCTCTACTTGGATCTACCTCTACTTTACTGAGGTCGGCCACAAGCCTGGCTGGATTACCGGCATTAGCTAGACTATTCGGTACCACGACTTCCTTTATGTCGACTATACCAAGGTTATAAAGGGCAACAGCTCAAGCTCGACGTATAAGCGCAGGCTGTGGAACGCCAGAGTCCCCGTCCTTTCTATGCAGGCGAAATCAATCCAAAGTGGTCGATCTCTGCAGTCCTTCTTCGTTCGTATCAGTCTCGGATCGTGTCGTTATGCTGATAGCATTGAGAAGACCCGGCAAAGACCGTTGCGCATACATCGAGCTCCATGTGTGCTTTAATTAGATCCACGATATCTCGACTTCCTCTATCACCGAAATCTGGTCTCCTGGAAGATTTCGGGAGAGTCATGTCATTAGCCCACTAGACCAAGGAATACTTTTCCTTTGAATCACGCTCTATAAATATGTAATCTATTCACTTGAGGAAATTAATAGGGAGGGGACGCAGACTGATTCATGATTTTATGTCATCACATAATCAATTCTGTTGCATCTAAATAAGGTATCGTTGGTAAGTTTCTTGAATGGGAATAGACTTTGGTGGGATTGTTCGTGGGTAATATCGAGTTGTTCTGTTTCCAAGTAACTTCAAATTCATTAATGTTCCTATGCAGCAATGAGCTTTGTTCATGTCAAAAACCTCTCTGAATGAATTCTCTATATCTCAAATGTTAGGACTGATGCTCTTCTACCCAAGTTGCATATGCCAAAGCACAATAGAGTGTAGGATCGGCCCATGGTCCCCCCACACCTGATGTTGGGTGTCTGGATCTTAGATCAGCAAGCTGTCGAGGCGCCCAATTAGTAGATGCCACGATGCCCAGGTATTTGCGGCAGCGATTATGTAGCCACGCGGCACGGGCATCGCCTCCTGAGGCTGAAAACTACTAGAACAAGGCTTTGGTTATTTGGTGGTTGTCTCTGCCTTGCACTACTGCGTCGGTTAGGCTGTCCGGCGTTGGACGTGGCCATATCGCGGCAACATCATGCGATTAGGAGCCGTTGGTGGTGTTGTTATTCATATTTGAGGCTCTAATTATGGATACGTATAACTGCACGCGTAAGGTCTTTGCTACTTTGCTCAGCACATTCGCTCATAACGTGCCTGGCTGGCAATCATCTATTTGAAATGGCCCCCTTAGAGGTGCTAATATTACCTGAGATCGGCTGACCGCCCATTCATGATGGCTTAAATTGTATTGCCCGAGCCCGTAGCACAGTTACGTGTTATCTAGCGAGGGATATCGTATTATTTTATGTAATGGAAAATCCAAGCTCTCAGTTGTCTTATCATGATATTGAGATATGCTTCTTTTATGTATATTGCAAGCATAAATCCAGACATAACTTGTCGTAGTCCTGGGGCTTAGCTCATGACGGAGCTTGACACATATGATATGACAAGTTTCTTTTTCTCTCGCTGCCCAAGCCAGGCGGAAAAACTAAGAATCAACTAGTTTAAGCTACATATTTAAAGATAAGCATAGCGTCAGTAGTCTAATGCGACAATATTCAGCCGCAAGCAGTAGTGACGCAAGGGTAAGCAGCCACGTAATAAGGATTCGCCCCACCGCAAGCACATCCAGGTTGGACGGTGAGCCTAAGCACACATTCAAGCTTTCAGTGACGGTGGTAAGAATCCCAAATTCTTTAAATCCTGATAATGGGTAAGACGGTGTCAGCTAAGGCGACACACCGGTTCCCATTGAGTGGTTCAATATCAGCTTATGAGTCCTCAAGACAGCCTTGTGCTTGGACATGGATCCTTGATGTGATAGCTCACAAAGCTTGTGGGCTGTACGAGTTATTATTATGGCACTGTATGAAAAAAGGAACAATAGATACGGGGAAACATGAGATCTTGATGAACACCTCGCCAAGAATAGCCCTATAATGTACTGGATCTATTCCATTTCCTGGTTTTGCAGCCTATAAGGAATGACGTCCTTGGTATGGAACACCTTAAAATATGCACCCGCGGACCCGCGTCCGTCAGTTTACATACGCCACCAATATGATCCTTGTCCTCTTTAGATCTCCGTAAGATTTGGAGGTTAGTCTGTTGATGATCCTCGTGCCGCAGCAGCATGTAGCTGAGTGGCGCTGTGGTCACCAACAAGAAATGAGATGGGGGGCAAAGGCGCGAGCTTAGATGGGAATAGGGTACGACGGCTCCCCCCCAGACGATAGTAGTCTGCGGTTTTAAATCTCGTTAAATCTTTCTATCACCGCATCTTAACACAAGCTCCGGGATACACTGAGTCGCGTAGTCTCATCTACGACCATGACCCATTTACAGCAGCGGCTGGATGGCCAAAGCTTGGCGATGCTCTCGCTTCTTCTCTTTTTAATGATCAACTGGGTCACTGCTGCTACTCCGAAAGACGACTTCTGCCGAAGATTCGAGCATCAGTCAACGGTTATCGATGAGAAGCTGTACATTGACGGTGGAACTGTCAACTATAAAGACTTTCCATCATCGCATGAGAACCATGACAGTAAGTCGAAGCTCTATTGCGTTGATCATTTCAATTTTACCGCAACGGGAAGATGCTTTGGTCTAACTTCAGGAAATAGATACCTGGCTAGGATATCATGATCTCAACGATCTTGTGTCCATCAAGGGGGAACTTTGGCCGAACTTCAAGATTGGATTAAGCAAAAACGATAGGTATCAAGCCCCCAGTAGCAGTCCGTAGTATTACCGCTTACCAAGTGATCACATAGTATTCCAACAGTGGCTGGCGGCGCTCTGTGGCCCGATTCTGTCAACAAGCGATTCTACCTCTACGGCGGTGAGCAGATGTCCGGCTTCCCAAAACGATCCTACCGTATCCTAAGCTACGACATTCTAAATGATCAATGGGATGACTTTGGGGAGCCCAATACCAGTCCAGCGCCCGAGATCGCTGGCTTCGGCGCTGGTGTTGGAGTATCGGAGACAGGTATGGGGTATTATTATGGAGGATGGGTCAGCAACAAGTCGATGAATGGATGGACCAAAGACAGAACAATGTCATCGAACTTTTACTCTTACTCATACGACAGGGGGAAATTCGATCGGATGCAGTCTCCAGACGATCACGCGAGAGCCGAGGGAGGGATGGTATGGCTTCCTGCTGGTGATACGTCTGGAGTGCTGGTATATATGGGTGGTCTTGTCACTCCATACGATAACGGCACGACAGCTCCCCAGCCCCTGGATGAGATTTTCATATATGACGCACAAGACAATCGCTGGTCAAAGCAAAAGGCCGTTGGGGAAATCCCACAGCACAGACGCCGATTTTGTGTCGATGCCGCTTGGGCGCCTGACAAATCCAGCTTCAACATGTAGGTTTTCCATCTCTCAAATGGGAAGATCGAGAATTCTCTAACTGGATGACATAATAGCTACCTCTGGGGAGGACGCTCAATCTACCCTCCTGTGACTAATGTCACTTCCTATAGTGATATCTACGTTTTGACCCTACCGAGTTTCCAATGGGTGAAAGCGTTCCCAGATACGAGCGGTAATTATACTCTGCCAGAGAATGGCAAATACGGCTCAAGCTGCAACATGGTCAAGAATATGTCGCAGTTTATAGTCATTGGTGGCAATTACACGGATTCCCCAACGGATAAGTGTGATGATGAGTGGTGGGGAGCGCATAACCTTTGGACTGGTACGTTCCAAAACGCAGGGAACAATGGCAAGTGGTGGGCTTTGTTCAACTCCGAAGTCAACACCAACGTCGTCCCCAAGATCGTCTACGATGTAGTTGGAGGAACAAAGGAAGGGGGTGCCACGGCCAAGCAGCCTAAGAATGGATATGACCCAGGAAACACTCTGCTGTCTATGCTCATGGCCCGGACAGCTTCACCCCCTGAGCGCAAGCCAACTCGTCAAGTCAGTGCAACAAGCTCCCCGAGCCTAGGAAATGGCGGTTCATCGAGGCTTGGCACCGGACCTATCGTTGGAATCGTAATTGGCTGTGCCGTGGCAGTGGGAATCATCTCGTTCGCATGGTGGCGAGTTGGAAAGATCGTTGTGACACGTCGCCAAGAGCGGCGCCAGCGTGAGATGGAGCAGTATGCCCAACGGGTACAGCAGCAGGCACAGGAACAGGCCCATCTGAACCCACACCAGTCTTTATACGGAGCCAGTACCGTGGGCACCATTAGCCCGAACCCCCCTTCAACACAATGGGGCGTCCCTGGGAGCCAGAATGGAAACGGGGGCCTACAGCCTCAGTTTGAGCCTTCAGAGTTGCCCGCTTACAATCAAGGCACCGGTATCTTGAACAACAAACCACCAGGATCCCCTCCTGGCCATCCACTGCTCTAAGATACGCATATTAACACCTGCCTCCAATACGTCTCTCTGAGGTTTGACTGGCCTGAGAACTTTATCTCCGTGGTGCCGCCTTGACTTTACGACGGCTTTTGGCTTAATTGATATGTTTGTTAAAAAAAGTGTTAGCGTAGGCTTGGAAAATTTTCTCCCTTGACCAGACAGTTGTGAAAATTTCTCGCACTTGGCATGGAAAACATGGAAGATGTTAACCTTTCTCTACCGGAAGGATGCTGCTTTTGCTTAGATTAAACTTGTTACTGGAACCGATTTAGATGCAGTTATCAGAAATCCAGTTGTGATTATAAGTCTAGATATCGTACTGAATGCAGTGAGTCTTTGGATCTAGTTGTTATAAATCTAGTTATTGTGAACTCTTCACACAGCGCTTTGTAAGAGCGATAACAACCACTTCTAAAGGCTTCTTCCGTCAGGGAGAAGGCTCTTTAATGGAAAAGTTCACCATGTTTGGCGTGCGGATAGTTCCTCTATGCCCGGATCACGGTGTTTGATTGGGGCTTGGCATGTTGGAACAAGATGGCCATAGGTTCTCAAAAATATTCCTAAAAAATTTGGTTTTTACATTCTTCTCCCCAATACGAACGATCTCGACCAGCATTATGCCTACAGCTTGTATGGCGCCCGGAGCACACCGAATTAGGGTGGAATATGATAAATCGAGTTATAATCAATTTGAAAATGGGCCTCGACATAAATTACAAGCAAAATCCAAAACGCCACTTTCCATCTCTGGTGTAATAGTTCCATAAACACTATCACCACAGTGGTTACATTTAACTGGCCGCCAAAATCCCTGATTGAGTTTGTTCTGATACCCTCCTGCAGTAGGGCCTTTCCCTCGCCCGTTAGCTAATTCCCGGGCACACTGTTTCAACACTCTGGTGGTGAACTCCTTCCCCCAGTCTAAGATGTTGAAATCGGAAACCTCGATGAGGTCGCCAAGGTGATAGGTGGCTGTCGAGGCAAGGAAGTCGTGCAAGTTTGCATCACCTGCCTTGTGCAAAGCAGCCTTGATAATGACTGGGTATAGTTTAGACCTCCAATCCTTGGAGAAAAGTGTTTCAAGTTTCGTGATTGATACCTTCTGAAGGTCTGGAATGTCATAATAGTCGCCAGCAGCGTTAACATGAATATGACAGAGGACTGTCTTCAGGTAACTCTCATTGTTGAGTATTGACATATTGTCACACTCTGGTTTTTCTTTGGGATAAGAAAAGCCCACACCCCCTAATGATCTCTCATCCCCATATAGCGAAAGGTTGGCCAAATCGGACAGCACGACTTCGTAGTCGCCCTTGTAGAGAAAATCTACCATATACTTAATGATTGGGAAATGAAATTCCCTGACTTTCAAGACAGCTGTCTTCGCTTCCTGTCTTTCATTAGCACCTCGATACAGAGCTTGTGGTTGGAGAAATTGATGGATCATACCTGGAAATCTCCTTCAAGTGCCCTGCGAATCACTCTTGATTGAAGACAGACGACGCTTTTATGGAGTCTGAACTCCCTATCTCCAGAGATCATGGTAAAATCACTGAAGCTTCCGGTCTCCAGGAGGCAGGAAAGTATATCTGAAGCTCTGCTGGTCATTTCGAATGCTTTATGACGGGTAACCTTCATGAGTCTTTTGTTGGGGACTTTACGCCATAAGCGCGGCATGGACATACGCGGAAGTTAGTTAAGTAGATGAAGAAGTCGTAAACAAGGGCAGGTGCGTCACCTTGCCTTTTAAGAATCTGAACTTTGAGACACTGTATTTTCTTTGATTTAGAGTTTTATATTACTAATATTTAAACACTCAGATGCAAATCACTCGCTCCCTTATTTTCCTCCTTATCTCCTCCCTTCATCTACAAGATATCTAAGACACGTAGTCACCAAAATGGCTCTAGCTAGTGTTATACTAAACGGTTACAGTTGAAAGAGACTGCAATTTCCGCTTTTATTAGTTTTGGTAGTTCTCGGCGCGATGATTTGGCAAGTTAAGGAATTTCTGTTTGGCAGCTGGTGGCTTCAACCACGCTTCGAACCCATGGAGACATCACGCACTCATGGTGCCTATGGTGTATAATAAATCAATACATTCATTAATTCTTGACCCATGACTCATTGAAGCTGTTTAAAGCTTCTCTTAGATTCGGAGGGGGAGCCCTGGGAAGAATCTCCAGTGCTGGACACCCCATATCTTTGAGTAGACTTCCCATCCTCTGAACAGAAATGCAGATACTTTTCTATAATGAAACATCCCCCCGTATTCGTAGCACTAGATCCCTATTTAGGTAAGGCTGTATTCCTATACCATGAGACAGGGAATTCACCCAGCTTTAGCAATTAAATTAGTCCATGATATCTTCCCAAGCCAAGCATAAAGGATGTAAACAGCGCCATGAATCCAACGACACCAAAAAATGGCCCGAGGTTATCACGGTCAACTGTCCCAAGAGGAACAGGTATATTCATGCCAAAAACGGCGCCGACCAAATTGAGAGGGACTAGAATGGAGGCAAGGAGCGTGATTTTATTCAGCATCTTGTTGGTGTTGTTCCCCTGGGAGATACTCATGACAGAAACCGTGGCGAGGTAGTTGCTGTGAGCACGCGCAAGAATCTGCTCGAAATGAATGATGTTGGTCGCCATCGTAACAACGTGGTCCTGGATATCGCTGAGATATATTCCAATGTCAGTATGAGGCGCATTGGGATAGTCTTCGTTGCAGCGCTTGGTAAAGCTGCGAAGAACATCCGCCTTGCCTCCTATCAGGCGGATGAGTGCCATGCAATTCTTGCGAGCCAATCCAATGCGTCTGAGGAACTCGCTTGAATCACGGTCTCGCATTAAGAAGACGCTATCGTCAATAGAGTCTACCTCTCGCTCAAGCTGGCGTATCACAGGTCCAAAGTCATCGACGATGTTATCACTAACCATCATTTGAGTGTCAACCATTCTTATGAGGGCCCTTTGCTGTGGGAAAACTTACATCAGAGCATAACAGATCCAATCGCTGCTGAGTGAGATATATTCCTTGAGAGTGGTAATTTTCCGGCGGACAGAGGTTGCATGTGGATTCGGCATGAAGCTGAAGCTCAAAACGCCTTCCCGGAACACAATAACATACATGTTGAAGCCTTCATACTCCAAGTTCTCACCAGACTTCACTGTATGGAAAGACTGAAAAGAGGCAAAGTAGTATGAGCTGACAAGCTCAATCTTTTCTCGCGCTTCACGCGTGATGATATCTTCCACAGTCAGGGGATGGATACCGAAAGCCTGACACAGCCCTTGGACCTCTTCTTTGGTTGGGTTGTTACAGTTGAGCCACCACACACAGTGCTCATTCCGAGGGTGTTCAAATAGACTTTTGAGGCTCTCGCCATCCTGGACCAAATTGGCTAGTTCGGAAGCGTGAACCGTAGACTCCCAAACTGTCGAAAAGAAACTAAAGCGGTTCAGGTCAAGTGCCCGGCCTCCTCGCTGAATCTTGTGAAGCTTTTCGGATTCGGGATCGACTGGCGAGACAACAAAATCATCGGACAACCCGGGAACGGTGTCATTTTCCATGGGAGCGTTATGGCGTGATGCCCGCTCGGTCTGTATGAACTGTTCAAGGAACTCGAAATCGATGTATAGATCTTCCTTGGAGCTTTCCGAATGGTTGTTGTTGTTGTTGCTGTGATCTTCGTCGTTAATTTCGGCCTCGATGGGATCTCCTGTCTCCATTTTCTGCTCTTCGTTGTAGCTGCGGTTCAGATTGCTTCCTGGTCTGTATTCGCCTGTCGGGGGCTTGCTACTGTGGCTTCGGTTCGAGACAGACGCAGCTCGAGTTCCACTATCTTCAGGATCCAGATCAAATTCTGCTCCCATCTCTCGGCGTGGTCGACGTCGAGCGGAAGCAAAAGCCTTGATTGAAGAGGGAGGAGAAGCAGGCCTGTCCTCCTCCGCAGACCTCCCGCTCCCTCGGTAGGAGCGGACATTTGTAGAGTCAGCATTTGCGTCAGCGTCATCGCCATTGATAGTCGTAACTTCCTCAAAATCTTCGATGCGAATGGAAGGCCTATTGAGAAGCCCGGAGGGATAATCCAAATCGTTATCGGGGCTAGTATGGCCAGGGAGACGGTGGGGGGAGTCTGGCGCAGACGCAGCGAAGTTGTGTCCCATATTTAAGAAGTATTTCCCTGACCTGAATCACAGCCTTGAGTACAGTTCAATCAACTGTTCAGAAGACACTTGGTTTGATGATAGATTCCGGAGTCTCAGATGATTTGAAGCAAGCCGCCACTTGGAAAAGGTCAATCTGGTGATACTTTTCTGCTTGAGCGAGAATTTTACCACAAATTGATGTTGGGAAACATCAATTGAGAGAACTTACTCTGCTGGCCAACTGAGGAGATGGGACCTTGACCGAAGATACGAACAGCAAGCCCTACGGCGGAGCCTCTTATTGAGTCGAGAAGATCATCGTAAATACGCTGAAGCTAAAAGAGCGGTCTTGTTGTCTTGAGTGTGTTAGATATGCATGTCTAACTACGAGACATGCATGTTGCGTGACGAGGATGACCATGATGTTGCTTCTCGTCGCCAATCAAGCTATCCATTCCCTTTAGGGTCGTGCGAGCAATAACGAGATTATCCCAGGCATTGCTTTTATGTATTACGCGGACGTTCGTTGGCGTCTCTAAGCTCAACGACACGTCATATTGGGATGCTTCCGCGACCCAAAAGCTGGTAGAACAAAGTAGCGGTGTCGATTTTCAGCTACCACAAGCGTAGAGACTAACACACAAGCGCATGCATCCATGTCAAGCGCTGGCACAATCCTCATAGATATCTCATCATGAATACATAAAGAATGGCTCATGGTTGAGCGCATTTTTAAGACCTTCGGGGTCAATTCCCTTGTGACAAACAACTCTATCTTAATCTAGCAGGGAATACCTTACATCTCACACATTGTTTCTGAAGCAACATGGGCGCCGTGCTGAGACGGTGATGGAAATTAGTTCACGCATAAGGATGTCTTAGTTTTATGTAAAAGGACAAAGCTGATCGACTGGCACTATACTCGTATCCATTCCATCCACTTGGAGAAGTGAGAGCATCCAAATTGGCATATGGTAAAGATCTTGATCTTGGTGAAGATCTAGGCCAAATTGCCTTGGCACTCGGGACGCGCGGCAATCGCTTTCATTTTCCAGAGACCAGCAATATATCGGTCAAACCGAAATGGACGCGAATGTCATCTTGGCGCCATGTGTGTTTCAACGAAAAGAATCCATCGGTGGGGCTACTGGATATTTCAGCATGTCTCATGTTGTCTTAGAAGTTAGGAGACTCTTCTCCATTTCTTACGATCCTATGCTATTCTCGCCGTTCCTTTCAATTCCCCCTATTTAGTGGCCAGAAAAAGTAGGTAGGTCGGAATTACGTCTTGTGGAAAGGGGGATGAGCAACAAGAAGGGAATTGAGTCATAAAATATCTCAGAAAAGCCTATCCAGGTTTATCTAAGAAGAGCGCAGAAACCGGTTAAGGTTTGTATGTCCTGCGTGACCTAGACACGATGCTAGGGGGCAGAGACAAAAATATATATTTTCACGAATTGATCGCATGGCGGATGGTTCAGGTCCCATTAGTCAAACAAGAACATGTAAGACCATTGCTATTCATATACCGTGGCTGACAACACCTCATGTTCGCGTGTAAAATATTCGACATAATAAATTATACTAGATAGATGATAGGCAAGGCTAATAGCTAAGAAGAATCATCCTCCTCCTCTGTGATCCTATTCGTCTCGCTGGTCAATGTTGGCGGTTGAGGCTTGATGAAAGTAAATTCTCCTCCCAGAGTAAATGTAGTCAAAGACGGGCCCGCGGTAGAATCAAAGACAACTTTCTTGGAGCGAGGTATCCCTAACTTTGTCTCTAACTCCCTGCCGATAGTTTGCTCCAGGTATTGATTGATATCCCAAATCAACTTAAGGTGGATTTTCCGAGCACTACCTTTGGAAAACAAAGGGGGCATCCAATTCGGATATATCTTCGAATGGGTTGCTGAGAAGGACCATCCCCGTTCATGTCTACACAGGAATGTATAACACAGGAAGCAGGCTTTTTTGCTGGTTCCCATGAAGAGAAATCTCGGAGTGAGTTCTATATTGCTGTCGTAAAAGCAAGCCAGTTGCATCTCTGCGTGTACGGTGAGCACGCGTCGTGCTTTACAAGCTGCACGGAAGTGATGGTCTGGATTCTTCAGCCAATAAACCCTCAGCTGCGATTTGATATCTTCAACTTCGGCCTTCGTGCATTTTCGGATTATATTACTCAGCGCTTCACTCTCACCGTTGAGGGAGAACTTAGCCTGCGGAGGAGGTTCAACCAACTCAACTCGAATAGGGATGAATAGGTCCGTCCGAATGGTCGCGAGCTTGATCATCGCCAATAGAGCAGCATGGTAACGCCCTAGCTTATATATATTGTTGATCCAAGCAGGGGCAGTTGAACTTTCAGGAAATGCGATCCAATGAAGGTGAGCCGAGTACACCCAGCGCGCTTGCGCGGCCCAGTACATTTGTTTGATGAGTTCCGCGGTTTCTGTTAGACGATTGAGAGAAGTTAAAGATGGAAGATGTCTCGCCCACTCCAGAAAATCGCCGTTATTGGAAAACTGGCCTGTTTCCAAGCGTTGTACTGCTGCTTGGATGAGTTCTTGAACTCCCTTCCTTTGAAATATCTCGATTATGCTGTCAATCTTGAATCGGTCCAGCTCGATAATTTTTGACATAATTTCCCAAGCTTTCTCATCGAGGGAGCAGTCTAGATCTAAAATTTCCATTGGCAACATTAGATGGACTTCCGTTAATTCTTCCGAAGGAACAAATTGAAAAGGAAACACAAACCTCCCTTCGCAATCAAGGTGAGATCATCTAGAACGGCCTGGAAACGCAATAAAAGTTCCTCCGATGTGCTAGTATTACGGGCCAATCGTAAGATTGTACCTGTTGGGCCGCCTTGTTCTATACATACAGCGGAGACGGTCTCTTTCCCGCTTCCCGTGGAGCAAATCAACGCAAATGAATCAAGAAATTTCGCTATCGGATTTCCCCTTGCATCGTCATGCGGGTGTCTATCAAGACTGTAAACTGTCGGTTCGCCTCGAACCGGCTCAATGAGAGAGAGCAAAATTGAATTGAGGACGAATCGTTTAGTCGATTCCTGTGGAGGAACTCGAGGGGCGGTTGACTGTCCTTGAATGGCCATTATTGTTATCGAAAAGTCTGAGATAATCTTTCTGTCAGCAGAGACACTGGTGTCCTTCCTTCAGAGGACTTTCTCACTCTTGATATAGGTACTCCAAAAGTGCAAGGTGCCTAACGCGTAAGAGTGTGAACATCCGCCTCACTTTCGGAAAGAGAGGGCCTCCCGCATGGTCTCACTGCAGACTTCATTGGCCAACTCAGCATCCTTCAATGCTCTTTGTGAATCCAGAAGGTGCAAGGTGCCTAACGCGTAAAAGTGAACATCCGCCTCACTTTTAGAAAGAGAGGGCCTCCCGCATGGTCTGACTGTAGGCCTCTTTAACCAAGTCGGCATTCTGATTCGCTATCTGTTGACCCAATCATAATTTCGCCTCCTGTTGGTGTTGGGCTCCGATCGATGGGGAAAAGTAAATGCCCAACCTACTCGTGTATCATGGGTTACTTAATAGAGGTATTTACTGACATATACTAGCTTCACTGCGTTATCTTGCCCTATCATACTCCTCCGAGGCCGCACTTTCCGAGGCCAGGGGCATAGATAGTTTGGCATAATCTCCTTAAAGTAACGTATTCGGAGCCACCGTGATGTTGCTTCCACATGAAGAGCCATACATGGCTGAGAATAATTGCCGCTACGGAGTGCCATCTAATCCTAAGCTCCGTCAACCAGCGTACCTTACTCGGCGTTTCCTATCGTAGCGTCGCCTATTCTTTGCCATCTTCCTCTTTGCTGACATTACCGTGAACTTAGGTCCGCGAATGATTGTACTTGATAAGTTTCCAACCGGAGGCAAGGTTGAGATCTGTGTCCTCACAGAGCTGTCCTTGGATAACTTTTCACAAACTTCGCAATCTTTTCCGCCAAAAGAAAACGTCTGCAAGGGCAGAGACTGGATAGCCTCCTCGTACTCACTAGTGACAGGAAGCGTCACACATAGCTTGTGCAGCACATCATTGCTACTACCAGCTTCGAGGCTTGGTTGAGTGGCGACCATAAATATGCAACGTCCATCGACTGTCCGCCCACCAACATCAACTACAATAAGCTCCCCATCCGAAACCTCCTGATCTGGAGCAAGTACGAGCACTGCGTCTATTGCAACAGATAGGCGGCGAATCTTGGTGAGATGGGCGATACCATCGTTCATGCCAGGCATTTGACCCATTTGTAATGCCATAAAGTCTTGCCAGATGAGAGTCTGCCTTCCCCGTCGCAACTTCATCTTAAAATTGTCTTCTTTTCCATGGCGCACCGCATAGAGCGCCCTTGTCCAATTGTTGAGTAAGGCTTGGGCGATGAGCATAGTTTGCTGCGGATTGTAGCGGCCGGCACCAAATGCCGAAGCTACCTTGAGAGCTCTCGGCCACCTGCCCAAGGTGAACTGTATCAGAGTAATGTCTCGATGGATCCGGTTCGGCATTGGCTCATGCACTCTTCCCAAGCGGGCTCCGACACGGCAAGTTCCAATCATCCTCCCAGTGACGGTGACCGTTCCATTCTGAACCTCAATCGGACCAAGTGGTTTGACTTCGTCCAGCGCCGAGCTGGAAGACGCCTTGTGCCTCATGCCAAACGGTACAACGATGCAGTTCCTCGCAATGGGTTGCGGGCTCAATGGCAGCAGCTCACTGACAGCAGGCATGAGTAACCATCTCAAGTGTCCTCGACCAAGCGCCGCTTCAACCCATCTCGCCCAGGCACTCTCTTTTCTTTCTCCTTTGATGGTGGGTATCTCCACGCTCGAGGCAGCCATGACGCCGTACACCTCATCGCACTCTACGGTCGCCTTGCGGTTTCCCAATAGCTCCATCACCCGCGTCTTCTCGACCGGACCGAGTCGACAATTTGCCATGCCACTAAAGAAGCCATAAAGCTTTGCAAACTCGTCGCCTAGACACTCTCGGATGTCTAGCGTGTCGCAGATACTGGGCAGGGCAGAAAACAACCGGTCATGTAGGGTCAAAGATTCAAGATCCTTGCCGATCCAGACAACTTTGCGAGCTAGAATGTACTCTTGCAACGTCCAGACTCTCGTGCTCCAAGAAGTCACCGTCAGCCTTGCCAGTCCCCTCATCGCTTGCGCAATCAGCCCCCGTCCATCACCATTTTGCCAGTACAGGCCTTCTGACGCCCACGCTTCATCTGCCTCCATTGAGAGAGCTCCACCAAGTTGTTTTGTCAACTCATCCACATGGCCTTGAGGCATGCCAAGGACGCAGCCAAGGATGATAAGAACAGCTTCTGCGTCTCCAAAAATCTCGCCCATCATCGGAATCTGACGGAGCTTATCATCCTCATCGTTCTGGTCAATGCAGATCGTGTCCACCCAGCACAAAGTGATGGTACGGTATCGTTGCTCAAGCGTCGCTACTAGAGCGGAGCGCCCTGGGCTGGCGAGGAAGTCGACGCCTGGTGGGAAGAGACGCTCGCTCCAGGCATGAGACGCTGCTATATATGGAGGGCCTGCGGAAAGCGGATATTCCGTCAGCTCTCCTGTATGGACATTCAACAGACGGAAAGACATGATTGTTGAGTGACGAAGAAAGCGTGGAATGAACACGGGCTTCTAGAGATGGGGTTTTCGGCACATGCTGTTCAGCCCCGTTCAGCCGCAAGCGTAGCATTGCATAAGGTCTGCGTGAGCTACTGGCATGTGTATGTCAGATCGTTCGTGCGCTTCACATTGCTGTCGTTGTATTCCAGAAGTCACATGGTTCTGGGCGGGGATCGTCCGAATGAGGAAATAACAGTCTCTATTACTCGTGAGATCGATGCCTGTAGAGCACCAGGCATGGCGAAGAAATCTCTTTCCTTTCTGAGGGGGGCGCAAAGAAGCAGAATAATATGTACGGGCAGTGAGATCTGAATTTGAAATTGAGACACACAAACATTAAGCCCCTTATTTAGAGTTTGCAATTATCATGGTCTGATTAGTAGGGGCTAATATCAAATGTATAAAAGGCAATAAATTAAATATTGTTGATTTATATCGTTTTATACTGCTGTATTGCTTGAACATTGGAGAGGTTGGTCTTCTCATAATCCTTCAGTCTGCTCTGCTGTCCTGTCTCAGTTCTTCCGTCACCGTTACCAGTCTCTGCTGACTTCTGTACCGACTCCAGCCAGCCCTCGATCCTATCGCTAACTGGGGCATCCGATGATGGTTGGTTATCTTCGTTGTAGTCATCATAGTCGTAGCCATCGTAGTCGTCATAATCGTCATCGTCATCGTCGTCGTCGTCGTCGTCGTCGTCGTCGTCGTCACCCAGGAGCTCGGGATAGTTAGCCGCTCCTGACATTGATCCCACACAAATAGCAGCCCATTGGAGCTGGATCATGGCCTTGAAATATTCAATGTCCTCGGTCGGCCGAACTACTGGGAAGAAGTAACCTGACTCGATCGTAAAGTGCTCGCGCACTTTGTGTGCCTGGACTTTACTAATAGCTGTACAGCGGTCGCACTTAGGCGAGCAGGGGGTTTCACCGCCGAACATATGCTCATGGCAGGCTCGTAGGTTGCTTGCCTTATCCTCTTCCTCATTCAAGTCGATTCGCTTCGTTGATTTACCGTACTGGCTGTGTGGCATCCATACGAACTGGAGCTCTGCCGTGCTCATGCTCGTTTCTTTGTTATCCTCATGTCTGAGATACTTCAGGCCGAAGTATGCCTTACGCCACCACGTATGGAGTTGAGGTGACAAGCAGATCATATTCCAAATTTTATCTGAAGCTCCCAAACAAGAATGAAGAAGGGTCAAAGCCGCCATATCATGAACCCCAAACAACATCGAAATCACCCCTGTAAGTGTTCCGGCGGTGTGGAGATGCTCCATTGTAGAATTCCACATGAACGGTATGAGGTGACAACCCTGCGGGTTCCCAAGTCCTGTTACCACACAGCGATCATTGTCATACTCCTTGGCCAACTTCTGCGTTACTTTGCTCTTGCAAACCTTCGTCTTCTGCTTCTGCATCTCGCTTGCTGATGGCGGGAGAAAAGTCCTCGTCGAGCCGCTGGCAGGTGACGCGGGAGCCTGCGACTCAGGGAGTCTCGATTCGAACACGGCAGTCTCTGAGCAGATACGCTTATGTGCGGACTCGTTAGCACCTCTATGGGATCGCTTCCGCGGTGTAAACTTGCTAGCGGATGACGGTATGCCAACAGATGGCCCTGGAGGTTCGCTAAAACCTGCTTGAGATGTCTCGGGCCGTTCTTCGGATTTTTCGCGTTTGAAAACTGAGACGGATTAGTTCAACCCTAAAGGAGGGTGATTGGTGATACTTACAATGAGCAAAGAATTTCCCCATGAATTTGAGGCTGGCACTTATCCCCTCCGCGTTTCTCTGGGCATAGCTTTCCAGGGTTTGAAGAGGCAGATCCATGAGCGTGACATATTGATATGGCTTAAATCCCTAGCTAGGGTCCATATGGAAGGCTCTTTGACCCTTCTCTATCTTCTGAACGTACTCAAGTCGTGTTTCGAACTCGTCGATTGAGAGGAGCTGCGTGACTGGGCGAATGTCAGGCTCGGCATCAAGGAGCTGCTGCAACTGCTTCATTCCGCGTTTCGGGTTCGGATGACGCTTGATGTAGGCGTCTATGGCCTCATGAAGGTCTTCCGTCGTGGAATTCCGTTTGTACGATGTTCGTGATGAGGTGAAATTCAGCTAGCGATGAAGTGAGTCGCAGATTATCGGGTGGCTTTATGTGGCCAACCGACCTCTTTATAGCACTCTTGCTCACAGTAGACTGACCATTAAATGCACTACCCAAGCCACTAACTTTGACCGGAGATTGCCTTAACTTTATGTAGGTTTGCCTCCAAAAACTGAAAACGCCTTGCAAACCTTAACCAAATCTATAACTAACAAGTGGGCGACAGGAGAAATGAGATACCTGACGGAAGAGTGGTTAGGAGAAATTTAGTTGGATAAAATGAAATAGTAACACTATATGCTGTATTATCTCTTAAGTATGTACTATTAGCACTCAATAATTTGATAATCCCGGTCGCAGACTCGACAATAAGCAGCTTAATTTAGTTTGAGTATCTCAATTTCAATGTCACCCACTTGACTGACTCCAACCTTGGAATGGCCTTGCATCTGGAGACCCATGCATCAACTAATGGTGCCCGGCTTCCTCTTGTATGTGGTCCTGTCTCTGTCACTCTCGAGTTTCACGCTCGTTGCACGGCTTAATTCGAAGTCCTGCTATCTTCAACTTTCTACCCACCAAGAACAGTTTGTTTTGTGTGTGTGTGTGTGTGTGTGTGTGTGTGTGAGTGTGTGTGTTTCACGCCTGAGCGAAGAAGTCGCCAAACTTTTATTTGGGGGTGACGAAAAGAAAGCGGCAGTAACTCCTTGGCTGCTAATTTACTCCAGACCCGTGCGTTCCCTGGGTTTAAACCAATCGGTTGAATGCAGATCTCAGGTACTTTGTTTTAGGTGTAAAGAAGTACTTGTACCCGAGATCTCCCTGTATACAAAGGGCTATAACTAGGCAAGAAACTGTACGAGCCTGACCCGAGGTATCGTGAAAAGTGAGACTACAGGCAGGCTCCAAAGCTTGATCGTGAGGTAGGTACTTCTATTGTAGTATATTCCTATATTGTTAGGTGTTGAGACCACTGTAATTGTTCATTTTTGAGTGTATCGACGTGTACCGCGTCATCAAAGAGGCGTGTGTGCCTCGTTCCCTCCAGGTATCCTACTCACTTTGATGTTCACCACCTGACAGGCCGCCAATCACGCGCGCTGCTCAAAACAATCTCAGATCAATTTAGAGTAACTTTGGATTTGAAGAGAATTCAGCAGCTCCTTCACTCTGCATCGCCACCACCACCAAAAATTAAATTCTACCTTCACAAAACAACCGCTTATCTACCTCAACAGACAAATCAAAGCAATACTCACCTGCATCGACAAGTAAGACAAATTGACACCACTTGGCTCATCAAGAATCGCGAAAGTTAATAGTAATACAGAATGTCCTCAAACCGCCCAGCTGATCAAGATGAGCTGGAGTTGACCGACGCCATGACCGAACTCAGCTGTGAGGGCGATGACAATCTGCCTGAGGAATGGCGAGACGACCCTGAAAACCCCGGACTGGCCTTGGAGCGATACTTCGACAGTCTGCCGAGATACCAGAAGGAATGGAAACAGCAGGGCCTGTCAACCTTCGAGGTCATCAAGGATACGAGAGCGAGTATTATACGCTAGACCCGACGACGCAGACATACAAGTTGACGACTGATGAATGGATTACCGTCCCCGAGGAGGAGATTCCTAAGCTCGAGGAACAAGGTTGGAAGGTCTACTGCCCTCCCTTTCCCGCAATTGACCCAGAGAAGGGCAATCAAGATAAACGGCCTCCCGCTCCGCCTCCTGCAGACGTCATAACTACGGACAATCCAGTCGCCGACGGAAACCACTATCTACGCGACGGATTCGAGATGGTGAAGCGCATGTCGGAGAACAAGTGGAAGCCAGGCGACTTGCTAGACGAGGATGGATCTGATCCCAAGGTGAAGGACGGATTGGCATCATACGCAAGCCCCAGTGACCGGGACCAGATCACCGACCTTCGCTCAGCCACATCTACGAGTCATCTCTTCCATCACGAACGGCCAGATGATGTTTGCGTCGGATGGGGTGGCTATGACGAGTTCAGCCATTGGCAATCTTGTGGTCTCAGAGTCGCCAAAGATATAGTAGGCATCGAAAACCCTAAAGCCGCGGAAGATCCGGAAGCCAAGGAGAGAGTAGAGGAGCGAAAGTGGGAGAACGACAATAACGGGGCAACAGAGTTCGTCAATGAGGCAGGCGAGGCTGTTTTCACCATGCCAGCGTACGTTACACATCCTTTGCAACGCGGCGGTCGCCAGACCACCGGGAAAGCCAAGCCCAGGTCGCTCTACAGTCGCCTGCATCCACACAAAACCGACAAGACCGCCAAAAAGCCTCAAGATCCCAAAGAGCTCAAAGAGCCAACCAAAGTCTGGTGGTGGTAAATGGTGATGGGTCGTACGATTTACACGCCGCATTGTTGACCTTGGCAAGCTAGATACCGGAAGCCTCGAGAGTTGTTCCATTGCAGCGAATGAAAGCCCTCATTTCTTGGCCGTTCTGGCTAATGTGGGTTGGCGAAAGACTTTTCACAAAGCCCTAGTGGCCCTATGGGTATAGTGAAAACCCTTCTTGCATGGCCGTGATGGCTTGCATCAGCGAAAGCAAGTGCCGGGCACTGCCCGTGGATTTCGGTCCTAAGGTCGCTTTTGGCAGCCCTACTGGGAGCGAGTTCGATTCTCGCGGCGACGGACACCGATATTCCTTGTATGCTCTTGACTTACTGAATTTATCTCCCTTAGTCTTTCGCGTTGGCCAGTCGGGTATGCCGACAGTCAGCAGTTGTAGGAATTCAACACCATCCAGCCACTAACCTACCCAAACGTCTCTTTTTGTGAGTACTTGGCTAACACGGAAACAGGTGTACACCTATATCTAGGTATAATCAAGAGCTATCGCTCTGTACACACGGTACACCATGTACTAAGACCGAGGTGAACATGGGCCGTTTCTGCTCTCACAAAGCTGTCTACTAATTTGCAGCTCCAAAACGCATCACCAGATACACGCTAGACCCCCACAACAATAGTTTGGGGCACGCTTTTGCTCGCGCGGTAAAAAAACATACATACACACAAAACAGATTGTCCTTGTTGGGCAGAAAGTTGAAGGTGGCAGGACTTATGGCAAGACTTTAACCTAAGCCGTGCAGCTAGCGTGAGACTCAAGAGTGACAGATAATATCAAATTATTGAGTGCTAATAGTATATACTTAAGAGACAACACAAGTATATATTATGTTTATTACTGGGTTGATTATTTGGATATTGTGTTTTTTTATTGTGTTTAAATTCTACACTGCAGGTTCTGGGTGTTCCATGTTTCGTGTCAGTCGCTTGCCCGCCACAGCGTTGCAGGATATCGCAAACATGCCTTCGCCGACCAAGCCGTCTGATTCAGCAAAGAGCCCCATCAACTCTGCGGCTCTCACTGTCCGACGCACAAAGACGAAGGATGAGAATGTTCGGACCGCGTACGGCGAAATGAGCGGGCAACCCCATCCAGATCAAGTCGACGAGGCTGGGTGCGGGCAACCTTCAGGCCACCTGCGTATTCATCATATGCCAGCAATTGGGGCACCTGGGTTGATTTACCAGATGCTGTCTCGCTCGAAAGAACGAAAACCTGGTTGTCGTGGTACGCTTTGAGGATCTTATCGAACTTCCCGTACACTGGAAGCTTGCGGCGGCCTTCTAAGAGTATTTTGGCCTCCTGGGACCATACTTCTCCGGCTCATGGGCTCGTAGGTATGTCTTCGAGACGGCTAATGTCGGCGGCGGTGACTTCTTTGCGTTTGATGGACTCCATTATAGCTTCGTTGAAATCGTGATGTCGCTACGTATGTGGATGTGTTTGTATGGAAGTTCGTGTGTGTTTGTGTTTGCATGGAAGTTCGTATCTCTGCGTAGAAATGTGCGAAGGAGGAAGCTAGAAGATTCTTTTTCCTGCTGTACATAGAATCAACTGTGTTATGGGCAGGTTTTGGCAGCTCACCCGCGTCGCGTTGTGGCAGCTGCTCGCACACGCATGCGCTCAGCAGGCTCTCAGATCGACCTCACTTTCAGGTTCAGCAGTGCAAGTTAATGTTACCTAGGTACCTAAGTACAAACCTAGGCAAGTCTTTCAGTCACAGCTCGCCTGCGGCTTTCTCTATCTACTTACCTCTCTGCCAGGGTAACCACAAATTTTCCAAGTTTCTCTCTCCCACACACATCACTCACCCACAAACATCACTCACCCACACATATCACGATCGCCACTCAACCGATACGTGCGTACAATACTACAATCACCATAGGGGGTTATCTTTCATCGAACCTGCTCAAAACTCTGCAACTAACAATTCACTGCGTAGAATGGCAAACCCACCTCAGTTCTACAAGGCGAAGGCGTTGAAGGAAGCGCTCAAGCCCTTTGAAAAAAACAGAAGGCTGATCTGTATTCGAAACATCAATTACAGCTCCGATGCACGCCAATTTGAGGAAGCCTGTCGAAAGTTGCTCACCATAGCCGACGATGTCAAGTTCTTGTGACCCGCACCAGATCATGAGGGAAGAAGGAACAGAGGCAAGGTCTATCTCGGCTTCGATACGCGACCTGATTACATTATTGCGCTTCAGCAAATCAGTGAGGGTTTCGATTTCGAAGGATTGAAAGTTGTAGTCGAAAGATCAGGGAAGGGGCCCAATCCAAAGGTAAATGCCATCGCTTACTCTAAGACAATCGCTAATGGGAGCTTCAGAACCAGGTCGCGAGCACACCTGCAAGCTCAATCGCTGCGTCCGCCTCAACCCCGGCTCTGGCTCCGGCTCCAGCTCCTGCTCCAGCTCCAGATACAGCTACAGCTCTATCTCTAGCTCTATCTCTGGTTTCAGCTCTGGCTCCTGTTCCCGCTCCAGCCCTAGCTCCAGCTCCAGTCCCAGCTCTGGCTCTATCTCCAGCAGCAGCTCCATCTGAGAACCAACCTGAAGCTCAAATGGTGGCCCCTACTGAGCGTCTCTCTGTTGAAACCATCATTTCTTACATTGATGAGTTAGCGACAGCTCCATTGCCCCTTTTGGCTCGGGCTGGCGAACATGCTCGCGTCTCGGAACTTGTGGCATCTTTGGCCGCTGCATTCCCCGAGACTGTGAAATGTTTAGTCGAGGCTCCTTGCTTCCAAAGTGAAAGTGCTGCCACTGGGTCTGCTTCTGGCTCTAGCACTGTTCCGGTTTCAGGTGCCGGTCCTATTGAAGAACCAACGACCAACGCCACATCTTGCAACAACACTGTCCAGACAGAAACGGCCGCAGCTCAGTCTGGAGACATCACCATGCAATCAGACAAAGATGGCGCAGAGTCGGAAGGAGGATGGTGGTGGTAGAGAGTGGTGTTTAGAAGATTAAGTTTTCGACCCTGGTGTCAAGAAGGAGGAGGGTGGCGGGGGTAGGGAGAGGTGTTTAGAGGAGGGTAACCTGTTTCTGTTTATATTGGCGGAGGGCGTCTTCATTGCACAGCGAAAGCTTCTTTCTTTTTTGCATAGCCGAGGTGATGTTGATAGCTTGCACAGCAAAAGCTCCCCCCCTTTTTTTTGCGCCGCCGTGGTGGCTTGCATCGCGAAAGCAAGTGCCGGGTACTGCCCGTGGATCTCGGTCCTAAAGTCGCTTTTGGCAGCCCTACGGGGAGCGAGTTCGATTCTCGCGGCGACGGACACCGATCATTCCACTCGATTGTATGGATTATGAGAGTTGGCAGTGCCAGTGTGGCATCGCACAATTAGGGAATATCGACCGCATCACAGGTAAGTTGATTCCCATGCACACAATCACTCTTTCATATTCTACACAGATAGGCTGCTGTCGTTGCACGCTGCGGGCATATGAGTCTTCAAATCCGAGCACCCTTGCTAACTAACACAACGATAAAATCTCTGTCCTTTAAGCGAACGCTCCTTATAGACATTGCGGAGCTTTAGAAGGCTGTGGGTACGTCTAATTCCTTTCTGCATAAAAAAGTTATGCGGAACTCTAATTTCACAGAACATCTACCTAGCGAAGGTTACATTTCGCCCAAGTTTTGAAAGGTCATGCGGCGGTTGTGAGAGTTTTCTTACTGTTCTTTTGTTCATCACAAACAATTTTGAACTCCATTCCTCCCACATAGTTCTCCCCGACACAATTTCACCTTAGAGCACCCTTCTCGAAGATCAAACATATATACCTTATCTCCTATTATATATCTCGTCCAGGCATCATCTCAGCTTCCTTCTTCTGGGGAACTGGGAGCTTTGCAATGGTTATTCCAAGAATACCACGAACCCTCAGTATTTTCCAGCCGTCGGTTAGACGCTGGGTGGCCGCTACTCCACGCCTCGATGAAGCGAATGTTCGCCAAAGTGTCAAGTCGGCTATTTATTCTTTGTCGAGTTGGAACATTAACGCATTCTGGCCTCGACCAGTTGCTCGTGCGACCAGAATAATCAACCTGCTTCTGTCTGAAGCACACTTATCAAGCGACATCATCTTTCTGCAAGAAGTCACTCGGGAAGTTCGCAACTGTCTGCTACGAGACACACGGATTCGCTCGAATTACTTAGCAACAGATGCTGAAGACACTACCGCATTCAACGACGTTTCATTCGCAACCATGACACTGCTATCCAAAGCCCGTTTCTCAAGCCAAGGCGCAACCATCGGCCCCGTCTCCCGGTTCGAACTTCCGAGCCAGTACGGACGAGATGCACTCTGCACGGACGTGTTTCTCCCACCGTCTACAGCATCTTCGTCATTCCACACGAGGATTGAGGACTGTAACCGCCTGCGTCTCGTCAATGTGCATCTTGATTCATTGAGCTCCACGCTAAGTTATCGCCAGCAGCAGATGGCCTGTATCTCTGAAATACTGCATGAGGGCAACAACTCATCAACGAAACAGTCGAATATAGGTCTTGTCGCAGGCGATTTCAACGCCGTTTGCCAAGAAGACCTGGAGCTAATCATGAAGAATGGACTTGTTGATGCCTGGCTTCAATTGTATGGAGCAGATGAAGCGCAGCCCCAGATTAGTACCGAGCAGAAATCCAAACAACCTCTCTGGCCCCGAAGGTTAGATAGAGTAGCAATTACGGGGCCGTTGGAATCATTGGAGCTGCAAAATCTATGCCCTGGTACCATCCCAGTCCCCAAGCCAGGTGAAGTAAAGGATGGCGAGGTGAAATGGAGTGATCATCCCGGGCTAAGATTCATGTTTAAGCTTCCTTGATGTCCAGCATCTGAATGCCACGGAAACACACAGTTACGGACAACAAATAGCCAATACTCGCTCAACGTAGTGACAATAAACAAACGAACTGGTATGAAAACACTCAATATTTTCTATAATTCTATGCTCAAAAGCCTATAGAATGGTTTGCCTTGCCAGTAGATAGTTGAGTCTGTTCTGCTGTGATCGCTTGTTTTATGTTTATCCAGGGTTTTTCTCACATATTGTCTTACGTTACTGTCGTATAACTTGGCATGACCATGTGCTCTTGGCAAACTGGTGGGGATACATACGCGCGGATTCTTGGGTCATCTTGCCAGCAATCTCCTCTTTTATTGACAATTATCTATTTCCAAACCCAATTACACTATGCTACAATTGAATGAATCGCAATCTGTGTACCATTACCAGGCACTACCGCGTTCCCGAGTTATCCGTGTCCTTATTTTATTTCCTGGAGCTGGCGATGATCCCATTTGCGTCTCCCTTCAGGTCGCCTTTCTCGACGATGAGCCGGAATTCGAAGCCATTTCCTATGTCTGGGGCGACCCGACCTCAAGGAAAAACATCTATTGCGATGATGTTTGCATCAGCGTCACAGCGAACCTCCACGCTGCCCTTCATAACTTTAGGCTCGAAGACAAACCTCGCAGGCTGTGGGCGGACGCTTTGTGCATCAATCAAGAGGATTTGGACGAGAAATCATTCCACGTGCAGATGATGCACACTGTATATCAATCCTGTGTTAGGTGCCTGGTCTGGCTCGGCGCTCCCGACGCGCATTCCGACACTGCACTGGCCTTGGTCCAAGCAATCACTCTACTCTACACCCATCATCTGGGCATCGCGATTGATCAGGCCGACCGTCACCTGGGCCAACATGGTAGAGATCCCATGCTGGTCCAGAAAATCGGCTTTGGCGGCCTGCCGCCTAGAGACTCGGAGCAATGGAGCTCGCTGTTCCAGTTTCTTCGCCGGCCATGGTTCTCTCGCGTGTGGGTAAGCGTCGCACCCTCCTCAGTCCACTCTAAATCGTTCTAATGAGTTCTCAAGGTCATTCAAGAAGCCTACTTCTCCGGAGATGTCCTCTTCTTCTGCGGGAACAGAACGACCACATATGCACCACTTTACTTCGCCGCGGACTGGGTTCTCGCAAACGGGACAAAGGTGGGCTACGATAGGACTTACGATCCGGCTGATTACTCCAGTTCCATGTGCTTCAACATCATGAAAATGAGGCCCGACGACTGGACCCGCGAGAACCAGTCGCTTGACAGTCTTCTCGACGGATGCAAAAGGTTCGGCGCTACGAACCTCCGTGACAAGGTGTATGCCTTGATGCACCTCCCCGCATTCAAGAGAGAGTATCCCGATATCCAGCCAAATTATCGAGTCTCCGTCGAGGAAGCGTATGTCGATGTGACCATGGCATCGATCCGCCGAAATAAAGACTTGGTCATTCTTACGCGTGTCGATCGAGAATTAGGAGACCAGACAGCAGCTCTTCAACTGCCTTCCTGGGTGCCCCGATGGAATAGGGGTGACGAGACGAGCAGTGCATCAACTACATGGTACAAATTTTATGCCGCAGGGAAGAGCAAATCGTCTACAGAAAGTTCTTCTCCGCTGTTTTCTGCTAAACTTCTCTCCGGACACAGACTGCAGGTAGCGGGGTTCGAGTTCGACAGAGTGGAAGATGTTGCCGAGCTGACTTTTCTCCGCGGTTACAATGCTACCCCCCCAGCCAAGCCACACTTCTCTCCTTTGCGACCATGGAAACGATACCATCCTAATTCAGAATCCGGGCCATATTCTACTCCGCCGGCCATCATTGATGCCTACGCCATGACAATGACGGCCATGTGTCGCGAGTTTGAAGGATTCTATGCTCTCCACTGTGCATCGGAAAATGAAGATCACCACAGGTCTGACTTTGTAGCCTGGCTGCAATGGCTGCGACGCCCGGACGCAGAGGAATATTTGCGCGAAGGAGACAGTCATTACCCTCCAGGCCTTTACTCTGATGAAAGGCCATTTTTGAATGATACCACGGATGAAGAGCTGGAAGTGTTCTATTCGAGATACAATAGGATGGTGAGAATGTACAACCTAGGGCGAAGATTAATAAGAACTCGCAATGGTTACTTGGGGACTGGGTCCCATGAGCCGCATATGGGAGATCTCATCTGCATTCTCTTTGGGAGTGCGGTTCCGTTCATTTTACGACCTAGAGAGGACAGCAATGGGTTTATCTTGGTAGGGGATGCTTACGTTCATGGCATCATGAATGGTGAAGCCTTAGAGACGCTGGACAATGGCTCATGTACGAAAAGGAACTTTATCGTTCACTAATGGCAGGGCCACCACTCTCAAATTTTCCTTAGTCAATATCAAGAGGCTCAATTTAATATCCTTGAAGGTGATTAATTCTCTTTCCGTACCATGAAGGTTGTACTTAAGCCAAGTCTACACGATCCATAGCAACGTGCAGGAAATACCGCAGTGGTAGCGAATGTACATTATCACGGTGCGTTTTACCAATTACGTGTATGGAATATTCAGGTATCCAATGCGATTTATCAGCACACAGCAATTAGAAGTCATCATTCTGGAATCAATCAATATAGTCCCAGTTACAGTTGAGACGGAGCATTGATCCCAATACGCAACTCGTGCTCGTCATTGGTAGCTAGATGTACAGCATCTGACGCCATCAGACTCTGGACGTGAAGACTTTGGGCAGCATCTGTCCAAAATCTTGTGGGACACTTACATATCCACCTCTGGTTGGAAGTCGGCCAAGGCGGAGTGGAGAAGTATGCTTAGGCATCCTGAAGAGGAGTTACACATTGACCAAGGCAAAAACGCACAACACGTGCGATATGAAGTAAGCTGAGTGTCAGTCTATGTGTGTGGAAAATTAGTATAAAGCTCAGGTATCCGGTGCTTTCCCAACCTAGACGTTTCATCTATATCTATCAATCAGCCTTGCGCAAGAATAGGATATCTACCTTAACAGTCTCCGCTTCCTAACTCCTTTTTCCCTCTTGGCTGCATTCTCGAATCATTACGAGATGGATCCCATTTGGGCTCAGCACAAGGATGTGATCCAACGCCTTTATGTTGAGCAGAGGAAGACTCTCGCAGAAGTGAAGAAAATCATGGAGAATGATTTTGGGTTTCCTGATTCTATGTGCGATCATGTTCAACTTCCCGACAATGTTTCGTCTGAGCATTGACAACTGACCACCTAGAGTAGACTGAAATCGGCCTACGAAGTCGCACTACGTGATGAACTAGGACTGATTAAAAAACTCAAGAAAGAGCATTGGCCCATTCTATATCAACGTTTCCTCCAGAGACAAGAGGAGCCATTCGATCTGTATATTGATGGGACGCTTCTATACCGGTGGACAAAAGTCTGGAAAGAACTGAGACGGTCCCGAAAGATCGAAATCGATCCTGGTAAATTGAAATATTAGCCTATCTAAGGTTCCACGACTAACCTTTTATCAGGAGTTTCTCTCCCTCCTAGATTAGAATTGCGAACCCCATCTTCGATTCAATCATTTTCAGCAGTTATTCCAATGCAGCTCCGGTCCGTTAAACCTGGGCCAATTGGGCCTTGCCCCACGATGTTATCTACGACAACATCGAGCCCGAGAACACGTCGAACGGCCATATTCAAGAACAAGGGGCAAGCTCTGAAACCTGCCGCCATCTCTACGCCAGCGAACATGGCTTTAGCGCACACATCTATTGCATCTGCTGTCCCAAATTTCAGATCCGAAGTACAAACCAAGCTTTATAAAGGCCGCTTGAGCGTAGAGGTTAGCCTGCAGCTTGAAATGATACCATGGAATGAAATTCGGCTTGCATTGCTAGGTTCGTATGCGATGAAATACCTGTCCCACAGAGATACTTGAGCTGATTTCCCAAAAGCATCAATAATTGGCCCTGAGAGAGTTTATTGTAGACAGGTTATCGGCGATGTTTCATACGCAGTGATTCCGAAAGACAAATTCCTCAGTCACATTTCTGGTCAATGGCCAGCTCGAGTCTCAGACAGTATTCTGCCATCTATCTGGGACCTGGAGATTTCGAAGTCTTCGCTTAAGGCCTTAACACCAAGTTTGAATGGATACCACATTTTAAACACGCTTTTCTACCTTCTCTCCAACAATTTGATTAGTACAATTGATACTCGACCAACAAGCTTACTTAATGCGGTTCTGGATTTCCTTCTCTACATTCCAAAAGCGGTAGCTCACCAATTCTTCAGCAATCAGCAATTCTTCAGCAATCAGCTTCTCTCTGTGAGGGCTGTATGGGACCGTTTGCTTCGAGGAGCATACCGCTCACGCCGCACAGATGTATTCGAGCTAATTGCTAATTTGGCTCTTGAGAACCACATTGATTGGATCTCTGGGCTTGAAGACGTTATGCTTAAATTCGCGGCACTTTCAGGGCATACAGCAGCGATACGCAGGCTGTTGGACCTGCAAACTCGGGGTAACACTTCATGTTCTGAAGTTTCATTTGCTTGGGCCATCATTCATTCAACAAAGGCAGGGTTCCAAGAATGCGTAAGGATTCTTCTAGCCAGGATATGCGACCGAAATAAGAGGCAGCAGCCTCGATTTTCCGCAACAATCGTCCTTCAAATTATTTTCAAAGAAATATTTTCCAGAAAGCCGAAGGCTGGAGCACTCAAGCACCGCTTTTATCTCGTTATAGACTCTCTGCTTAAAGAAGGAGCTGATTTTAGCTCGCCTTTTCCTCTCAACCAATTCAGCGATGAACGACTTAATAGACCTCACATCATCCTTCAAACAGCGATACATCAGCTTCCAACATTTGCAGATATGATGTATTACTGTAACCAGGATTTCTTCTACTATCTCATCTTTCAAGGCGTGATTGTGGAGCATCGAGATGCGCTTACTAGAGCTGGTGTCTGCATCGCCGCCACGGGTGGTCGTTGTGGTATCGCCGACTACATCGAGAGCCGATCACAAAGAGGTACAATGGGAACAAGAGAGTTCCTCGAGCTCATATTTCTAGAGCAATTCTTTCTCTATGATAACAACAATGATGACTTCTCAAACTTCAAAGTCAATGCCAGTGTTACAAGCTCTCTGGTTGAATATCTCTATGATCAACACAATGATGACCTCTCAAACTTCAAAGTCAATGCCACTGTTGCACGCTCTCTGGTTCAATATGGCGTTGAAATCAGCCAAGAATTCCAAGAAATACACGGGGGTACTAACACTCTTCTGAAACTACTCATGAATTCACTTCATGGTTCAACTTGGACTGAGGATGAGCTGTTCTTGCTTGAATATCTAATCAGCCACGTTCGTACCTTAAGGACCGACACAGTAGATTGTGCGGTTCAGGCGGAAGGCACTCAGCTCCTAGAACTTCTCGCTCTGCATGGCCATAACTTGTCTCAATGTGGTGCGTCTGCATTAGTTATAGCGGCAAATAAAGGAAACCATAACGCAGTACATTGGCTTCTAGAACAGGGGGTGAACATCAATTCGGAGGTCCCAAATCAACATTCCGTCAAGCAAAATTTCACAGTCCTTGGCGCTACTATACATCCATCCTACTGGACATATATTATGTATGATACTATAAACATAAGACATCTACTCCAGATGGCCTTCATGTGTAGGACGAGGCAGGCACAAATAATTTTTTCAACCGTGCGATATCTTATCCGGGCAGGCGCAGACCTAAAGTTGAGACCAACAGATCAAAGCCCATCTCACCTCCTCGAAAGCTTAGCAGAGTTGGATTCCGCTGAGTTAATTTACAATGCCTTTGAATTTTTCTCTTCAATACACGCGGAAATGGTCAAAATACCAACTAGGGAGTGGGTTTCTATTTTAACAAGTCTGATCAGCCAAAGGTCTCATATAAGCTCAGACCACCCTAGCTACTGCCTACGCTGCCAACTATTTATGAAGTTACTTCACGAGCATTGCGAGTCTGAATGCGGAACGCTACTTGCAGTAGCTATTCGTGCAGGTACCAAGGGGGGCATAGTTCAGCATCTTATAGCAAGGACCGGGAATATCGATGAAGTGGCAACAGTCAGCACAGGATCTGGCTGTAGCATAAGACTCACCACTCCAAGCTGCGGCCGGTCGAGGCAATAAGCTGCTGTGTTCTCAATTGCTGAACCTTGGGGCAGATGTCAACGCTCCATATCAAACAAATGGGCGTCCTGGAAGGTGTACAGGTTCAGCCCTTCAAGCAATCTGCCAGTGGAAACCCGATGATAGAGAAGAAAATGAGCGAAAATCTGAACTGATCGAATTTCTTCTGATCAAGGGTGCCAAAGTTAATGAAGAGGCCAGTGGTGGAGGAGCTATGATGACTGCTTTACAACATTGCGTGAAACTCGGCGATTTGAAACACACTGCTCTGCTCCTCGAGCATGGAGCGGACCCTAACAGCCCCTATATCTCAAATGTTCCCGAGAAGGGGGTGCGGTTTCTCCAGAGAGCGCTATTTTCTACACTAAGCCTCGCTGTCGACGAGGAGCGGCTAGATATTGTACAACTCCTACTCGGGATGGGAGCACTGAGTAGTGACCCCGGCAAGAGTGGTTATGACGCAGCAATTGATTATGCACGCGCGAAAAAGCACATCACAATAGCCGATTTGATTCAGAGACATGTTGAAAAGCAGAGACTCCTGTTCCGCCAGCAACCAAGACTTCGCGTTGAACATGAAGCAAGGATAGGGCAACATGTGATCAAGATGAAGCAATATGAGATACAGTGGGAATGTAAAGGTGTATGGGCTTAATATGAAGATGGTCGCTGCCATTAAATTAGTAACTACCGAGATATTATGACCAATATCTTTATCTTTTCTTGCTATTTAATTTGTACCCAAGGGTGTATTGCTTGATGCACTGTAATTGGAGGCATCCATGTCAACATTATTTGAAAACAGACATCTATGCAGACACGCTTTTATCACGTCAACGCGATTGACAGAACAAGTATTAGTTGGCACAGTGGAATAAATCATTTAATTTAGGAGGGACATGGTAGTTACTGTTCAACTGCCACGAAGTTGGTGATGGGCTTGTTACACGGTAAGCCACAGCACTAGCTAATTGGGAGGAAAGATGTTGTATGTATGATGGCAGCACCGTGACAGGCCTCGGTCTTCGTATCTCAATGCCAACCTACAAATCACGTCGGTATGTATAATGAATGACTGCATAAATCGAGAACCCCGAGAAGCCTATTAACGACCTAGAGCATTGTTTCTTGGATAATGCCCTAAAGGAAGCATGTGGGCGATTTCCGGCCTGATAGTGGTGAGTGTGGTATCTCTCAGCCTCAAATTAGTAGAATTTGTAGTCATTCGATACTCGTTGGCTGTGTTGTCTTTGAAGTTTTGCTTAGTGGTGGTCTAGCACTGTGAAGCTGGAATAGTCCTATGGGAGGATGATGCTTTGTATGCAGGTAATTACCCTTTTTGCTTGTCCATTTGGCATTCATTCCCATTTTTCTTATGTATTTGGCAACATTTGAAGTTTCACCACCTGTATGTATCGATGCATCTCCCTCCTCCCATCCAGTGAATGGCCAAATATGTTTTGTCACTCGTTACAACCATAAGAAGAACAGTTCGGAGGTTCTGCAGTTAATTTAAGACCAGCTAGAGGGCCCTATAGATGCCAACACAGCAAATTGCGAGACTCTGTCAGTCCTAATCACAAAGCATTATCATGAAAATATACAACCAGCTCCGTGGAGTTTCATCACATTTGTGTCACAATGTTACAGTAAACAATCTTGCTTTCACCATACATGCAAAGCCTTGAAGGAAAGCAAAGAAGGATTCGCAGAGCAGGACAAGAGGCTTGTAGTCTCGAGCATGTTAACAAGCTTCAATTTCAAATACGTGAAAGTAGTTACTGCGGAACAGCGCGATGTCATACGAAGAGCCCAGCATGGTTGAACAAGCCATCACTCAACACTAGGTTTTAACGAAAGTCTTGGTGATTTCATCCCTTATACATCCCCTACATGAGCGAAAAAGGATCACTGAGTCTTGAAGCACTTGATGGAGCTGACCGGGGGCTTGTTTTGTGTATTGGGAACGCTGTCGGGATAGTCGGTAACGGCACCAAAGCAATTCTGCAGACTGCCAACTCGTAAGCTTGAGGGATGATGACAAGTACGCCCGTCAAGAATCACTCACGAGAATGTACGACAATCGTAGCCATTGGAGACCTTGATAGAGCGGACACGGCCAACGCTGCCATTCGTTCCGTTAGCAGGGCTGTGCAGCGTAAGGAGCAGGAGCAAGTGTTCTTACAGTGGTGGCGCAAGTTGATTGCAGCGTCCAATCCCAATGGCTTTACTCACTCCATTGTTATTCGTTTCAGAATAAACAGTTCCCTAGTGGAGTATCAGTAGAGGATTCTTGGAGATATTTGGCGAAGATGAGGGAACCTACTGCAACAACAGCATCCGTCTGTGCAGCGGCGAGAGAAAGAAGGGTAAACGGGACGATCGTGGAGAACAGCATGTTGAAGAATTGTCTCTTTTTTAACTCTACTGTGTGTTGGTAGTCGTGTAGGAGATGTTGGTGGTTTCTGAGAACTGCTTCTTGCGACAGCCTGGGAAGCCCAGCCATCTTTATAATTCTCGACATTGTATTGAAGCATACTAAAGGACATACACCAAAGTACTATTGCCGCTCTCAATATTATCAAGGATGCCCGAATCAACAAAAAATACCAATACACTGCTGCTCGTGAGAGCATGACGATAGAATGAAATGAGGCTTTTTCACGTCAGACTCTCATGCCTCCTTCTATTCCTCTTCATCGCCATCGTTTCCACTTGCTGTATACACAAAACAGTCCTTATGTTGGAAAATAACAGTCATCAAGATCATACTTTCACATTATGACGCTGATTACGAAGATTTTGGTGCTCACTTCCCAGGATGTGGTGAGGACGCGTTACACTCCATTCCAGCAGCAGCCCAAGATCTTTTACTTAGCATGCCAGTCAAATATTAGCGGAATAATCTAGATATACTCGTCTGGGGAAAATTTCAGTTGTCAGGACCATGAACCAGTTGGAGCGCGGACGTTCGGACAGCCAGGTCGCAACACAGACTGAGGAGTCGGGCAAGGCGCGTTGTTGGTGTACGCTGGCTACAGAACAATAAGAACGTTTGTCGTGCGTGTGCACGCATGTACGACGATGTTTCTGGAGACCAAAAGTCCCGTTGATCAACATTTGAGTATGGCCGAATGCATTCCGAAACTCATATGCACGCCTCAATCACGTAGTCATCAACTCCGATGCTCGGGACTTGCATCGGCGGTCTGTAATGTCCTTACAATGCAAGTGAAAAATTGTCTGGTCACGCCGAAACTAAAGTTCTCGCTCGTCCTTGGCTACCTAGATCAGCATCACCCCAGCGCAAACTTGCCGAAACAATTCTCTAAACCCGTAGTGTTAGTGACTTTATTACTACTTGTGTCTACATGAATGTGCACAGGCCTTATGACTGTATGCTGGCATGACACCATAATTTATTGTCTGCCTTCAACACGATCCTGGTAAGAATGGGTAGGCAAATAGCAGTAAATACCGTTATGATGAGCCACAACACTTACCAATATCTATCTTGATTAATTATCACATTGAAGGCATATGATAGTGTCTTACGATTGCAAAACCTGTGAATAGTAGTACTAATTGAAGTTGGATGAATCTCAATATAGGGTCATGAAGTATAGGGTAGGCATATTGTCAGGAATGCTGGGCAAAGCAGGGTATGAGAGTCGCACGGGCACAAATCACCAGGTTCGTCTTCTATAAAAAGAATGAAGAGAGCAAATAGCAAATGGCGAAGACCGGGTTGCTGGGTCACTATGGAGAGAACCAGGGATCTCAATGGAAATATCAGTAGCGTCGTTTTATTTTCAACTGGTAGCTAGGGTCAAACGACAGCATGGGCATGGACACGGCTGCTGAATAATGACGATCGATTTCTTGGGAAGCGCGAGCGACACTGTACTTATGACTCATGCTAGGCCGGAAACAAATCCTCAAGAGCGGCATCAGGTCTTTCATCGTGCCTAACTAAACATTGGCTTGTGTGTGTGTCACTGTGCGTGGCGACATGCCGTCTGGAAGAGGACCGAGGCAGCTTTGACGCGACCGCGTCTGCTCCATCATTTTTACGCGACTCTAGCCATCGGCAAGCTCAGAATTAAGTGTGGGTTTGAGTGAGCCTTGGCCTGGGCTTGCGGTGAGGACTGCTCGAATGACCGGATGAGTAATGAAAGACTGGGGCCAGAGCCAGTCAAGGAGCGCTGTTGGGAGCAGTTCCGCCTGTGTGCGCAAAGTTGGGAGTGGACTCAGTGGAGGCACCAACCAGTTTCAGGCCAAGTAGGCACTGTCGTAGGCTTTGTCGTGGTTGCTACAGTGAACACTACAGAGCACATCACCACTTTTGAACTCAGCGCTGGCCCCATTAGTGGACCGCTGTTCTATTTCGAGCGCCCTCCCGGTTCCTAATGGAGGTACCATCAGCCCCCCAGCAAATCGACCCTGATTTCGCCACCCAGCACCTGTTTTCTGATGCCTGTCGCCGAAAAGCATCGCATTCTCTCTACGATGGCACCAGGCACAGGCCTCTGATTCACCGCAACTGGCTTATCTGCTGACTGACAGCGCTCGATGGATCCACCGCGCCAGTCAAGGCAGGGGACATAGGCCTTGGCCGTACCTGGGGCTCGCCGTAAATTTAGAGCTGGGAACAACTGCCGACGACATATTTAACATTCTGCCATCGCCGTAAACAACGTCTTCTCTCTCATCACGCCTTCATCACTCAACCTTCTCACCCTTTAATAGTCGATCCGCGCTGGCACGCATTTAATTCTTGCACTTTTCTCAACTTGAATCATTCACTTGATCTTCAGGCGGCTGGGACGCATTCACTTCTTGCTTTGACCACTTACTCAGTTCTAATCCCACCACCAGCGTCTGGCACGCACTTCGCTTCTTGCCTCTTTACTATATCGTTATTTGATTAATCCTTTGTAATTATCGACTACCTAGCGGCTGGTACGCATCCACCTCTAGCCTACCCTATCCTTTCGGCTTTTCGACCTTTGCAACATCACCACCGACATCATGAGCGCAATTTCAGAAGACAAGACCATGGAGATGGGTCTTCTCTTGGATGCCGAGCACAACAGAAACAGCCCCGAAAGAATCTACATCACCAAGCTGCGATTCCGAATCGTGACCGGAGTCCTCTGCCTCATCCTGCTTGGCCTCAACGTTATTTCTATGAAGGAATGGGGCCGTGTTGGCATCGTCTACTTTGCACCTCCCGTAAGCACCACCGATTGCAAGTGTGGTCGACCTTTGCTAACATACGAATCTACAGGTTGCTCTCAGTCTTCTCTGGGGACTTGTCGAAGGTGTCTCCGTCTACACCCGACCTGGACGCCGGGGCATCAACCCAGGCCTCACCGTCACCGTTGACGGCATCCTGATGATTTGCTACCATGCTGCAGCAACCACTTACGGCCTCAAGCACGGCGGATGGGACCAGTTCTATGCTGAGAGCTTCCCTGACTACGCATACTGCATGGCCCAGTATGTTGATAACATGATTCTCGCACTCTCGTCTCTCCAGATGTAAGCATGACCTCCCGTCTCACCGTGGCATCAATGTAACCAAAATGAGCGACGCTAACATCTCACTCCACAGCTTCTTCCACGTCGTCATGTTTGTGATTGGCTGCTTTGAGATCACCGAGAACAAGCGCAAGATTGCTAGAAGCTACATCGACACGACCCGAGGCGACTTCATGAACACCGGCAGCTACTGCCGGTACTCGGACCAGAAGTCCCACGTACGAGCGCGCTCCGTCGACTCGACCTACTCCGATGATGATGACTGCAAGTCAATTGCTTCGAGCATCAACGAGAAGGACTTGTAAACATGCATTCGAGCGCACTAGACAGGAAAGCTCAACTGTCCCGTGTCAGAGAGTGGGTTTCACTTCGAAATCCGCGCTCATTTTCCTTTTCTCTTTTCTTTACTTCTCTTTTTCTTTTTCTTTTTCTTTTAACGAATTTCCTATTTTCTTCTTCTCTTTTCCTTTTTTTCTCTTTTCTTTTCCTTTGTCTTGGTCTGGTGCCTCTTAATACCAGTAGAGCTGATCTCTATCTGATATTCTGAACTCTGCCCTTTTATTTTGCCTTTTCTTCTCTCTACTTTTTACATTTACGATTTTCTTTTCAATTTCTTCTCACAATAGAGAGTGTTTTGGTTTTTCTAGTTATACAATAAAATGAAATTAAAAATATATTAAAAATAACAATAATCGAAAATCAATAAGCAGTGAATGTTAAGCGTAAAATTGCAGAACCTGCTATCCTCGCGAACAATAAACTTGGGTACAGTATCTCTCAGCCCACTGAGTCGTAGCCAAGCGGCTGAGATATAACATGGCATACCAGAGCTCTTTCGTGCAAGCCAGAGACCTCATTCTCTTATGAATAATGTTTCAAATAATAATAATAATGGCAAAGTGATACATTGTTCTACATTATTTAGCTTGATATTGTATCAATCATTAGGTTCATTATTTTGACATTGTGTCGAAGTCTGAGGCTGTATGGAGGACTTTGGTGTGCCATGTTTTATTTCAACCACTTGGTACCTTAAATTGAGGTGTGTTCTCCTTGTTCACATGATCAGCCTTCGAAGACAAAGAAAATGTTTCCAACGCACGAAACTTAACATGAAACTTGATTTGTTCCGCGAACGGAGCTAAACATAATTTCTTATCGATCAAAGAACTCAAAGGCTTTGGGAACGGACTTTCCCAATAGTCTCATTGTGGCATGGAAATGATCTGGAACTCACGCACAGAGAAGCATAAACCCGTTGCCATGCCCAGTTCATAGTTTCAACATGTTCTCACGCAGTCTGAATCTCATAGCTTTGATTTTGTACTTCTTATTTTGTTCGTATGCACCCCGTAAGTCGAGAATCAAGTTACTTGCTGGCCATGATCCTCTATAAAAGCAGGCCAGGCACCACCAAGTGCTTCAGGATTCCTCTGCGTCCATATCTCAGGATCCCTCTGCATCATACCTCAGTCTTCCGAATTCAGAAATCATTACCACTATCTTCAAGACCCTTCGAAATCCATCTTTCCAGCGGTCGAAATGGCGGAACCAGGTTCAAGTGGTGGCCCAAGCGGCAGCTCAAACATCGACCTAAGTGCCCTGGCGAGGCAAATGGAAAGCGTAGGTGCGGAACTGCAACAAAACATTATATCAAACTTGGCGGTGGAAATCCCCGCGGATCTCCATATGCCTCCAGCTTTATCGGGAATGAGATTCCTCACGGGCGTGTTCCCTCCACCCAGCCATCAAGTCACAGACGCACACGTTATCGAACACGTCAAGGGACTATTGGCGCAAAAGGTGGTTATAGCGGGCAATGCGCGAGAGGACGACGTCGTTCGCTGCCAGCAGGAGTTCTTTAACAACCTGTGTGGCAGGCCCTCCAGTCTTACAAAACGGAGTTCTTCATCGCCAGTGCTCCCAGCGACCGCATCAGACTGTACAAGTTCAAAGACGTGGTAATGGGAACCGTAGTTGACAAAGCTCTCCAGCCAGGGCCACGCTCTTGGGTGCACGCCTTCCTACACTGGAAGCAGACAGCACGCGATGCTCAGCGGACACAGGCAGTACGCGCACCGCCAGGACCCAACGTTCAACGGATACCGGTAGGACCCAACGTTCGGCTGGCGCCGGCAGATACCGATGTTCGGCTGACACCGCAAGATATCCTGTCGATTGCGGTCTTTAACATGACTTCCCTGCAGTTCATAGACTGCACCGTCACCGAAGACCCGTTCCTGGTTACGAACCTCTCGGGTGATCAGCCGTTGGAAACGTACATGGTCAGAACAGCTGGTCGGGAAACGGCCCCTACCATTCAGGATATCAGTCTTCAGATCATCACGCAGCACAGAGCCAACAATAGGCCGCAGCTCAAGCTAGCTTGCTTGAGGTGGGACGGGGAAGCAGCACTCGGCGAAGTTAGGTATGCGGAACCAATCATGCTTCATACCAGCCTCAGAGTCCTGGAACTCGTGGGGTTCTCATGGGTGGCCAGGTATGGTAACAGGGGCTTTTCCACAATCGGCAGTCTGGTCTGGACGCAAGCTAATCCCAGCATCACGAAGCTCGTTCTCAGTGGCTGCCTCGTCAACGATGTTGGCCTTGAGCAGGCCTTTGACTCGTTGCCAAACTTGAAGGATCTGTCTATTGAACTTGCGTGTCGGAACAGAATGAGAGCGCTCATCGATCCTCTCACTGGCCGCTACACAGTTGCCTCATCCAGACGCGATCTCGGGACAGTCCTAAGGCTGAAGGGTCGGGGGTTGAGGTCGCTCGACCTAGATGCCACCGCGTACCCATTTCGTCACGAAGAGAATCGAGATGACTTCTTCGGGTTACTGATTGGGCTCGAGAACCTTGAGCAGCTGACGATTAGCAGGGCCGATTTCTTCAAGGAGGACAGGGTGGAAATTGATCTGATGCAAGATTTGGCACTGACACGTATGCGTCGTCTCAGGAGCCTGTACATACGTCACCTGCGGTCCGATGCCGAAGTGAACGCTCCTGCAAGCCAAGACCCATCCCCAATGCTTCGGCTTGAACGGGCCCAGATCATGATGAACGCCTGTGTCAATCTCCTCCCTGCAATGCCCGGTCTTAGTGTCACCCTGGAGCTTCCGCCTGGGGTTCCGGAGCCTTCTATCCCTGGTTACTTGACCAGAAGGATACAATGGCTGGAGAAATACCGGGCCTGCCATGGGGCTATAGAGGGAAGCCAGTTCGCTAGCAATCCGCTGGACCCAAGTCAGGTCATCACAATATCTCGACCGCGCCAAGGCGAGTAGACTCAACTAGAGTCCCAGAAAGTCGAGGATCACCAAGATGTCAATTGCGATGTAGTAGTGAAAACCGGCTGGCGTGAACAAGAGTGAAGGAACTAGCGAGGAACGCGTTGTGAGGTGTCAGCTTATTTCCGAGGGAAAATTTATATCTTTGACTAGATGCAGAACTATGCTGCTACTTGAGCCATAGGATCAAGATTTAAGCCTCCAATCTTCTATGTTTATTTGACGTGACTGCAGCCAAGGACAAAGGCCTAGATTCTAAGCAACAGTGCTTCACATATATCCCTTGTTTAGATGAACCTGTGCGTACTCAGAAACTTTCAGAATCGCGAGATTGAAGGTTAAATATGGAAGCTAAACATTATCCTTCTAGGTTTGGACAGATGCAGTGCTGCGTGGGCAGAACAATCAAACGCACTTAGGGACCGGTATATCCGAGACGCCTCCGCAACTGCTCGATTCAGGCCCTCTTCGGTAGTCCTAACCTCTATGCGAGAGAAAAAAATGTTTCGTGTGACATTGAATAATCAAAGCAGAGTGCTTTGGGCAAACCCCCGTATATGCAATTCGACGAATCATAAGGTCACCCGATCCAGGGTAATCGGGAACCGCTGCTGCATATTGCGTCGTTACACTCAACTTCGTCAATCAAACTCACCAACCTTCCTACCATCAGGCATCGATAAGCAGACAACACCATCCAGCGCCATCCAGAAACTCACTCGATCCATCGCAGCCATGACTGAGTTAATCGGCGCGACTAAGCTCCCGACGGAGATGTGGATGGTCGTCGTGGACCACCTCAAGCACCCGTGGGATGTCGCCGCCTTGGCCCGAACGTGTCGCCGCCTCTATGCTACCGTCAATCCTCTCCTCTACGAACATGCCGCTGAGCACGGCTACGACCTCAGAGCCCTAGTCTGGGCCATCCGATTTCGTTTGCTCCGCACGCTGAGCCTCGCCCTCGCTGCCGGTGCCGACCCCAACAAAGTCTGGCGGTATTTTGACCCTAGAGCTGCGCAGAGCGTTCCCTCATTTGACGAGTGTATTGGCACTGTGTCCGGTGCAGCACGGTCTGATTACAATCTCGTTTATCCGCGGCCTTACTGTTCCCCGCTGCACATCGCCGCATCCTTGGGCGACACCGAGGCCATGGGAATGTTGCTTGACCATGGTGCCGAGCCTTATGCCGGCTCGTCGAGGGTTTGCAGGTGCTACGATATCCAGCAATTTGCAGATTCGGGCCACACCTCTTCTTTCATCAATCAATCGCTACGAAATCCAAGATGGACCCCGGCTCACGTCTCTATATGCACAGGGAACATCAGAGCCTTCGAGCTCCTGTCATCGAGAGGAGGTGGCGTCGAAATGCAGAGCATCGATTCAGATCCGGCGGCGCCTCCTTGTGGACTGACTGCTCTCCATGCAGCTTCAATGTCTGGCCAGGCTGAGATGCTGGAGTGGTTACTGAATTCCAACCACGAATATGACGTGGACGCACTCGATGTCAGTGGCAAAACGCCTTTGGTTTATGCCTACTTCGCTCGTCACTGGGACTGTGTCACCCTTTTGGTTCGCAACGGCGCGGATATCAACAGAGACCACAGGATAACTTTGATGCAAGAGGAACAGGGATACGACCCCGTCTACCTAGTCGAGGATGATATCGACATCCTAGCACAAGGGACACTTTTAGAAGATTCAATGATGCCAGCCAGGTTCGAAGATGCCCTCCGGCTCATCGACCTCGGAGCTGATCCCATTCTCACGGACCGAACGCTTCGAATCGGAAAGTCCCTGATTCACAAGCTATGCATCTATCCATGGTACACTATCCCGTGGGACATCGTCAGATGGGAAAGCAGGCCTGTACATGCCGCGGGGATGAAGCTCCTCAACCACTTCCTAGATTTAGGCCTCAACTTTCGCCAGAGCGAAAGGTATCCGCCGGTGATTGTAGGTGAGGGGCCTGAATTAGGACACACAGCTCTGGGTTACGCAGCTCTCGCCGGGAACTTACACGCAGCTCAGAGACTGATTGAGGCTGGTGCAGATGTTGATGGGAACCCGGAACAAGACATGACCACGCCCCTGGCCTGCGCGTGCAAATATACAACAGCCAAGCCGGTAGTGGAGATGGTGACTCTTCTGGTCGAGGCAGGCGCTTCTGTGAACCGGCTCAGGCCCCAATCGGAAGGTCCTCTATGGGTCCTTCATCGGGCTTTTGATGAGGGCGGTCCTGCCCCTGCGAACGTGCTGGACAAGGTGACAGACTATCTCCTAAAGAGGGGTTCCAACCCTGGGAGAGGCACATCCAACGGTGATGATGTGTACTACACCGCTCTAGACTATGAGCTGTTGGATGGCAACTTGGAAAGGTTTGAGTATCTTCTCTCGAAATCTGCCGAGGGTTCAATTGGGGATGATGATTTCATTGGCTTCTGGAAGGCGAACAAAACGCGCCCTTACGAAGACAACACCCCATATCTCCTCAGGCTCGACAAGAAAGGTTTGATCGCGAAGAAAGACCCGACCACTCTGCCGTTCATCATTTGCCGACCTCAGATCGAGCCTGAGCTTGTGGACCACCTTCTCGAGCTGGGTGTCGACCCCAACGTCAACTGGTCGGGCAGCACTCCGCTCGGGTGCATCCTGCAGCAAGGCGGCGGCATGAAAGAGTCGATAATCTTGCGCGTAGTCGAGAGCCTTCTGAAGTTTGGAGCTTCAATCTTCCGGCCGCTAGAGCCGTTCCACTTTACAGAGCTTGAGGCTGGAGCTCCTCAAACCCCCTTGGGCCTAGCTATCCAAATGCAGTATACATCCCTTGAAGTTCTCGAGCTTTTATTGGAGCATCAACCTTTGAAAGACGCCTCAGATATCGATCCATTTGAGTACATTAAGCAGGCTTGTATGATGGGAAACACAAAGGCACTTGTCGCTCTCTTCGCTTCACTGGGTGCCTCGTCCCCCGTCCGGCAAGCACATGCAACCAGTATGGTTCATCGCGTGCTCGATGCAGTGTTCGACAGTGCAGTGACCATAAGGAGGATAAACATCGTCATAGACTGTTTACAAGTTCTCGTTCAGCATGGTGCCGACCTGTCTGTTGAAGCGTCCGAGGAGTCTCTCGATAGTCGCACAGGAATCGAAACTTTGAGGGCTATTTGCAAGGGGGGGTTCTTTCCAGACCCCGATGCGCCGATATCTAGAGCATGGACTTGGTGTTTTCAACAAAGGCTTGATTTTTCGGAGGCCGACGGCCTTCCGATCTTTAAGAAACCCACGATGGAACTCTTCTTCCAGTTGCACATCTCTGTTGAACAACTAGGCAAAATTTTGGCGGACGATTCGAGGACTTGGTTGCTCCGATTTAGGGAGTGACGAGTGTCTAATGGTGGTAGTAAGTGAACGAGTTATACAGGCTATGCGGCAGCTGCCGAAAAAGACAAGGGGACAATACCTGAACACCAAAAAACCAAAAAATCGGCAAATCGATGCTATTACCAGCATCACAATATGTTCAACACATCGAAGTTCAGCGTTTTAGGCCGGCCACGAGGCTTACCAGCTGGGCAAAAGGCTCAACGCCAACAACAGCTTGAGTCCGACGTGATGACTCCTTCGTCGGCATGACTCCTATCATGAACTTTACGATCCTACTTTTCTTCTATTTTATTGAGTGATTAATATATGACGTATGATTCTTGGGATTCACTTTAAATTTCTTCGCCGAAACGGGTGGTCTCGGCATATCTTCAGGGGCAGGGATACCTATTCTTCTCTTGATTTTCTTCTTCTTTCAACTTAGGGCTTCTCAACGGTCGGTATCACTTTCTTTTACAGGTTTATTAGTGAGCTACCGAGGTCCAGATGAGACTTTTTGGGGCTCTTGAGTTGAAGTCTATTCGTTTGCTGAGCCTACTGATACTTGGCGATTTGGGCTCATATTCAGATTGCAGTTAATGGGTCATTGAAATAAACCATCAAGGATCGACAAGGCTTCGCTTTTAAGTTTGATAGAACGCTTCGATGTGACATGTGTATAGCTGTTTTCCCATCACCTGTTGGTCCCTTCGATACAACAAAGCCTACATGTAAGCAGAGAGCACGATGAAGTGCGGTGAGCGACTGAACATGGGCCTCCGTACCCGCACCACTTATCTATCCCAACTTTGACCTTACCCAATAACTCTTAGGCAACCTGGCAGTGGTCCAGAGGCGAGCATAACGGGAAGTTGGAAAATTCCGAGAGTGGAGAATCTTTCGCGCGAAACTGCCACACTCGGAAATCTTAGAATAAAAATAGAGCAGCCCTTGTCCAGTAAAGCGGCACCGTCCATATGAATATGTTAGCATGAGCTATGTATTCAATGCACTATGATATCAGATGAAAACTACCCTGGCAGCTTTTCTGACGTGTACCATTGTCTCATGGTAACATTTCTCTGTTTTGCTATAATATCACGAGATGCAGGGGCACGTCGCAACCCTTGTCATAAGCAATGTTGTTGTTTCGGCCCTAAATCGGAAAGAAGGAGTCACTGCTGGTATATTGACATGTGAATAAGCTGTTCGAATCTCAACTTTCTCCTCAATCCCCTCCTTGACTAGTAATTCTCCATCACCGCTACAAGGCCAAGCGAAAGTTCCATATTTGGGACCATCACAACTAACCGGGCGTCAGCTATCCCCTCATGATGGCGTCTTCCAGTGTCTGGTTAATTACGGGTGCCTCCCGAGGGCTCGGTTTCGAGATCGCCAAAGCGGCGTTGCAGGCAGGCCACACGGTTGTAGCAGGTCGGCGCAATTCCGGCCAAGACGATCCCCGAGCAGCCGAGTTACAGTCCCTGGGCGGCCACTGGATCAATCTCGAAATGGCTGGCGAACATGTCGAAGCGAGGATTGCGGAAGTGGCAGCAAAGTACGGGAAAATCGATGTGCTGGTCAACAATGCTGGCTACGGTTTAGGTGGGGTTGCAGAGGATATCGGGTATGTTCCAACCTTCCTCGAGCGAGTCCTTCCATCCCAGCTATGAGGTCCTAAGTGTCCGGCGTTCCAGCATACAATTATACCGAGACATCATAGAAGTCAACGTTATTGGCGTCATCCGAGCCTGCCAAGCTGTCACTCCCATCATGCGCAGCCAAGGTCAAGGGACCATTGTCAACATCGGAAGCCTCAGTGGCATCATTGCAGAGCCCGGAGTCAATGCATATGCCTGTAGCAAGCACGCTTTGGAAGGTGTGTTTCTGTTCTCGGTTCCTGGTACGATTTGAATGCGCTTACATTCATTGTCTAGGTTTCACAGAAAGCTTCTCCAAAGAAGTATCTGCTTTCAATATTCGTACGCTACTAGTAGAGCCCGGGAATATTGACACGGACGTGGCGGATGTCACCAAAACCGGCATTGAGGTCCCCAGAAGTGAACCTTATCAAGGATCGCCAGCAGATATAATCCTGAAGACCTTAACGAACGCTGAACTCCTCAAGTCCATCTCCGCCTGTCCCATCAAAACAGCCTTGCGTATTGTCGAGGCTGTAGATAAGACAGGCATGTTTGTCGGGCGAGATGTGAAGCTGAGGTTGCCACTGGGCAAGGAAGTTCAGGACATCCTCGACTGGGGGAATGAGTTGGTAAAGACTACTGACAGCTTGAAAAATGTTGCCAATAGTGTCTATAATTGACTGGATTCCTATTAAATCTGTTATAATCAGGTATAGGTTGGGCGATGTCGAGAGGGCCAGGGATGGATTTTTTTATGGTTTCTCAGCCGATCTTTAGTCACCGTCTACCAGGAAATGGTATACTACGACCAAAAATCTACACATATTTAAGAATCCCTCCAGGGGCTAATCAGAAGCCTCGTTATTGCTTTAATGTAGATCCAGGCTGTGGCAAGTCAGTTCTGTCTAAGCCCCTGGCAGATCAGACTCAAAAGAATAGATCGTCTGCTACTTCTTCTTCAGACATAATGAACGGCATGATAATCTGGCCACGGCGCTTTGCAAAATTACTCATCAGCCCCTTGATTTTCAACCGGCAGTCGCACACCACGCTCTCCCCTTATGGCACAAGAATGGCGAAGGTATACAGCAAGGGATTGAAGAGCTATGGGGTATATTCCTCTCTGTACTGATTAAACCAGCGGGAAACCTATGACCTGCGTCATGAACGGACTGGATGAATCTTGTGAGGAAGACCGACGGCAAATTGTTTCCAAACTCTGTCATTTCTATCAACCGCCTAGTTTCACATCACCTGAAACTTCGCTTAAGTTTATATTGGCCATCCGACCTTACGATAGCGTAGACCGCTGGTTCCAGCAAACGACGTCAGGCTTCGCCTAAGATTCGGTTCCGTGGTGAAGAACAAAACGATAGAATTCGCGACGAGATCAAGCTAATTATTGATCAGTGCGTCAACGACCTGGCGGTGGAGTTCGGCCTATCCAGACAAATCACAGAAGAGCTACGACAGGACCTAATGAAAAAGATACAGCACTGTACATGTCTCTGATTCTACCTCTCAATGAAGAGACTCATTAGGCCTGTTGAGATAGCATATATCCCGAAAGAAGGACGGATCAAATCCCCCCCCCAAGTCCGTCGAAGGATGAATGCGAATGCATCCTCGGCAGGGTCAAGCCGAAGCAGAAGGATTCCAGAAATTTCCAAGCATTATTCTTGCAGTATGACAACTCTTGATGATCGGAGGTATGGCAGCTGCTCTTGGCTCCACACGTGCCGATGAACTTGGCCTGTTAGAGAGTTATGAGATAAAATGAAGATCGTCTACAGAAGCGAATCCGGAAGCTGTGTGGCCTGGGGTTATTCTCACCGTACAATCTACCCTCTGCCTCATACATCCGACTGCCAGGGATTTTCTTGTAGCGGATAGCCCACATACTAAGCCTAGGGCCTCAAGCATGGAAAAGTCCAATTTCCACGTGAGAGAGATAGGAAAGTTTCGTAGCCCGATTATGTGTGGAGGACATTTGTCTTTCCCTCGAGCAGTGTTCGAAAGGGTCCGGAGACGGTTTCTTCTCTACTCTGAGCATTAGACCTCGAATTTAAAACAAGGACCTGCGGAAACAGCCGAAACCGGGCGTCTAGATAAAGTCCTGTCACCGCATGCTACTAACGAGAAGTGCATTCGCTCATAGTTTCCAATCATATAGGAATCTTTAGCACGATAGCAAAACATCCAGAGGTTACTAATACAGCATACCCCCGCTTCAATCACAGATGAAAGCTTCATGCTTAAAAGGATAGTTCATAAACCTAAGAACTGAGTTAATGCTAAGGAAGACACTAGCAGGAATACACTACGCTAAGAAGCTGCGTCGGTCCATGCAAAAGCAGCGGAGATACTGTTAGATGCTAGTGCTGGTATTGGTTCCGAATGTAGAGATCATAAAACTGTACTTCTCGACGTTACAGCTACTTGTGGACAATGCTATCGAAATTAAAGGTCAAGGAGAATAGAGCGATGTGGTGGGCGACTCATCGACCTGGCTATATGAGAGGTTAGTATAAGTTTTACTAGAAAACTATAATTAACCTGGAATCTCAACAAAGAGCTCATTTACAAGCAGGGATAATAGGAGATAATTCAAAAGCCGCCCAAGGACTACGGGAGCATATTGCTGATCTTATCAGTCAGGGAGAATGCCACAAGGCGCTGTACGAAACATCAGCTCAGGGATACCAGAAGCTAGTTCAAACACTAGGTGAACACAGCTTCAAAGTCAACGCCCAAGGAGGTGAGCACTATTCCAGCCTCCAAGTACCGTCTCGTGAGCGACATGAGGACATAAATCGAGTACAGCTGAGGAAGGGAGTTGACCCTGATATTCAAAGAGGCTTATATAATCCTCAGCTTTGGGCAGCACCACACAGAGGATGCGAAGATAGTGTAAGTTTGTTGCTTTCCAAAGGCTCTAATGTGAACACCACGGGCGGATTCTTTGCACAGCAGTCCAGGCCTCGTCATTTGCTGGCTTTGAGAAGACTTTGCAGTTACTGGAAGTAAAGGAGGCTGATATGAATATATCCAGAGGATGAGACTGCCCTCAAGGCCACATCATACAGTCCATAAATAGGTAGTCCGAATATTGATCGATTAAGGCGTCAATAACATACTTCGGAAAGTGGACGCAGTATTGCACAAGAGGCTGCAGCATGTCTGGCCATGAGGTGGTAGTGCTGATGCCTCTGACCAAGGGCACAGCTGATACTGGATTCGAGGACAAAGCAACCGCCCTATAAAAATGTTCGCTGGTCGTTGTAACTAGTGAACCGTCTAAGTATAGGGTTATGCCTATGTTGGTCGTTCTCAGTAACTACTTCCAAGCCGCCCTTGATACCCTCAAGATGTTTTGCTGTCCAAGCCCAATACACCATCTACTGATGAACCTTTCGATGCAAAATAAGCAAGTGGTTGCATATTATCGAGATACTCCCTCAACGCCACAATCTTGCCGTCTTCATTGACCTCGAAAATCATGACGACATCATTGTCGTATCGGCCCCCGGCTGAATCAATTCCGTGAACACTCAGCTCTACCACGGCCCTTCGACCTTCGGAAACAAGGGTTTTTTGGTCGATGCTAAAGCTTGTGAAGTTTCCGTGCATAGCTAGGAGCTGAGGAAGCCTCTCTGAAGCAAGCATGGATCCTGCCCACGGTACCTTGGATTTCTCGCCGGACACCCAGTAAGTGCCGTCGGCCGCAAAGAGGTCTCCTAGGGCGGCGAATTGGCGAGAAGCGAGGTTCGAGATGAAGCTTTGAGCAGCTTCGCGAGCTGAGGGTTTGTTCTCCGATGTCATCGTGCCGGGATTTAAGATTGGCTGAGAGGCACTAAAAGATGCTTCTCTATCTAAAATGAGCACAGTTCGTCTTCTAGCGCTTTGTATCACCCACGAATTGGATTTTAGTAGGAGAAACGATGATATATTCTCAACCAGTTTGTATCTTGAGTAATTTTCCCGTCTGTTCCGTTGCCAAGAAGTAAGAAATGAGAATGAGCCATGATGAGTCTGACGCTGGCTCTTGAGCCATTGGCTGCAACGTGAGCGAGGCGAGGGGTCGAAAAACCGGGTCCCAACCGGGCATCATCATTCAGGGTTCACGGGATCCTCGGATTTGTCATCGAGAGAAGCGTTTGAATCTAATCGTTAGGAAAAAGGAAAGTTCGAATACATATATCTACCACACCGCAACATGATAGGCGAACCTTTTTGTCTCAGTTATAGCTAAAACACCCTCCAAGTTGGCAAATCCCATCTCGGTGAACTGCTAGCTAAGATCAACGGGGCTAGGTAATCTTTCAGAAAACCTCGCTAATCAAGACTGTCTTAAATTCTTTTGTGGCCGTCGGCGGTTAACCTTATAGTCTATGATGGTGCTGGCATGATCCTGGGTCCCCAAAGCTCTGTTTGAGGACCTGTTTGTAACGATCTCATTCTCGAACCGCGACAGATGGAGCACCTGCGTTTAGCTATCATGGACTGGAGACGCTCACGCTTAGCTTAGAACAGTTCTAGCTACATATTCATGTTCCATCAGTACGCATAACATGTATTTACTTATCATAGCTACCAGCAAGCTTGAAAACCTTCAAGATGGGCCAAAGCGTTGAAGAGAATATCGCGTCTTAATGTAAGAGGGGAGGAGTAGAAACAAATCGACTATTCTCTCAAAACAAACATTTTGCTATTCAGATTTAGCGGCTTACATATGGCAATTGTAAACATATGGTACATCTGCGTGATTTACGCTCTACCTAGGCCACGACACATTTCAATCTGCAATTCAGAGAAGAAGGGCCGAAAGATATAACCAGATTGGGACAGCAATTCTCGCTTCTATACCATGCTTCTGGTAAATCGTTCGCACTTGTAATTGACCAGGCCCAAACGAGCCCTTGCCATCTGTTCCAGAACATTGCCAGTTACCTTACCTACTGGGACAGAGGTCGGATCACTCTGTAGTCCGTTCCTCTTCCTTCAAGTCCCGTGCATCGGTCCCTCGACAGATTCGGAATTCTTACCTCATCTGGCAAGTCGAAGCGCGCGCGTGTTTTGGAGGATGAAAGTCCCCGAGCCCCCAGCACGGCGTGATGTTACATTGATCAACCACTCAATTGTTAATGCCTAAGCATCCTGGTGGTAATTTGATAGTTGACTAGGGGATGGCCAGCCTTTTCAATCTGCTGATCAAAATTAATTCACCAGAGCCGGCCAACCGGTATTGATGATATTTGGGCTTCATATGGCTCGTTAGATAAGCAGCCGAGCTCTTCAAATTTGAACCCTTGTCAACAGTGCAAGGGTTGTACCTAGGGGTAACGTTGGGCTCCTTTGAAGCAGAGATTCTTTATGTGCATGCTTGCATGTAGTTTAGAGGCTTCTTGGTGTTTTGTTACCACAAGCCTATTCTAGTTATTTACGCCGTTCCGTACAACAGTTCTATATATGAATTCAATTTGAATGAAGCAGGGATTCCTGTATGCGTGACTCATTAACGAAGTTTCTGAGGCCCCAGAAAGGCGCTCAGCAGATAGACAGGGAATTGGTGAATGACGCTCTAGGGTAAGGTAGGTGCAGAGGAAGGCAATTGAAAATGCATTGCCCCGCGCCAACACCAACAATTATGTCGTGGTATGACTCGAAATGAGACTAAAATAGACGGCCGAAAAAGCTAAACGAAGTCAATGACGATAGGTCGTTAATCAAGAAATAGGCTGCATCCGGTTCCCAATAGCGCGACCCGAAGCGCGACTGTGAAGTACGTAAATAGCTTCAGTCTGATCAACAGCTGCCAATCAATCTGTCCATCTCACCCGACTGCCAGTGTCAAAGTGAGGGGACATGCATGAGATTGTAAGCTGCAGACAGCCACCAACAAGGGGAGTAAACCGCCGAGTAATGAATGACCAATGCTACGGGATTTGGGGGCCGTTTGGCTGAAGAGGCCATCGCTTAAGAGCCGGGCTGGACTTTGTCTGCATGCATGTGTCCGGTAAGTCTCCACTTGTAAATTGCTTGATCCCTTCCATGGGTATCATTAGAGATTCCATTAAGTCCGGTATCTATGGTAGTAGTGTAGGGCTGGCCAATAAAGAAATCTTGGCAGCAGCTTCTAAGGTCTAAACCACACGAGTTTTAGTCCATGCAACTCTCTCGTCCTTTGAGAAAGGCCAGACGATCAGCAGCTTCCTCTTTCATTGTCGTCCTATCTTCCCACATCAGTGAAAACGACGAATCGGCCGGGCTGGACTGCCGGCCTGGTCGAAACACTAGAGCACAAGCTTGGGCGCCAAGTCAGCAACACGGTAAAAGGGGTTTAGCTGGTGCGTCAACTCTGACCGAAGTCCTAAATTGTGCGTCTTGGCAAAGACGCCATCTCCTTCAATTTCAACGGGGAGCTTTTCTGGCCAATAGAGGCCGCTCGCCCGCATGGAACCCCTGTTGAGATGGAGGCAAGCTGAAGCATGGATCCCTGCTACTGATGCTTAATATAGCCCTATCGACGGACTATCACAGAGCACTTAACTCACTTAGGAAGAATCGGCCTCAAGCTTTTCATGGGAGCCCTCATGGGCGGTGGAGGGAACGGGGATTTCGATGTAAGCACGCCCAAGAAACCGCGTGACTGTGCTTTGAATTGCCTAGGCCACCCCCAATTGGCGTAGTCTTGACGTTTCTTGTGTCTCCTCTTTCTGCATCTCACAGACCTTTCGTCCTCTGATCGTCTCGATCCGTGAGAATAGCCGCAAATGAAGTCCACAACGCTGCTTCACCTGCTGGGCTTTGCCTCGTGCATTGCTGCTCTTCCGGAGCCCCAGCCGCTGATCACAGAAGCCCCGGCGCTCGCGACTCTTTATCAGCGAGACAATGAGGCTCCCAGCTTCATGGGATATGTCGCGGACAACACGACTTGTAAGCGCCGCCCCAAATAAGCGCAGAGCAGTCAGGCGACTGCGATTGAATTATTTTTTGTGTGCGCACATCTTCTGACCCTGCTTTGCTTTTAGATAAAGAGACGGCATGCGCGAAAGGTTATTACAGCTCGGCCGGGCGAAATGCTGGCTGCGTGACGGACAACACGAGACCGGTTGCGACAGGCTGCACCAGCTCGACCCTCGTCGTCTACCCCAATGGTGATAATGCTACCTGGTAAGTCTCTCAACTCATAGCAACGTCTCTCGGTGCCCTTTTGCTGATGCCCGAGGCCCAGTACCGGAAGCTACACCTGCTCATACCACACCATTTTCGACAACCTCGACCAAAAGTCAACATGGAGCCGGTGGGCGTGCTTCGTCTCCGGCAACACCAACAAGGTCATCGTCTACCGAGCGACCACCCGCGCCTCCTCTACAACCACTACATCCGAAATCTCCACGACGACCGATCAATCCGCGACCACGGGCGAGACGACCGACACCGCAGCCTCCGCGACGGCCACATCAGACTCGGGCACAGATGGTTCCAGCGGCGGCGGCAAAAGCATGGCCTGGGTCGCTGGTCCCGTCGTCGGTGGTATCGCAGGTCTCGCCATCATCGGACTGCTGGTCTGGGTGGCGCTGCTCCTCAAGAGGCGAAATGCCAACAAGGGAGTGGAAGCAGCGCCAGACCCCAACTACAACAACATCAACCTGCCTCCGGGTTCCAACATGTCACAGATGTACCCATCGCCGCAAGTGACACCCGCGGCGGGCTACGCCGACCCCGTAGGCGAACCATACAAATACTACCCGCAGGGCCCTCCGCAGTCCCTCTACGCCTCCCCTCCTCCCCAAGGCGGGTATTCTCAGGTTCCTACCCAGGTCGCCGAGCTGCACAGCACGTCCTCGCAAGGGCCTTGGATGTCTCCGGCCCCGAGTGAGCTGCCCGCTTCCGAGAGCCACGGGGCCAGGAGTGACGCGGCAGAGCTTGGGGGAAGTGACGTGCGGAGATAGAGAGAAAAAATCCCAAATTAACGATGACGAGTCGAGGAATCGGAGGACGACTGGACAAAGGGAGATCAATTGAAAAAAAACTAGCGTGAGCATATCTAGCGAAAACATTGCTGGGCAATACCGGCTGTCCTGTCTTTTGGGAAGTTGATGTTGCCTGACCTGTACATGATAGCATATTTACATAAATGAATTAATAACAGCGACTCACTTTAAGTCTTCTTCGTGATCAATGCTACGCCATCTTGCAACCGACAGCTAGCTTGGGTAGGGTGGAATTCTGGAAAGCAATGCGGCATGCGATTTTACTATCGAATTGCTTGCCGTCGATATAGGCGCAGGATTTTACGCTCAGAATCAAGGAAAGACTCTTTGAGTTGTCTCGAGCGATTTATCCTACGGATAGAAGCGGACAAACGGCTCGTCTGTCTCTTCACAAATGGTGACATACGCACGCTGAGCTCTGCTGGACTGCGGGTTGGATTTCGAGAGCAACGGCATGGATTAGATTTTGCCCACTTCATATAGCTGAGGTTAAGAGGCGAGCGTGTGCGATTCTGCTACCCATGGCTATAAATTCAGACTCAAGGATCGAGACAAGTGTAGGCACTTGTAGGTTTGTGCACCTAGCTCCTCACCTGGTTCTCGTTTCTTTGATCTCACATCCTGAGTCATGGTTAGTGGGGAAAAGCCGAAGGACCACCGTTCATGGGTTAGGGGATTCTCTCCTTTCCAGCCATTTCCGATTTGGAGAGGGTGGCTCTTTGGAAGATCATTCCACAAAGTCACTGAATAGGCTGTTCAGTCTAATGACCTCGTATAAGCTCCCAAAAAGCGAAGGAAATTATGAGTATGTTGTATGACATCAACGGGTAGAACTTTGGAAGTCATCATCAACACACCCACTCCAAGCTCCGCTGCCTAGTGTAGATTGTCAGGGGCTCAGGGGGCCTTTGTGATATGTTAGTTCCATCGATATCAGCAGGGTTGAACTTATGAATATACTTTAGAACTTATGAATGCACCTTAGAACTTATGAATGTACTTAAGATTCTCAGGTTGCATGGTGACGGAAGTATGCATGCCACCAGCTTCCTACAATAGTCTTCATTAGCTATTCCTAGGGAGTCAAGATTTTGGCCACATGCCAACAACTGATCGTGTGTTCATTTCTAAGTTGAAAATCTCTCTTCCGACCCGCCACTTTCCAAAGATCCGAGGCGTAGTGGTGTAACATCACTGCTTGAACTGCAAGGGAAACTCGTTGGCTGAGTTCAGGCGGATGTTACATCTATCAGGCGGATGCTACTATGACAAAATGTGGCTTGGATCATTCTTCGCTTATGCTACTGCATCTGCGAGGTGTCTTTCGGCAAAATCCCATAATGTTAGATCCGATTATTGGGGAGCATGTGAGCAATTACCCAAAGGTCGGACAAAGTGGCTTGAGAAATATCAGATGAAATCTGCCAAGAAACAGGCTGCATGAAAGGTAATCAAGAGATTAACTTTCATGCTTAAAACGTTGAAGTCGAGATGAATAAGCCGCCATGAGGCACGCCGGTGTGTATGGAAGACCACTGGGCAGCCACCTCGTGCTTGATCATAGCGAAGATGCCGAGACGGGTTAACTACCCACACTCTTCCAGCCTTATTCTGAGAAAGAAAGAAGAGAATTTTCTTTTTCTGTGGTTCATTCCACTAGGCACGGTGGCCAACTGTGGTTGTTGAACCCTCCTGCTCTATTTAGAATTGAGCCTCTATATAGTTACATGCAGTTTACGAGCTCCGAAAGGCACAGGACATTTAATATCGCCGCGACGATTTATTCTGGTCCTGTAGTGGCAATACCGAGCATTCGGTGACCCGATCCAGCAATATTGAGGCGACCGAGTTTTAGTGAGCACAAGTCCCTTTTTTATATCTGCTGGCAATCCTACTAATTTCCACATGACACCTGGGGAAATGGCCCTTGCCCTCTCCGTCCACTGCCAATGCGAGTCCTCCGATGGAACAGGCATCTGGAATGGAAAAAAGAATACGCTCATAGCACGGGGGAAAACTTGGCCGAGTTTCAGAAAAGTTGGGTCTTACCTCTTGATGAATGGGGACACTTGTGTTTCAACGTCCGCTAAATATAACCAGAAGGTTTATTCTTACAGGGCTTGTTTCCCACCCGCTTCTTGGCACTCTAATTAATAAAAACTGAAGATAATTTTAGCTGCTGTGCGCGGACCCCGGTCTGCTGATTTCTTGTGCGCCACTATGACTTCAGAAGGATGGATGGCTCGTAGGTGTTCGATTTCGGGGTGTCGATTCCAACTGGGGCGCTGCACTGCAGTAATATTAAGCTTACCGAACTTTGGTAAGGCTTGTGATGCCTCTTCGCTGGCTGAGTGTCACGTTGTAGCTGAGCATTAAGCGGTGGAGTCAGCCATATGCTCTGCTCGCCTTGACAGGGAACAAGCGTCCGGATACCGGCGCACTATCATCAAATAAGGAGGAGAGAGAAGCTGCCCGCCCGGGCTGAGATCCGTCGTCGCATCAGAGGCTAGGGCAGTTTGGAAGCTTATTGTTGCCGCCTGGGCTGTGTCCGGGCTTCAGACGAGATCCGGCGGCAAGTCGCCTCTCCCCCAGCTGCGGCATGATTCAATTAGGCTCGTGCCGACACTGGCAGCCACATTACCGATCACACGGGGTGTGAATCTGCCCCTGGCATCTGCAAGGGACGGTACGACGGCGGAGTTGTGGGCTTGTGTGTATCTATAATTTGCCCGTCAGTGGCGATTGCAGGAGTCATGCCGAGTTGTAGCCTGAGAGGCGGGATGAGCCAATGTGCCTTTGCTCAGCTTGGCTTGCTCGGACGTTTCCACTTTGCCTCCTTTTGGTAACCTGCACGGGTTTATTCTGCCTTGTTGAGGAGATTTGATATACGCCTGTAATCTAAATAGAACTTGTGTAGATGCTCAATGAAAGAGTATATAAGATGCTGTTCAGTCCGTCTGAAGGAAAGACTTACTCTCTCCATCCTCAAGCCGAATAACCAACTCCCACATTCCTTTGGGCATTTACTCTGTTTTTTCTCATTTAGTCATTCACTGATTCTTTCAAGATGGTTTCTGTCAAGTCTATCCTCTTCTTCGCTGCGGCAGTCTCGGCCAGTGTCATTGGCCTTGAAGGACGAGAGGAAGCCGAGCACCCCGAAGCATGCGGATCTGCCCCTTACCCCGACGAGCTGCAGGAGATGACCTCTTTCTTCACAGACGAGGATGCCAAACTCACAAACGGAAGTATGTCAATCGCTGCTGCTCCTGCACCTGGCTCTTCCAAGGTCTACATCCACGTTGTCTCCGCTAAGCAGAGCACCTTCATCACCGTATGTCTTTCCCCCTAACCATCACCCAACTTCCCCCAGAGCCCTGTTAGCTAACCACAACGACCTCTAGGATGACATGATCAACCGCCAGTTCGCTATGATCAGGGACGAGTGGAAGAAGCACGGCTGGACCATGACCCTCGACGGCAAGTCCAAGACGGTCAACAGCAACTGGGCCACCGACCACGACCAGCTCAACATGAAGAAGAAGCTCCGCAAGGGCGCCTACCGTGACCTCAACGTCTACGTCATCGACAAGATCGGCACGGGAGGCACCACGGGCTACTGCTACTACCCGACCAGCTCCCACGCCACCGGCGGCACCAACTTCTACCAGGACGGCTGCACCATCATCCGGTCCACCGTGCCCGCCAGCAACGACGACAAGGTCAAGAACGGCAAGGGCAAGACCCTCATCCACGAGGTCGGCCACTGGCTGGGTCTCAAGCACGTCTTCGAGGGCGGCTGTGATGGTGCGGGTGACGGCATCGCCGACACGCCCGCCCAGAAGGATGCCTACTGGACCTGCGCTGCTCGCGATAGCTGCCCTGGCAACGCTGGCTCTGATCCCATCCACAACTACATGGGATACACTATGGGGTGAGAAATTCACACGGCCTCTTCGTTTTCAGTGTTGTCAACATTACTAACTCGTGTTGTAGAACTTGCCGAACCGGTTTCACCAAGGGCCAGGTCACCCGCATGAAGACCATCTGGAAGACTGTCCGAGCTACATAAATGGGACATCAGGGACTGGAATAGTCTTGTCTATGCTATCTATTAATATTTGTTTTGCTTTGTCAACACGAGCGATCGGGGCGGTTGATGGAGGGTGTTAGGTGATTATGTTGGTTGTGTTGACTACGGGTATAGATAACGGGTTTGTTCAATGGCTTTTGGATACAATATATTCTCTTCTGTTCGGCATAATTAGCCTTCTTGGTGAATTGAAACATTTCAGCATGTTATAAACGAGTCCCGTGAGCCCTTGATGGGCTTTTTTCTGCTTACCATAGCTTCTCAGGGTTGACTGATTTTGGTTGGTCTTTTTGGTTGGTCTATAGAGGAAATCTATGCAGTGATGTTGCCGCGACTTTATGGCGCGAAGCAGATTTCCATTCAGAAAGAGAGAGGCGAAAGAAAGAGATCAAGCTGCGACCTCAAGAGAATAAACTGGAAACTAACGTGTTTACGAGGTGCCGATTGAAAGCTGATTCATGAACTCGCGTAGGATATCTGGTTTCGTACAGTAGAATCACTGAATGGCCTCGAACCTGGACGCCCTCGTCCTCAACAGGCGATCTAGACCGAGGAAATTACTCGCAAGTAAACCAGTACCAAAAGCAGACTTGCAGTGCACGGAAGTCCGTCAGATCATGGCCTGAACTTGGTGGAGATGATTCATGAGGAGCACAGTCCCACATGCGCAAGTAGTTTGAGTGTTTGATATTGAATAGTTTGATGCAATCTATGCAACCTTAAAGGCATATGCAATCCCTAACCTGAGCGATTTGACCCTTTTTCTATACGACATGGTATTCTTCAAAGTATATACACGATGCTCCAACATGGACAGCTTTATACAATAAGCCGGGCACCATCCTTTCGCCACGGCTGTAGCCACCCCTCGCTCCAGCGATGGGAAAAGACTACCTTGAAATAATGACGGGTTGTCCTACCCGAGGTCTCCTTGTCCGAGACCATCAATTCCCACACTAGACTATTACTTTACAGTGCCAGGAAACCAGCCAGGATAGCGCCACCAGCCAGGAGGCCGGCGCTGAACTGAAGCTGGGAGCCAGCGCTGGGAGGAGTGGATGAGGTGGAGGAAGGGCTGCTTCCAGTGGAGGTGCTCTCGCCGTTGCCGCCGCTTCCACCGGTGGTAGCAGACGAGGTGATGAGGGTGGAGGCGGTAGGGGAGCTGCTGTCAGAGGATGAGGACGAGGCAGTGGTGGGAGCAGCAGAGCCATCGGTGCTGCTGGCGGGGGTGGAGGAAACATCGCCAGACGAGCCGCTGCTAGAGGAAGAAGGCGAGCCGGAGCTCGAGGGGCCCGACGAGGCTGATGTGGGAGCTGCATCGCTGGAGGAGGCTGATGTGGGAGCCGAGCCGCCGGTGGTGGAAGGAGCGGGAGCGGAAGACTGATCGGCAGTTGTGGACGGCGCTGGGACAGATGTAGTCGGGGCAGAGTCGGTGCTGGTTGGGGGAGCAGCAGACGAAGAGGCACTGGCAGAGGTGCTGGGAGAGCCGCCACCGTTGTTGACGTCCTTGCAGAAGTTGTCGAAGCCAAGCATGGCGGATCCTGTTGTCAAGAGTCAGCTTTCAGTCCCTCCAGGACAAGATATCCTTGTTTTGGTGGTACGCACCGTAGTCGGCGTCGGAGCAACCGCTCTTCAGGCACTTCTCGCTGTGCCTCTTGAGAGAGTAGATGTCGCGGCAGAGACAGGCGCCATCACTCTGTTCGCAGGTCGAGTGATCGGCCACGGCCTCGTTGATGCAGCTGGGCGCGCAGCTGGGCACGTAGTCGGAAATGTTTGCGGCACGGACGGCAGCGACCGCCATCAAGGCGGGGAGGAGAAAGGTGCGGAGAGGAGCCATTGTATTGTTTGGTGTGTGAGAATTAAACGACAGTAAGAGAGGTGTACCGAGCCTGAAGCGGTATTGCGGTGAATCGAAACAAAGGAGGTGGGTGAACGAAGGAGACGGCAGAGAGACGCTGGAGAACAGAGCAAGAGCCGAGACGAGCAGAAGCCAGACGGGGCCTGCGACGATGGTGTTTTATAAGGGCTGGATGCATGAAAATGATGGACATTGCATTGCTCCAGCCGTGACGATGGATTGCCTGATGCAGCAGCTGCCAAGGTGAAACGAAACAGGGGCTGCGGTCTTGAAACACCACCAACACGGCGAGGACAGGCGAAGACAGTGGGTGATGTAACGTGTGCAGGAAAATTGCCCGACCCCAGACTTTGGTCTGTCATGCCATGCAGGAGGACCTTGTGATTCGTGTCGATCACTGACGATGCCCATCTTGAGGTGTTTGTGAATGTGCCTCGTCTCGTCTCGTTTCGTCTCTCCTCAGACCTGGGCTGCGCTTGCCAGACACCCGCATGGACGCACACTCATCCCATCTCGTATTCACCAGAGAGGCAAGTGCGACAAGCAAGAGACAAAAGGAAACAGAGGCCATGGTGTGACTGCTGGTCTGTCTGAAACCTCTGCCAGCATCGTGGGCTGAACCCCCTGCGCTCGAGCCTTTCGCCTCGGGCCTTCTCCCACCAAGCCCTGCCTGGCTGACACTGCCGATCATCGTCACTAAACTCTGTGGGAAGTTTATTACGTACGGCACCTAATCAATACGATGCCGTCTGTTCTCCCAATCTGGAGCCAAACTGCCTCACGCTGTCCGAGCGAGCGAGCTGAAATCTGCAGCGCTGACCTACAGCGGGGTTAGGCCCTGTAAGGCCCTGGAGCGGAATCGGATAGCGCGCGGCACGCCCTGGAGCCTCTAAAACATGCCGCCTCTCAGGCCGCGGGCTACCAGACAGCAAGACCATATCACCAGTAAACATAAGGGAGGTAAAGAGATCAACATCAACGGCATGGCTCTGCGCGCGGCGACTTAGTTGAGAATAAGCCGCGCGTCTGGCCTCACAGCAGAAGCTCCAGACAAACCATGCCAGGATCGCCCGTCCCGCGAAAGGGAATCGCCTGGGCAGCGTGTCACAAGCCAGTCTCAAGACGGGCCTGATTAGGAAGGCCGTTGATGGGCCTTAAGCTGGAACAGGCAAGACACAACCAGCAAGACTTGGATCGATGCCAAGAAGGCTGATGGGCATTTCCTCGCTGAGCCAAGCAGTCGGCGTTTGTAATTAGTTCTGCCCCTTGGGCCAGGACATGCATTGACGGTATTCACGCCGACCTTCTCGTTCCGTCAAGAGAAAAGCACATCCCACGTCACATATCATCTCATTCCCCCTTCAACGTCACTAACAAGCTTGTATTATGATCGGCTGGTGAACCCCTCTGAAGGCCTACCCTGTAACTCGACGTGGTTCATAGGCTTGGGGCGAACCATCATCCGACCTTTCCTAACAGTCTAATCCCATCAGCTCTTCACCAACCGAAGGCTCCGCGGAATTTCGGAACTGTTACTTGAAATAGCGCCTGCCTATTTTGAACTCTGCTAGCAAACGATGAGGCCTTGGTTTTATCGCCGGGGATGTTAAGATGGGGTGAAAAATAGGCCATGCGGTTGGTTTGATGACCTCGTAGAGTACACATGTAACTTTGATAAATCGGTACTATACGAATTCGTCATAAACTGCCCCAGTCTAGTCTAGCCAATTTTAAGTAGAAAACGAAATTTTAATACGAGCAAGGATAGAGTCTGATTAACATTGGTCATTAAGTTGGCCAATTATCTTAATGAGAGGAAGCAGGTATAGTTGTTACAATCAACCAATACTTGAGCAAATGGAAAAGAAGAGCATTCTGTCTTTGATAGTAGACTTAAAATGATGTTAAGACTTCATGGAAGAGTTTTCTGGCGTCTCGAAAGCTGCTCTTCAGTTTGGCGACAAGTTCATGAGTCTTTCGTATCTTACAATACGACCATAAGATTACGAATAACGGCGTTGACAGTGGCTAGGAAGCATTGGAAGCTATAGTGAGGTACTTTACACTTGTTTATCAAATATACAGGAAGAAAACAAATGAGCTTTTGGAATATCGACATGGAAGTATCGGTGTAATTCTTGGCGGTGGTCAAGTTTGCGATGGCAGAGTACTGATCACCTCAACATCCACATTAGATAGGCTGCGCACAAAGCAGGGCTCTATCAGGCTGTAGGTAACTCGTAGTAGCCTTAGAAGCTTCAAAGATGTATTATTTCCCAGTCGGTCTTCTAGGCTGGTCGGGAGTTGCTACCAAGACTTGCTCGTCGAGTTTATCTAATTAGCCATAAGTCGATGAAGCAACAGAACAGCTAAATAGTTGTTAAATGCCACCCTGCAACCAGGAAAGCTTGTAGATACGTATAAGTTCACTCGAATCCCGCAACGAGCAGTAATGGCGGTGAGTATTTTGTATCGCAAATTTGCGTTCATGAATCACTGTTATCTACTCGCCGGTATTCTCGCAAGTCTCATCAATATATCATATTCGTACAGCCTTTTTAGCCATACTACGATTAACAGCTATGTCTAGTGGCACGAGTAGCCTCTATAATATCATTATCCATTCATCATGAGCTTGTACGAGGGCACGCTTCCGTCTTCAGAAACTCAATCCTCTCCCCATCGTCTCCCTCTTGGATGATATCAAACCAGGTGAGCCAGCTGGCCGTTTTGAGCCTCGTCGGAGCTTTGAAGACAACCCACCCGCCATCCTCTCCCCTCGTCTCCCCTGTGTTCTCAAACGGAACTGTCTCGACTTCCCATTCCCGCACCACGAGCCCCGTCATTTTCGTGTATCTCGCAAGTTCTAATCTCAAGGGACGAGATGCCTGATCCTTGCGAACAGCCACAGTCGCCTCCATCGCTCTGGTTCCGTTCACAGCCTGCCTGGCTACGCAGGAATCTGCCCTTTGATACAGCAACGTGTCCGTCACAGGGTACCCCTCCCCTCCATTATCGTAGAGGATCCGCTCGCCTGTAGATCGCACTGTAGTCTCGATATTGAACTTGCTGATCCCTTTGGTCGCGTTCAACTCCATGCCAAACTCATACCAAGCAAATG